CATACTATGACGTTTTTATGACCTTTGATGCCTTAATTTACTATGATGTTTTTATGACATTTTTTGCCATACTATACAATGACGTTCTTTGTAATATTTATGCTTTCCAATACAATTTCATTTGATTCCTTACCATACTATGACGTTTTTACGTCTTTTTATGCCTTAATATACTATGATGTTTTTTTGCCATTTTTTGCCATACTATACTATGACGTTTTTTGAAATTTTTATGCCATACTATACAATGATTTTTTTTGCCATTTTTATGCCTTCCAATACAATTTCATTTGATTCCTTACCATATTATGACGTTCATGTGACCTTTTATGCCTTAATATACTATGACGTTTTTTTGACGTTTTTATGCCATACTATACAATGACGTTCTTTGTCATTTTTATGCTTTCAAAAACAATTTCATTTGATTCCTTAGCATACTATGACGTTTTTATGACCTTTTATGCCTTAATATACTATGATGTTTTTTTTTACATTTTTATGCCATACTATACAGTGACGTTTTTTTGTCATTTTTGTGCTTTCCAATACAACTTCATTTGATTCCTTAGCATACTATGACGTTTTTATGACCTTTTATGCCTTAATATATGATGATTTTTTGATATTTTTTGCCATACTATACTATGACGTTTTTATGACCTTTTATGCCTTAATATACTATGATGTTTTTTTGACATTTTTATGCCATACTATACAATGACGTTTTTCATCATTTTTATGCCTTCCAATACAATTTCATTTGATTCCTTATCATACAAAATGTTTTTATGACCTTTTATGCCTTAATATACTATGATGTTTTTTTGACATTTTAATGCCATACTATACAATGAAGTTTTTTGGCATTATTATGCCTTACTGTACTATGTTGTTTTATTCCTTGGCATACTATGACGTTTTTATGACTTTTTATGCCTAAATATACTATGATGTTTTTATGACATTTTTTGCCATACTATACTATGATTTTTTTTGCCATTTTTATGCCTTCCAATACAATTTCATTTGATTCCTTAGCATAGTACGACGTTTTTTTGACCTTTTATGGCTTAATATACTATGACTTTTTTTTACATTTTTATGCCATACTATACAATGACGTTTTTCGTCATTTTTATGCCTTCCAATACAATTTCATTTGATTCCTTACCATACAAAATGTTTTTATGACCTTTTATGCCTTAATATACTATGATGTTTTTTTGACATTTTTTGCCATAGTATACTATGACGTTTTTTTGACATTTTAATGCTATACTATACAATGACGTTTTTTGGCATTATTATGCCTTACTGTACTATGTTGTTTTATTCCTTGGCATACTATGACGTTTTTATGACCTTTTTTGCCATACTATACTATGACGTTTTTTGACATTTTTATGCCATACTATACGATGAAGTTTTTTGACATTTTTATGCCATACTATACAATGACGTTTTTTGTCATTTTCATGCCTTACTATACAGTGATGTTTTTTGTCATTTTTGTGCTTTTAATACAATTTCATTTGATTCCTTAGCATACTATCACGTTTTTATGACCTTTTATGCCTTAATATACTATGATGTTTTTATGACATTTTATGCCATACTATACTATGACATTTTTATGACATTTTATGCCATACTATACTATGACATTTTTATGACATTTTATGCCATACTATACTATGACATTTTTATGACATTTTATGCCATACTATACTATGACATTTTTATGACATTTTATGCCATACTATACTATGACATTTTTATGACATTTTATGCCATACTATACTATGACATTTTTATGACATTTTATGCCATACTATACTATGACATTTTTATGACATTTTATGCCATACTATACAGTGATTTTGTTTGTCATTTTTGTGCTTTCCAATACAATTTCATTTGATTCCTTACCATACTATGACGTTTTTTGACATTTTTATGTCATACTATACAATGACGTTTTTTGGCATTATTATGCCTTCCAATACAATTTCATTTGATTCCTTACCATATTATGACATTTTTATGACCTTTCATGCCTTAATATACTATGATGTTTTTTTGACATTTTTATGCCATACTATACAATGACGTTTTTTTTTCATTTTCATGCCTTACTGTAATATGTTGTTTAATTCCTTACCATATTATGACGTTTTTATGACCTTTTATGCCTTAATATACAATGACGTTTTTTGACATTTTNTTATTCCTTAGCATACTATGACGTTTTTATGACCTTTTATGCCTTAATATACTATGATGTTTTTTTGACATTTCATGCCATACTATACTATGACGTTTTTTTGATGTTTTTATGCCATACTATACAATGACGTTCTTTGTCATTTTTATGCTTTCCAATACAATTTCATTTGATTCCATAGCATACTATGACGTTTATATGACCTTTGATGCCTTAAAATACTATGATGTTTTTATGACATTTTTTGCCATACTATACTATGATGTTTTTTGACATTTTTATGCCATACTATACAATGACGTTTTTTGTCATTTTCATGCCTTACTGTACTATGTTCTTTTATTCCTTAGCATACTATGACGTTTTTATGACCTTTTATGCCTTAATATACTATGACGTTTTTTGACATTTTTATGCCATACTATACAATGACATTTTTTGTCATTTTTATGCCTTCCAATACAATTTCATTTGATTCCTTACCATATTATGACGTTTTTATGACCTTTTATGCCTGAATATACTATGATGTTTTTTTGACATTTTTTGCCATAGTATACTATGACGTTTTTTGACATTTTTATGTCATACTATACAATGACGTTTTTTGGCATTATTATGCCTTCCAATACAATTTCATTTGATTCCTTACCATATTATGACATTTTTATGACCTTTCATGCCTTAATATACTATGATGTTTTTTTGACATTTTTATGCCATACTATACAATGACGTTTTTTTTTCATTTTCATGCCTTACTGTAATATGTTGTTTTATTCCTTACCATATTATGACGTTTTTATGACCTTTTATGCCTTAATATACAATGACGTTTTTTGACATTTTTATGCCATACTATACTATGACGTTTTTTGTCATTTTTATGCCTTACTGTGCTATGTTGTTTTATTCCTTAGCATACTATGAGGTTTTTATAACCTTTTATGCCTTAATATACTATGATGTTTTTTTGACATTTTATGCCATACTATACAATGACGTTTTTTGGCATTTTTATTCCTTCCAATACAATTTCATTTGATTCCTTACCATACTATGAAGTTTTTATGACCTTTTATGCCTTAATATACTATGATGTTTTTTTGACATTTTTATGCCATGCTATACTATGACGTTTTCTGTCATTTTTATGCCATTCTATACAATTTCATTTGATTCCTTACCATACTATGACGTTTTTATGACTTTTTATGCCTTACTTTACTATGTCGTTTTTATGACTTTTTATGTCTTACTGTACTGTGAAGTTTTTATGCCTTACTATACTATGATGTTTTTATGACTTTTTATGCCTTACTTTACTATGTCGTTTTTATGACTTTTTATGTCTTACTATACTATGACGTTTTAATGCCTTACTATACTATCTCGTTTTTATGACTTTTTATGCCTCACTATACTATGATTTTTTTTAGGTTTTTCATGCCTTACTATACTATGACTTTTTTATGACTGTTTATGCCTTACAATGCTATGTTGTTTTCATGCCTTACTATACTATGTCATTTTTATGACTTTTTATGCCTCACTATACTCTGACGTTTTTATGCCTTATTGTACTATGTCGTTTTTATGCCATACTATACTATGTTGTTTTTATAACATTTTATGCCTTACTATACTATAACGTTTTTATGCCTTATTGTAATATGTTGTTTTCATGCCTTACTATACCATGTCTTTTCTATGACTTTTTATGCCTTACTGTACTACATCTTGCACATCTGTGACATTTTATTAATACATGTTCGAGGACTTACTTTAATATGACGTTTTTATAGCCTATTATACTATGATTTAAACATGACATATATGCCGCTATATCAAAAGTCATGTTACCATATATGTCCCGTACAAGAATATATATTATTATGGCATATATACAGTACATCATCTGGATATATGAAGATATAATTGTATAACATATAAAAAATACTCATAATAAATTGTAACTTTAGTAGAACAACATGATTATCAAAATCTCTATTATATTTACAAATTTAATATCAACATACTGACAGGCTTGGGGATGGATATATATTTATTATATAACATATGTCAATCATATAAATAGACATACTAAAATTCATGTTTCTATTAGGTCGAAATATCAATGTATGATATTGTTCCAAAACCGGTTTCATATGTAATTTTTACATATATAGGCTATACCTTAAATATATATATGACTTTACTCCATATGTACATATATTTCATACAGAAATTCAAGACATTTACATATATTACATTTGCATATGTGCACTCCTCAATGTAAATTCAGATCTTATATGTTAACAAACCGTTCGGTTGACGGAATTAAAAAGCCAATCTCTCTCTCTCTCCCTACCAATGGTGAGACCAAACCTACGCCCTTGACACACACACACACACACACACACACACACACACACACACACACACACACACACACACACACACATTGGGAGAGACAGAGGCTTTCAAAACAGAGTAACTCGTCCTCTTCTTTTTCAACATTTAAAAAAAAAAACCTACTGCATCGTTTCCACATCGTCTCTCACAATAAACCAGCTGACTGGAAACCCTGTTGTCGGTCACACTGTAACTACTTCAATGGACTGAGCTCAGTGAGCGGTGTGTGTGTGTTTAGCTCTGTGTGGGACCAGGTCTCTGATGTAGGCAGGCTGATCACAGATCAGATACATGCGCTTCAGATCCATAAACCACCCCCCCTTTTCTCTCTCTTTGTACCCGCCTTTGATCTCGGCGCTGGGTTTGTCCTCGGTCTGCTGCTGCGGCGGCGGCTCTGTGTTGTGTTGTACTGGGCTGGGGCAGCAGCGCTGACATGGTGAGCAGACCGGTGCGGGAAACACACCACCACACCTCTCGCCGGTCTGCTTTCGACTCTTAAGAACCAATACTTTGATCAACAGGCTCCTTTTCTAGCAGGTAAGCTAGTTTCTCATTAGTTTTGGACATTCACAGTTTATGCACTTAACGACAGACGATACGGAGCGAGCATTAGGTTCATTTGGGATTTCAGTAAGACATAAGAACAACAAAACTATAGTCCCGAAATGAATATTTTAAGCATTATAGTATTATTATAGACCACAATTATATATTATACACCACAAAATAAACAGAAGCGATATTGTCGATTTAAAGTCAAGAGTTGATGCGTACAGATTCTCGTAGTCGCTTTACACGTAATGTATGGATATTTTTTTAAACTTTTAGTTATGATAATGGTTACATTGGGACAATATGATGGATTTTTGAGACATTTTTATGTAATGGTCCCATGAGAACACTGAAGTTTTCCCCGTGTAGAGCTATGGAAGCTCAGTGAGCTTCAAGCTGAGGGCTGTACTGTCGCAGCTGCTGACTGATTTTAATCAAAAAACATCAATTCACTCTGCTACAGTTTGGACGCGCATGTGGTCATTGTTTAATCAGTGCTTCATAGCCCATACCTGCTTTATTCGAAAAAAAAATGTGTTTTAAAATGTGTTTAAATCCAGAAAACACTTCTAAAGTTTTCAGGCTGAGAATATCATCATATTCCACACTGCATGACTGTATCATATATATTTTGTATATGCTTGTTATGATTCATCATTGGCACAAGCTATAGGATGTTTACATCCAGTGAAATATTCAAACCCAAGAGTCCATGTTTTTATGTCTGCTAATGGAAATATTCTGGGTGTCTTGGTGTTAATAATCATTATAGAAAAATGTTGTCACCACAGGAAATTTGACCCAACCAAATATGTTTTTATTCTTAATAAATTATTAAGTGTGTACTATAGAGAAGAAACTGTGTAATAATATACTTAAGCTCAATCTTTTATTGTTGTGTCTTTTTTCAGCTGCAAACAGCAAGTTGCCCATCAAAATGGTCTGGGTGCTTCAATACACCTTCTCACTTTTACTAACTGTGCATGTCATATATTCAACTCTGGTAAGTGTTTCATTATATGATGCATTTTGAACATAAGTGTTTATTGTTTTTTATTTTTTTAACAACCTTTTGTTTACCCAAATTGTGTTAATAGGTGTATAGCTCATCTGTTACAGTTTTTGTGTATTGTACAAGGAAGCACATAGTACAGTTTCTCCAGATTCAGATTCAGATCACAGATTCTACAATACCACTGAGTAAATCCCATGTGCTAGGGTGAGATGCGATGGAAATCTCAAAAAAAAGGCTTGCAAGTGGGTGTTGCGTTAAGATTTTTAAAAATCAAATTACTCCTTCTAATCTCATCAAAAATGTAGCCATTTATGCGACGACTCAAAGTTTTTAGTTTTTGCCTAAATTACACACATGCACTTGAACTGCGTTGCATGCCTGTGTAATGCTGTGGGATCTGCAAAGCCCTTGCTGGTGACGCCCTGACAATGCTGTGGATCGTTTTACCTTCATCCACTTCACTGTCCTGATTGATTGTGTTTGCTATCGAGATTGTCGTATCTGCTTTTAATGATCTCCTTATTGTTGCTTTTGACTTAGATTCTGTTCCTGTATCTGTTATGGATAGAAGTGGTGATGAAATACAGGAATCTCTAACTTTCACCAAATGACTATCCCTCTTAGATTCATGTGAAGGCCGAGGAGGAGACCAGAGAATGCAGAGAACAGGAGTACAAGGACCGGTTTGGGAACTGCAAACCCTGCAAGCAGTGTGATGCAGGACAGGAGCTTTCAAAGGTTGGAACAAAATTGTTTTGGACTTATTCTATTTATCACCTCACCTGTATGAACTGAATCTTTTGTTTTAAGAAGATTGGTCTAAAGTGCTGTGTTCACTCAGGAGCATTTTCCACAGAGCCACTAAAAGGAAAAAGTATTGTCACTCGTTTATTTGGGAAATGGAATGTGTAGTAACACAAGGGGTCTACAACAGGTCAGCTGAATCAACTTCCTTAAGATGAAAAAAAAGTTGGATGGATTATTCCTTTGGTAAAAAAAATCCCCACAAAAAAAGGAAAACTGTTGAGTTCATGAAAAGAATGGACAGCACTGTTTAGAAAAGTGTATCTTATCCAGGGAACCAACATTATTTATCACTTCCTCTCTTTCATGTAGAGAACAGCCAAGCTGTTATTAGCTTTTGTAGAACACCGACCCTTCTTTAATCAGTCACACCCATACTTTTGACCTTCTGCAGCTGAATGGCTTCCATTGTTTTTCTCTATTGCACCCTGTCCAACTTATTGTCTTCACTGTTTGAAGCTAGCCATGCCTATGCTTGCTGCTCTCTCGGCTGGGAGTACAGTTTTTTCCACCACCTTAGCCACAGGTTTTTGTGTGCTTTGTACAAACAGGCTTCAATAGTGTCAGTTAAGGTTGGTAAGCAAAGGCTTTCCTCTATGGCAGCAGCTATGCGCCTACTTTTGCAAGTGTAGGCAGTGATGTAAAGGTGAGTAAACTATAATCACCTGTCATTTTGTGGCAAACACTAACATTAAGAAACTCCTACTTTTCTTGGGTTAACAGTAATTGTTGATACACTGCAAAAACCCTCCATCTCAACTAGTCATTTTCTGCCATAAGCAGCTTTGCAGACTATTATTAAGTAAAATACTGAGACAATTCTACTCGGTGAAAAGTGCAGATAGTTGAATCTCATTATTTCTAAAACTGAACATTATAACCTTCATGAATGTAGGATTTATTGCAGGACTGAGACTAGACTAATTAGGTGAACCTAATAAACCTGGTGCATATGATATACACCCGATGTATACCTGTTATATTCTATTATAAAATCAAAGATACTGATTGGGCCGAAGAATAGAAGATAGACTCAACTGTTTGCAAAATGTCTCCAGAGACAGATTTTTGCCCTAATAACTTAGTTTCAGTTTATTTTATTATACTGTAAAGTATACTTTTATATCATAAAAAGTAATGATAACCTTAAATGAACAATATTCAGCACATAAAATGGCTGATAAATTGACTTTGGGTGGGTTTACACTCCACTACATCTTTGAGTACTGATGAGAAAACTCTGTGTCACCCTTGACATCTGTTGCACACATGCATTTAAGCCCAGTTGCCTTTAATCTCAGTACACACAGACATGTACTCTGTGGTTGGTAGTACGCTTCAGTAGTCCTCATGTTCCTCTGCCAGCTCAACAGGCATGAATGCTGCTAGCCACCCTGGGGTCCTAGTTAATAATTGGCTGCCTCATTCTTTCTCTGAAGGTAGCGGGATGCCGGCTCACATTGGAGACCTATGCCTGCACTCAGAGAAAGTTTCCCAGAGAAAGAACTTCTGATCTGAGCTCTGTGTAACCAAGACAGTCTGTCCATATTCTGAAAGGCACGACCGAGTGTTGGGAGGGAAGCAGACTTTTGGAGTCCCTCTGTGCAGCTGCCATAGAGATCCCAGAGGAATGTGGCCCAGTTTGCCTCTGGAAGCTGCTCTGAGGCGGGCTGACAAACATCAATTAGCCCCTCCACACTAACTGTAGCTAAAAGAACCACCCACACAGAGGGAACGTCCATTAAAACCAGTTATTGTTTTCATCTCAAACATATTTCATTCTAGGGTTCATTCATTGTAAGTAACTTAGTCTCTTATGTTGCATGAAGGAGAAGGGGGGAATCGCTTTCCAGTGCATGCTGGAAAACTGCCAGTGGCAAAAAAGGCAGGAACACAACTTTGATGTGTCAACATCTTGTAGTATGTAGCAAGAGTGTAACATTTCCTTCAGCCACACTCCCAGGGCAAAGGACTTCTGAATGGTACTGGCTAAAGAGAGAGTCACAGTTATAATAGTGCATTCTCAGCAGAAGGGTCAAAATCACAGTGGTCAGACATCAGTTATTCTTGTCTAAAGAAGTCAGGCAGAAACAAAAGTTTCAGAAAGTGTAATAGAGTGAGGGAAACAAGGGAGTAAAAGTGTGTTTTGTCCCACACAGAACTCTGCTCTAATGAACTATTTTCTGCATTGTTTCATTACCAGATCAGATGACTGACTGCCCCCCTTGTGATTCCCTCCTAATCTCAAAAATATCTCTGCGTCTGAACATGCTTCAGGTCCCAGCCAGCTCACCCCCTCTCTCCACTCCACACGGCTGTTATACTTGGCAATCTCACCCAAACTAGATCAGGAGATAGGATAGGGAAACAGGGTTTTTAAGCATCCGCTTTTTTTTAATGGCTCTGAGGTGAAACCACCTTAAAGTAAATTCTAAAATTTGAGGGACTGCTGTTAATTTTTGTTCATGATATTTTTTTCATGCAGTTTTCATTCTTGGCTACATCCTTGGTAGAGTTCTCCCCAATCTTATCTTGTACATTTGAGTAGTTGACACAAATAATCATAAATTGTACCTTAAGAGAAACATAAAAATATTTTCTCTCAGCTGCCAGCAGATGTATAATGGGGAATTAACTTCTAACCTCTGTTTTATGTGTGTTTTGTGGTATTTTGTGCCATGTACACACCCTGAAAATATGGTCTTTTCAGGGAGGTTTAACAGATTGAATATGTATTCTTTTGTTGATACTGGTTGGCTTCTTTATGGTAATTTATTGTTGGAAAAGGCTTATACATTGTGTACTCACCTATCCATATAATGATAACTTCAGCATCACAGATTACCACAGAGTATAGTCTTTCTTTTAGCTGCTAAACGAGTCTGAGTCAGTGCAGGGTGTCCGCTCTGCAGAGCTTTGTTAGGGGAGATAAAAGAAGAAAGAGATCACTCCTTGATGTTCTGTATGGCCTGGATCAGAGGGGCAGAAGTTGGCTCCATTTTCCTTTTGTTTCAGTGCTCTGATCTGCTCATGTGTATGTGGCATCAGTCCCCATCCAGCCATGTGGTGCCCCATGGACAGAGCTTGTGCCAGTCCTGGGCTTAGTGGGAATGAATTGTCCCTGGGCCTCTTCCTTCATGTGGAAGAGGGTCACAGAATCAATATGAGGTAACTTGTGGTGGCTAGACCTACTACACTTTCTTAATGACTAGTTCATTTTCGGGGTTTAGTGCTGTGACAGTTTATCTGCCTCCCCTGCCTTAGTCTGATTCTTTTTCTTGAGAGAGGCAAGATAATGGCTTGCAACTCCAAGTCTTCTTTATTTTGACTTTCCCCTCTTTTATCACTCATCACCCCCCCACCCCCACCCCCTCTCTCTCTTTCTCTGTGTTTCTCTGCCCCCCACCACCTCCACTGTTCACCCTGCCCTGCTGAAGAGCAAAGCCTTATATGGAGAGTTCATAACAACAGCTGCAAAAGTCCAGCCCTAGACGGTCCACCTCGGCCTGGCCTGGCCCAAGGGTTCAGTGTCAGGCTCACATGTGTTTGGCTGGAACGACTGAATTCCTCATCTTCTAGCCCGACTGTGCGGTGCCATCACACGATCACATCTTTGCCTCTAACCTCCCTTTTAATTCCTTGCCAGCCAGCCTGTTTCCCCAAACCCAACCCCCATATCAGACTCTTGTGCCCACATTCCAGCAGGACTGCATGCCCAGGCAGTGAAATGGGACACGGGCGAAGAGAGAAGAGAAGAGAGAAGCCCTGTTTGAAGCTGACCTTCACTTTAATGATATATGAGCAACCCCACCCCTTCCCCTTCTATCCTCCTGGCTTTGGATTGCAGTGTGGCAACACCGGACAACAGGAGGGCAGCTGCTGTGGAGCTGATAATGAATGATCAATGTATGATGTCATCCCTGCAGGGTCTTCTCACTCAGTGTGGTGTACAGTAATATCAGCTGTCATGTAAATGTCAGTTTGTCATTGAGGTCACCAACCTTCCAATATAATTCGAGGGGATGTGACAGTGACAGAGATCCAATTAGAAAAGAGACATAACAAGACTAACATTGGCAGATGGAAATGAGCAGCTGGAATAATGATTAGAATTAAATAAATTAAATGATTTGTGGTTAATTCAGTGTCAGGATTGAGTTCCTGTCACCAAAAAAATGTAATTTTGCTGAGTTAATCTGACACTGAAATATGTAAAACTCATACAACCAAACATGATATAGACTTGATCTTCTGTCTTTAGTCATAGAAAAGAATACATTCATCTTATATTTCATGTTCTTAAAAATATCGGTCAGAATTCAGATTTTGATCGGTCCAGGTGAACAAAATCTCAAAAGGTTGTTTAGAATTAGATCACTCACACGGTAGTCTGAAGCTGTGCTTTTTAAGTGCACTTTCAATTGTTGAACACAAAAGAGTATTCATCTTATTTTCTCCATATACCTCTCCATAATCCTTACCCCCTTCCTGAAGCGTTTCCTTTGCTTGCTGGCCTCTCAATCAACGGGACACTCACTGAGTCTGCTTGGAGAGGGAGTCACACAAAAACACAGCAATAAACTTGCAATAATACAACAGTGGGTGTCCTCCAGGGCCTTTATTATTCAAATGTCTGGCCTTTCTGGGTCTTGCAGCGGAAGGCTGCTCATTCATACAGAGAGAGTCAGGGAGATTATTGCCAGTGTAAAATGGACTCTCAAAAGAGGCAGGCCATTGTTCTCTTCTGATCCTTCGAGCCAATATCATTCTTTAATTCCAGACCCCCGGTAGTCCACATTCAAGCCCCCTTTTCACCAGCTGCACATCACCCAAACCACCGACCCCACCTCTTACCCGGTGTATTTCTCCCGTTAATCCCCCCAGGAATGTGGCTTTGGTTATGGAGAGGATGCCCGGTGCGTGCCCTGCCGGAGCAGTCGCTTCAAAGAGGACCGGAGCCTGCAGAAGTGCAAGCCCTGCTTGGACTGTGGACTCATCAACCGCTTCCAGAAGGGCAACTGCTCTACCACCAGCAACGCTGTGTGTGGTGACTGTCTGCCGGGGTGAGAGGAGAGACACAAATGCACCAGACACCAGACACTTGTATTAATTATGAAAATTATTTTACAAGAATAGCCTGACGAAGAAGAGAAACATGTTACAACAAACCATTATCAGAGTGTATATGTTTGCTGCTCATGACAGTTTTGAAGGTTAAAACATGTGATTTTGTGTCTTCAACAGATATTACAGGAAAACAAAACTAAGTGGTTTCCAAGACATGGAGTGTATACCCTGTGGGGACCCTCCGCCTCCTTATGAGCCTCACTGTAAGCACCTTTCCTTTCTTTTACCTCTTCTAAATGTTGGCCAGACATCACTGGCACATTTTGTTAAATGTTCTCATGAATATAGGCTATTCATCCCAATCCACAATAGGTGATGTTTTAAGATGAAACAACAGGGATACTGTTGTGTAAAAGCAAACACCACCACACTATTGAAACCCTGGCCAAGTGCTACTAGAACCAAAACTCAAGCAGCAGTGCCACAACAAAGCCTATACACACAAAACATGCCAGCACAAGGTCCTTGGAGTAACCAGAACCACAGCCTTTAAAGGGTGGAGCAAGCCATAGTTCATTCACTAAGTCTCACTGAGCCAAGCAGCTATGCTATATGTGAAAATAAATGCTTGGATTTATAAGCTGAGCAGTTGAAAAGCTGAAATGGATACCATTAACATAATAGTGGATTTGCCAACACTGGATTATATTAGCTCAGAACATGTCACTCATTTTCAGCACTCAATTTGGATTAAATGAACAAACTTCCTTGGACAAAACCTCCATTGATTTTTCCAGACAAAATCTCAATAGCATGTCATGAACTGCTGCACTGTTCTACATGTTTGTGATTAAGTACCAGAGTAAACACATCAGGGAGTGTGTTGGTTCAAGCAGCATAATTTATTACCTTTTGTACAGGTCCGTTATGCTAAAAGGAGGCACGAGGTGTGCTACAATACGTTCACAAAACAGGGCTCACATTCCAGTGGACTACACATCCAATTAACATCTTTCTTCCGGCCATTATAAGTAGTTAAGTAGAACCTTATGATTTCAGGTTTCCACATAAAACCAACAGGCGACTGAACTTATACCTTTGGTAATTGAGTGTGACTTCCTGATGGCAGAGGAGGCTGCAGCTGTTTCTGTGGAGGCTTTTGGCAGCATGAGCATCAGAGCAGACCGAGCCAGGGTTAGCACCCCTGTGTTAAATAAATGGAGACAGCTCTGAGCTATCAGACAACTAAAAAAAAATAGTTTGCTCCTTGTTTACAAGCCCTAAATGTAAAGATGATTCATGATTTCATCAAACCATCTACTGTTTGTTTGGTTTTTATTGTAGTGTCTTTCTCAGTCTTGATTTCTTTTCATATGTATATTGTTGCAAGCGGCATTACTGTTTTTGTAATGAACACCAGCCTTGGGACAATTGGCCTCCCTCTGCTCATTTTTCCATCTGTGCAGCTTCCCGTTTTGATACTGGAGGAGGCCTGTGAAACAAAATGGCCATTGTGTCTGAGAACATAGCTGGTAGTTAGCTCCTACAGGGACTCTCAGTGGAGCATTTCCAAATGTTTGAAAGTCTTGCTCCCTCCCTCCAGTGTTATCTTGAGGCGGGTGGTGAAAACTTAAAGGGCAGATCATTCTAATAGGCCACACTGGCCCGGGGCAACGGTGCAGCTGTGCAGGGGAGGCAGTCACCGTCTGGGGTGGACTGTAAATCTTAAACCACCCCTCCTCTCTTCTCCTCCCTTTCCCCTAGTGGCTTTTTGGAGTGGAGTAAAAACGAGATTGTGTTTTATGGATTCCTTTAGCCTCTTTAATGTGTTTCATCTGCTTGAGTTTTTCACTGTCACGGTAGATCACAGAGAGCTGATGAGGCCATACTAACACATACAGGCATGCAGACAGATACATGCACACACACATGCACAGTGGCACTCACACAAGTAGAAAGAATACTATCTGCTCTTTGTAGCTTATCCCTTTTTTGCCATTACTACTATTTCCAACCAGAGACACACAGAAGTGAGATAGTCATCTTATCTCCTGGGTCAGTGTAAAGAGAAACAATGGTGTAGGTTTGAAATGCAGCCATAAGACATCAGTTATCCTTGATATCTTAGGCAGGCTATCGCAGCTTTCTCAAGTGAAATATTTCAAGAAATGGAGCAAATTCTGGAGAGCAGTTTTACATGCTTTTTAGATACAACAGAGCTCCTAGTGAGGACTAGCCAAAAGAAACATGATCCAACAAACCTCTGTCCCTCCTGATAACCTCACTGCTCCATCGTGTAACGTATTCGCTCTTGCGGCATCCTCACTGACTTCAAAGCTGTATGCAATCAGCTCTCACCACAAACGGCGCAAAACACACCGGGCTGGCAAGGAACAGGAAACATTCCTAACTACTATTGCCTGCCAACAGTTCAAACCAGAGCCTTTCAATATTCAAAAGCATGTTCACCAAAGTCACTTAAAGGTCAACAGCTGAAATGATGATGGTTTATCCTCACTGCTGTCCTAATCAGTTTGCAATTATCAAAACACAGCCTCACAGCAGTAATGATATTTGGTGTTGCCACATTACAAGAAGTGATATCGTAAAATCACAGCATGTTGGGGGTTGCGCTTCTGGAGACATCCAATTTTTTATTTGAAATAATGCAAAATGGTGATTCAATAAGTTGTCAGTTGTACCTGCTTCAATTGCACCAGTACAATAAGTCATAGACCCTAAAAGTTAAAAACTCTTTATATATATATATATATATATAATTAGAATATATAGAATATATTTGAATCTGGTGAAGCTATTCTAGACCAGACATCCATGTGAATGCTCTCAAAATAATAGAAGAAACTGAACTTATGATCAAAGATTTGAGGGAATAACAGATGATAAAATGGACATCTCCTTGAATTAAAACTCTCATGCATTTCATATTCTGTCTGAAATTGTATCAAATCAAATTGGCAGTAAAGCTGTTACATTTCCATATCTTTGAAAGCCAGAGGAAAGTGGTCAACAGTTAATTTTCGTGTTTATGTCATGCTAACGAAACAAAAACTTTGCTGATGCCTTCATTGCATCTCATGTGACAACTTAGTAAAAATGCTCAATCCAAGGCTCTTGGTATAGATTTATAAATTCAGGAGTAAACCATTGTAAATGTCTTTTCATGAAATAGAAGTCACTGTTTTCACTGCTCTTAGCTGTGTACACTGAAGAATACTACATTATTTTCTGTTATTGAGAGTTCTGGATAAGACAGTGCTCAGTTCTGCCAAAGAACCTCTTGAAAGGGTTTTTTACAGACCACAGTCAAAGATCCTTCAGAGGCGTAAAGAAGTGCTTCTTTTATTTGGAGTATGTGGTGTTCCATAAAGTCAACAGGCAGGGAGTCTGTGAAAGGCTGTGGTTTATTGGTCTGGTTTGTGTGAAGATAATATCAGCAGGTGAGCTCTCCTCAATGGACCAGTGTTTATCTGTGTTTGCTGCAGCTGCTGGGCCTCTGATAACAGACTGCCTTTGTGTTGCCGGGCAGATGATGCTCACCTCGGATGAATTCAATTTGACCCTGACAATGAAAACCAAATGTAAACATGATGGTCAGATGTTACATCTGTGAATTAACAATATAGTCAAGATTGTGTATATGAAAATTACATAGGGATTGCTAATTTGACAAACTCAAATATAAAATCTGGTGGTTTTACTGTTTTTACACTGTTTTTAATAGATAAATATATTTTCTATATACAATGTATTATTATTTTTAAGAGAATACCACTGAATGTGATTTAGTGTTCATATATGACTCCACAGGTGATACTTTGTTGCTCAATATAACCAGTGGGATTACATCCAAATAAAAACTAAAAACTAAAGCTTCATTGAACACCGAGCCTTTTAGTACAAATACCCTTATATAAACTTCAAATTATTTAGAGCAGCTGCAATGATTCTTGCTGTTGGCTCTTGTAACAGTTTTTAAGATCTGGTACTGGAATGGCAATATTTTTTAATAACAGGTAATAAGTCATGTTGTTGACAGTATTTACTTTTCAGTGCGTATACCACAATGTTCCTTTACTTTGCCCTCTGGGTCAAACCAAGTTTTGGAGAGCTGCTTTGAGTTTTTCCTCTTTTTTTTTCTCTCTTAGAAGGAATGTTAAAATACCCTTATCCCCTATCATGGCTGGATAAAAAAATGTTTACATTGCATAACAAAGAGCTCCTGGATGTGAAAAGGTTGAAACCAGTTCCCATGATTAATATACTGAAACGCAAACAGCAGGGCTCATTGAAAAAGTCATTCATTATATTTGCCATAATCATAAAACATTCTCTCACAATTAGTTTTTTCCCTGCATTTTGTTAACTGGTCACTCTGTTTCACAGTGTCAGTACAGCATACTTTCACTGTTTGCTCTGTATTAACCTGCACCGTCTCTATCACACATTGATGATTGAAGCAAATTATGTTTGATTGCCGATAATGATCAGAGACAATTACACGTACATGGCCTCAGAGAGAAATGTCACTCAGTTTGAGAATTCAGGCATGCTACTCTTTTTTTCTCCAACTCCCTCTTAAAGCTACAAACCAAAGAGCTGGGGTTGTTGTCATGTGGAATATGCAGCTCTCTCGCTGATGTATCACAGCTCTCCAATGTCTCAGTCATCACACACAATGTCGGGATAGTCGCAGACTACTGTTTCTTTGTATATAACTTCTGTAATAATAGCTGCGGAAGATTGGCAATGTGCTGCTGCACATAATAATAGTTTAGAATTTTTATAATTCATTTCTCCATATCAAAATGTTATCTTAATGTAATGGTTCAGTCTCAGCCTGCAGTCAGAAAAAAACTTGTTTCTTATCCATACGATGCCACCATATTTCTACAGAACCAGAAAGTGTAGCTGTTTTAATTTTAAACCATACATCACCAATCAGGAAATACAATATTCTATTCATTCAACACACTAGTGATTTCTCTCCAACACTAACGCCTTTCTCCTGAGTATGTATCATCTGATTGTGATTTTATTACCTTTGTCATGTTGTGCTGCTCTTAGTTTACATTTGGATCACAGATTGTGTCTTCATCTCTGATGAGTGTTTGAAAGGATAATTACATGTAACAGAAGCCAAAATTTTCAAACAACAGTGCCAGTTCATCTGTCTTACATTGTGATATTAAGCGTTAAGCTGTATTAAACCCTGATGTTCTGTATTTGTGGGAACTTGTATAATGAGCAGCATTCTTGGGGCCAAAAGTCTTTACATGAGAGAGTGTGTGATGGGTCCTGAAGGCAGGGCAAACAGTGACATCACGGTTCCCCTCAGGCAGGATAAGAACCGTACCAGCGGCTTAATCGTGAAATCAGTACATGTGCACACAACTCACCACCACAGACACAATAACACACAGAAGCATAAATACATTCCTGACTGTTGCTCGCCGTCACATATACACTCGTATCTTGCCTGCACCTCACAAGAGATTAGTTGTTGTGTCTAAAACCCTCAAATAAGTTTAGTCTAATATTGATTCAACTCATCACTTTGCTATAAGCTGCTAACGTCTACTGTTATATGGTTTATCAATCAAAGAAACTGTGAACATTTCATACCTTAATGTTTATCTGTACTTCACATTCCTCTCTGTCCACAGGCAGTGGGCGAGTGAACCTGGTGCCGCTGCCCTCAGTGGTGACCAGCCCACGGGACATGGCCCTGGCCGCGGTCATCTGCAGCGCTCTGGCCACTGTGCTGCTGGCCCTGCTGGTCCTGTGTGTCATCTACTGCAAGAGACAGCTGCTGGAGAAGAAGCCCAGTGGTGAGTCACAACACCTGGAAGCACTGTATTCAACAAAACATTTAAATCTGAGAAAGATTTTGTAGAATTAAGACAATTAAGACAAAGGAGAGGCACAAGAGCTGGGATTTTGATTCAGCAGTGATTAGATGAATCAGAGCAGGAAGTTTTAAAACCAGAGCAGAGGCCTAAAGATAGGTTCATATTTTAGGGCCAAAAAGACTTTTCGTGCCCCACTATGACTGCTTTCTATAGACACAGTTTTCTTTTCCACAAGCCAGGTTTGCATGTGGTTCTATGCAGCGAGCAGTGAACTTTGAACAGTCCTCCCCAGGTGCCAGTGAATTCCCAGTACAATTTGTACTCTGGTCAAGACTTCCAAAATAAAGGAAAAGCTCATGACTATATATTCCAAAATTTATTTTCTTATACAACATCATTAGAAATACCAAACAGTGAAGATAAGGTGGTGATAAGCTATCTGGATTATACCACTTGTGCTATTCACCTGTGTGCTTTGAGGTGTGCTGAGCAGGCAGCTGCATGGAAGCCGTCGTTTGAAGCACATTTTCTTTGTTGGTTTTTTAGGCCTCTGCAGAGGCTTCAATGCTTTTAACTGTACATTTAATGAGTGAAGTGCAAGAGCTGAATATATAAAGCAGTTATATAGAATTTATAAAGAAGAGTATATATAGGTGAGCATGATTTCAATGTTCTTTTCTTAACTACACAACTACACAGACAGAGTGCCAGTTCATCTGTCATGTCCCGTGTTAAGCCTTATTAAACCCTGATGTTGCATATTTGTGGGAACTTGTAAAATGAGCAGCATTCTTCAGGCCAAAAATGTTTGAGTGTGTGAAACATCCCAGGGCAAAGAATTAATGACATCATTTTTCCCTGGTAAACTCACCTAAAACAAAGAGCATGGTACAAGTTACCAAGGCGTTACCAGTTATGTTTTTTTAGTGTGTGTAAAGTGAATGCATGAGTTAAATATTTTGTCAGTAGTTCCACTCAGTCCAAACACGCACCCCACCCTTCACCCAAGCTGCTACAAAATGCTAACACAGTTGTTTTTTAAATTATACAAAGGAATTTTAATCGGCCTCATGGACCCGAGGGTTGTGAGGCATTGCCCAACTCATACAAGAGCGTGTAAGTTTAGTCAGATAGTCCGGAGCTCTGCAAGAAAATCCCCTTCCAGACTGGTTTCTGTTATTATTCTTAGTAGGAGTGTGGCAAAAGTAGAAGGGTACCACCTTCCAATAAGACAAAGGTTTTACAAGCTGTAACTAATGGATTTATTAATAGTTAATAAATCATTTACTAATACATAAAAGCTCAGCTATAAGCATCACTAAATATAAATGTTGGGTTGTTTATCCCTTTTGTTTGCTACTGAAGCCATTACTAAATGCCTAAAAGGTTGTTGATAAATGCATTTGGTAGTCATGCAGTTCAAACAGTCAAGGAAATTTTTCACAACTGTGCAATTGAGAAGTTGCTTTAATGGCTTAGTGCTGTTAATGCCATTCATTTATAAAGCTTTTGTGAAAGATACCTTATTATTATTAAAGTGGTACCAGTAGGTCTGTGCTGTACTGGGCCAAGAGTTGTTGTATGTCTCCGTGGCTGACTGTCCTCCAACATGTTTCCTCAGCAGCCTCTCTGAGGTCACAGGACTGTCCGTACAGTGGGGCAGAGCTTTCCTGCCTGGACCCCCGCTGGCTACATGACTTTCCCCAGAGACCCTGCTGCCAGTGTCACCTGGGTCCCGGACACACCTGCGGTAAGTTCAGATCAACAAGATTTTATACTGCAGCTGTTTTTTTTTTGACACTTTAAAATTCACGCAAACTGCTCATAAAGCCACAATCACACTCACTTTTGACTATAAGGATAAGTATTGTATTCTGAATTCAGCAGTTCACTGCCACGTTGCCTTAACATCCCTTTAGATTTAAACAAGCACTTCAGATGTTGAGGAGAATGTACTAAGACTTATGTGTATGATGTTCAGGTCCAGTCCACCTGATCCCATCTCTGTGCTGTGATGAGAGCAGCAGTCTGGGCCGCAGCCAGGACAACAGTCCCTTCCAGTCCCAGACGAGCCTCAGTGACGGGTAAGGGGAAAATTCTGCAGCAAATTTATCCCCACCAGGAACAAAACGACATTAAATTGTAATTTTTTCATGTAATAATATCTTTCATCAATAATTGGGTGGCGAAATCGAATGGAGAAAGATGGATGAACAGCTGTTGATAAACTCCATATTGCATGTAGTACATTATTACTGAACTGTTTGGTGAATACCTGTGTTCAAATGGCCAGGCGACCATGACTGCAAACATTTTTCAGCCCAGAGGGAAACTGGAAACTCTGGACCACGCTCTGCTCAAACATTAACCTTCCAACAAACACTATAAAAATTCAATCATACAAACACTTTCGTGCCTCTGTAATGTAATTACAATTCCAGTAATCCAGCTGTTCAACTATATTTACAGTAGTTCATTGCAGGTTATTACATTGTACACAATAAATCATGTAAAGTAAGGTCCATACTTGAAAAAACTGACGGTAAAAGAACTTGACACAGTGTCATTCCCCATCAGCTAGTGGTTAGCACATCTATAGAGAACCAGGGAACAATAGGCAGGAAAACACATAATGGCTGTCCTTCTGCCTCAGGGGCAGTGTTCTCATTTCTGTTACTGTTCAAGGTGCTGTAGACATAATTTAACGTGCGTAATGACTTTGAAGTCTTTGAAGTGCTGGGAACAACCAGAGATATCTTTCATAAATAAAACACCACAGGGTGTGGCTGTGAACAGAGATTCAGGGTGATAATAACCACACCTTTCTATAATATGCTGCCCCAGAAATACACACCTGGATGAGGAGGGCGCTCCGATGCAGCTGGAAGGACATCCAGAGTCTGTCTCTGCAGAGGCTGGTGGGATGATGGGGAGCTCAGAGCTTGCAGAAAGAATGAAGGTGGAAGAGGAAGAGGATTGTGAGGGTGACGAGGAAGAAGAAGGATGCAGATCAAGGGAGAATTCACCTGAGAGGACGTCACAGAGCTACAGTGAAGCTGCAACAGATGCACTTCTTCCCAAACAGCAACCACCAACTTAGGAAGGTGAGTCCCTACAGCTCTTTCATGCACAACAGAAATCACATCACAGGTTGTAAGCCAGTGTTACTCATAAATGTTTTTGTTGGTGCATTAAGACACTCCCTTGACATTTAAGATTAGTTGCCTCAGAGAAAAATGCCAAATGATCCTCAATATCTTTATTATTTAATTGAAGTGCCAAGAAGAAATCACATGGCCTCTCCCACTGCAGAAAACATAGATAAGTTTAGATTAATTCAATACTAAAGTCTGGCTGAGAGTTACCATTTAAAATTGCACTGTTTTACTCATTCCTACAAACTTTAAGAGACTGAGTCTGTGAAAGAAGATTCAACTTCTCTCAAACTACTGCATGCAATTTTTCTGCAAAGGAAACCCAATAATAATCTCGGATGTCCTTTTTAAGGACTGGAACATTGCTCTGTGTGTGTGTCCATGAAGAGCAGCTGGTAAAAGAGACAAGAGATAGCACGAGTTCTTTGATGTAGACAAGACTATCCTGTTTTAAGTCGGCCCCTGGCTGGCTCTGGGTAGATACGTTACTAATCACTGCGTGTCTGTGTTCCTCTTCCTGCTCTCTTTCCAGGATGACATGGACTACTTTGGCTCATGTTCCACCCTTGAACCACCCTGGACTCAACAACAGCCGCAGCCAGATCCCGTTTCAGATTACTCACCAGCTCTCACCCACCCGCCCGCCCGCCCACACACACACACGCACACACACACACACACACACACATTTTGAAATGCCTGCCGCTGACCTCAGAGCCCCTCGTCAAAGCATCCAAACGGAATATGTACATACAATCAAACAAAAGCACTGCTGAGGAAATGCAAAGTGCAAGAGCAAAGGCATAGAGAGATACACACACACACATACACACAGACACAGAGACACAGAGACACACAGAGACACAGACAGACACACAAACACATAATGTGAACTCACTGGCCCAGAAGGTGAAATTGAATGAAGTTCAAACGTCGAGGAGCATTGACTTATTATCGTGGAGCAAAGTGAATCAAAGTGAGCCTCTGCTCTGCCTTGAGAATGTCTCACATCTTCACATGTAGGTGGACATAAACTGTACCACTGATCTAGCAGCTGGTGTTATGAAGCTTTTGTGTGTAAAATTTGAGGTGTGAAGAAAAGTGTCAAAAGTGATTATGTTGCACATTGAAGACAATCTTGATAACACGGAACAAGTTAAGACGAGGAATGTTTAAGTGATAAATATGCTGTAGATACTGTAAAATAGTAAATAGGTCAATATTTTTGTAACATAGACATGACTGATAATATGTTTGCTTTTCTTCCTCCAGTTATAGTGTTGATGGATGTGAACGGTCACTTTCACATATCGTTTTTTGTAAATAAACCACGTGAACAAGTTTACATTCTGAGGAATTATATGCTCTCAACTCTTTATTGGACTCATGTAGGACAGATTAAAAAATAAGTTTCACAATTGATGCTTCAGTGGCTGACATATCCTGAGTTTTTGCATATACCTCCAAAAGAACCTGTTTTGGTAAACTATTTGGACCAGTGTCTGAGTTATTGAGTGGAGGTCAAACAAAACAAACATTTTGTGGATGTCAAACTGTGACAGGAATTCTTCCCTATATTATTTTACATTTTATAGGCAAACAATTGATTATTCTGTAAAAATGATCAAAATTAATAAAGAAAATAATAAGAGAATGAGACTGGCAAAGCCACAGAAGACATTATACAACAGTTTTCACAGGCTGAGTAGAAGTTAACTGACGTGTCAAATTATTGGAGTGCCCCTTTAAGTATAATGAATCCCTTTACTAACATTTAGGTTGTTTCAACTAAAGTGCAGCCTCATATCCAGACAATTAGACAAACTGCGATGTTGCAGCCTCTGTGTGGTTAAAGTCACCCAGCTCGTTCAGTGACAGTGTGTTCACACCTTCAATAACCATGTGAAACTGCTCCGCGCTCCCTGCCTTGGGTCTCAGATCCGAGCAAGGGCAAGCAAGGACATTGTCTCGGGGAGCAGCTGCAGTCCCAGCTCAGCTGATAATTACTGTCTGAATGTACTGAAACAGATGCAAACAGCCGCTCTGTCGAGCAGGCTGCATGTTCTGGGGCATCTGTGGAAATGTGAAGAAACCTTTAGAAACCAAACTACAAGAGGCTCTGTTTTAAAGTTATGTTTGAGCAGCTTTAACACAGTATGAAGAAAAAGAACGAAATATGAACTTTCCATAATAAATCAACTGACTGATATTTCTACACTGAGCAAGACAATCCAAATCAGAACTGGCCAAAACTTTCCCATTTACAACTGAAAATTCATAACACAAAATGCTGGACTCCTCCTCCCCCGTCAGAAACTCCTGACAGACAAAACAGATGGAGCGGTATTAATTTAAAGTCTAAACAATGACCACATGACAGGAAGAGCAGATTAGGTATTCTTCCTCACGCTGATTTGATCAGGAAAAAACAATGTTCTGCTAGTGTGTGAGCTGAAAAGGGATATTATATTATGGGATATTAGCTGTGGAACTAATAGATTAATGAAAATAAAGGCAAATTAAATGATGAAAACCACAAAACATATCAACTCATAGAAATTTATAGGGATATATTACATTACATTTTCTGTTCATTTTTAACAAAGTTCAGTGGTGAGAAAATGTCGAAAAACATATGTACAAACTCAAAATTGTATGATGAATGAACAGGCCCTAGCACAAGTTACTGTAACATATGTTGAAATGTCATTATTGTGCCTGTGAATGGGGCAGAACTGTATAATTAGAGATTACCAGGAGTTTTCAGAGTTGGCATCAAGTTTTTAAGTCTTATCATTTTACCTTTTCTTGACAGCAGAATTGGCAAAAAATATCAAGTAAGTCAATGTGACTTTAAGAGAGATCAACAATACGTGTAATGCAAACAATTCATTTACAGACAAAGTAAAGAAGCTTAGTAAGAATGAGTGTGCACTTTGCTGCCATTGCTTTCACCTCTTGGCTCAGCAGCAAAGATTCAAGTCCATGTCCACGCCACCAGAGACACATCATCTTTCAGCTTTCAGAGTCCATGATGAAGGTCTCAAAGTTAGGGTTGAGCTCAGACACCAGCGCGTCCACAAAGTCCTCAATTGTGGGTCGTCTCTGTAGCATCCCTGTCACACAGAAACACAGAGCAGCAGGTTTCAGTGGGTGTGTGTGTGTGTGTGTGTTTAAGAGAGAGAAAAAAAAAAGCTCTGGCGAGGCACTGGGATGAACTGGTTTTCCATTTACTGTCAGTCCATCTCATCTCATTCTAATAGGAAAAGTACAGATTTTCTGATCCTTTAAATATTTTTAACCTGAAGTCACAGCAGAGGTTTTAGAGAACAGAGCAGGCATTTTTCAAAAATCCTTTGAAGCAAGTGCTATTTTTATCCCAAATTAAGTTAAAATCCAATTAAGTTACTGGATACAGGCTGCAGCCCGAGAGACTTTTGATCTAATTCCAGCTCTCTAGCAATGTCATCCACACTAGTATGATGTATTTTACGTATGATGTATTTTATGGATGGTTTTATTCATAGTCAGGGCAATGTTGCATTCTAATGAATGTATTTTAAAGTGAAAGTTTGAGGAAATTTCCATATTTTGGACAACAAAACGTCATTATTATATCTAATCATTAAAGAAAGTGTACAGCATTTTGTGTTTTTCTGAACCTCACAGATTCTCCTTATACTGAAAAGAAAAGAGAACAGGCACAGAAACTCAGAGAAACACCTTGAACTGGCCTCAGATGGTGACATTACCACAGCAGACTGTATGTAGTAAAACAACACTATGAAGTTCTCAACTTCTGTTTCTGCCTTAACAAAACTAAAGGCTATATTGTACATTTTATAGATTTTTATAAGGGTGATACTGAGCTCACACTCTCTTTACACCAGACTGTGACTAGTGCCGTAGAGCAAATATGACCGTGCAGCCGTGAGCAAGCCATGGGAATGTCTGTCTGTGTTTTGAGAGCCTGTCTGCCAGCTCATGCATGGAGGACTCCCTTGCTCGCTTTACAATTCAGCTGCACGCCGGCTTTGAAGTCAGTTCATTTCCCCTTGTGTAGCTGCCAATGTAAATAGGCGCTCTCCCCTCCCCCGCTTTCCTGCATGGGTCACCTCCAACGCACACACACACACACACACACACACACACACACACACACACGCACACAAGCAAGTCTGCACAGGCACGCATGAATGGAGACGCAAAGAGTTTCACACAGCTATCCTGAATGTACGGACACACATCAAGATATGGACAGTCGAACGCAGACACATAGAGAGAGAGACACACACACACACACACACACACACACACACACACACACACACACACACACACACACACACACATTATTGTGGAGTGTGTGTTGCTGCCATCCTGAAACTGGCTCAGCAGGTAGAAACTGAGTGCAGTTCTGGCCTGGCCTGCAGTGAATCTCCTTGCATGAGAACACCAGAGAAGGGATTATCATCTCCTCTTACCCACCCCACTGGTCGCACCCTGCCCCTTGGCTAAAAGATGATACCAACGTACAGGGGTCCCCAACACACTGCAACCACAATGCCCCAGGATCCCTGGGAACAAGGCAGCCACATGAAAGCGATGACTTCCAACCATAAATGACAGTCCTAATTAAAGAGCTGAAGGATGTTTTTGCTGTGACCACTGTTGACCTCTATGGCATTTGAGGACGACTTTAAAGTGGACAACAAAATGCTATGAACAGCTTAAGCTGCATTAATAAATGTTAATACAGAGAATATAAATGAATTAATGAATGAATATCTATTTAATGATGGAAAACAAGACTAAGAGTGTACAGCCATGCTACAATGCTCACAATGACAAAACTGACATGCATTGAGTGTGTGGCACATTTAGTATAGTCACATCTATTTCTAAAAGTTTAGTTTTTTTTAAATACATGCTAGTCATGGGGTTCTTAAAAAAACTATTTAGCTGTAATTTATTTTTTTATTTCATATTATTTAGCTAGCTTGTTTTCCATTTCATGTGCATTAATAATGACTGACATCTGCAACAAATGCTGGGATGCTAACTATCATGATTTGTTTTGCAGCTTCAAGATCCAGCAAATTCAACCAATTCTGGACATTTAAAGCAAAAACCACCAATATTTCTGTTGTGGACGATAAAAGCTGAAAGATGCTGAAATGCATCACAGGGCGGAGGGGAACTGCCTCGTGCGACACCTTTCACATTACACAGACATTTGACCCTTTGATGATGTGAAAATATTGATTAGTGCTGCTCTAATCTAAGCGGCTTCATGATCAGGGAACTCCTGCTTGGGAGGGGAAAATGTATCGTTGGTCACAAATGATTACATGTCCATGGAGTACACTACTAATTCCTACATGAATATCCTCTTCTCAGTTGCCCTACTATGCACAAAGTTCAGGGTCAGTCACAGAAAAGCATCCTTGAAGGTCGAAGAGCGGCTTCCAGGATAGAAGGGTAGTCAACTCTCCATTCGCTACACCAGTATGTGGCACAAAAACAACAAAGAAACAGGCGCACAGGTACACACATGTTCTGACATGACACTTGTTTACTTATTACAGTACGTGAGCAGACAGAGCTGTGGGCTCAGCTACTCATTTGAACTCTCCACACACTGTCTGCAGCGTCACCACCACTTTCTCTAATAGATGTAATTTCCTGACTGTGTATCCACAGGGGGATCTGATGTCTGGAGCTCTGGCTGCCACAGGTTTGTGTGTTAAACAAGCAAAGTTAACAGGACAAGAGTGATGAGAGAGGCAGAGAGAGGAGGAGGAGGAGGTGGAGGAAGAGAGAGATAGAGACAGAATTAGAGATAGAAAAGGGAGGTGTGATAACAATAGAAGGGCAGGTAAACAATAGTGCCCTCACTGGCTTCTCACCACCAGCTGCCTGTGGTGTCAGCACCTGGGTCTCACATGGTGTCCAACAGTAGATGAGGAGAGGATCAACAATAAGCAAAGAGGAGTGAGTCTTTTCTCAATCCAGGTCTCTGGGAGAGTTTGAGAGGAATGCACAGATAACCTCAAAGTCATAACAACAGTGTGGAGGAGTATCGGATCTGAGAAGCTGCTTTAATAGATACACACAAGGAGGTGGGGCTGATCCGGCAAATCAGACTGGCAGGGTACATTTGACATACTGTAAAGGGTGATCACTAAAGCTGTTGGGCTTGGAAAGAAAATGGATGCACTGCTTTTGATTTAACTGCAAAACACAGGTAACAGAAGGTAAATGAGTCAAATGTTCAACTGATTATTGAAAATAGTTTCAGATAAAATTTCTGTCGATCGACAAATTGACTAAGGCTGTCGCTGCAGCTCTAGTTCACAGTAAGGTGTTTTTCTTTGTGTAATTCGTGCGAACCAACCCAGGACCACCTCATCGATTACCTGGACAACTAAAATCGACTCCACAGATTCACACAGGCCATCCAGCTGCTTGTGGTTTACAGCAGCACCTCATCAGTGCAGATACTGTACAAGTCTGTGTTTATGATTGATAGCACAGTTACAGTGGGCAGAAGTGTACACTGACTCTTGGCTACGCACTGAGGAAAAACCAGAGCCAAACTAAACATAGGCTTTGCTTTGTGTCCATTGTTGAGAGAGCCTTAGGACAGAGGCTTTGCCGTGTGAGTCATCTCGTATTTAAGAGTTTCCATTTCCATTCATAATGGCACTGACAGCCATTGAGGAACATGGCCTCTACCTATTACAGTCATCTCAGGGCCCGCAGCCTTAGCCAACTTGGCCAGCAGAGTTTGGGTAAGACAGCAGGTGTTAAAAGACACATGATGAACAAAGTATTCAAAATAACAGCGCTATCCTCAGACAAATTGCTGATTAATAAAGCTCTTTTTAACCAAAACCCTGATGTGCAGATACACACATTTAGGCCACAGAAAAGCCTCACTGGAGCAATTGGCTGTTGAGTACCTTGCTCAAGGGTACTTCAAAAGTACTTGTTAGGGAAGGAAAGTGCAATACTCTTTTTCTCTCTTTCTCTCTCCCTGTCCAATTTTTCCAAGCTGGTGTGGGAACGTTCAAATCACAGACCCTCTTCTTTAGCTCAACTTCCACGGCCTCTTCTCGTCCTTAATTGTTATTTTCTCGAACCAGACCAGAGGGACTCTTATTGAGAAATGGAAACTCATTTTAAACTGACAGTGCACTTTAACACAGCTCTTGGCTTTTCTGCCTTTTTACCTCTTACAGGAGTATGTACACAGTATGCACAGAATAACTTGTTTATTTACTCAAAGGGTGGTGGGTGATGGTTATCAGTCAAATGAAGACCTATGTGGCTGGCTAACAGCTCTGAGGCCTTGGTAATGACAGCTCTGGGGACAAGAATTCAGCAGAAATGTTTCAAAATTGCTATGCAGCCTGCAGCTACTGCTGGTAGAATCTATCAAGCATCTGAGTTACCGCCTAGAAAGAGTTATGTATGTTATGACGGATAAAGAAATAAACTGTCTGATGCCCTACATTCTTATAAAAGCTGATAAATAAAATAATGCTCCCATTTTTTGGCAAAATAATATGAAACGTGATTTTTATTTTGAACATATGTACAATTTAAAGACTTTAATTATAACTTAAAAAGACCTATTGGCTTTTCTACACCAGCATACTGACCCATAACTTGGTTTCTTGGCTCCCTGAAATACTGTGCAGCAAGCACTTCTTTTTTTACCTGGATCTTGCTATTACAGCACTAATCAGCACTGTTGGAGAGTGTCCTCAACCAATCCAAAGGCTTAGCTTAAACTGGCTGTTTTATAAGAGCTATTGATCCCACTCCCATGGGTTTGGCTGTGTTCTGTTCTTTCATGATTTAATCGGTTGCTTTTATAGGCCAATTACACCTACTTGCAACTTGGAGGGAGCAGCAGTTTGCCACATTTGTACATTTAAAATGTGAAGAAACTGTAGCATGCAGTAACATGAGCCCCAGCCTCACCTCCTCTGCGACTTGTACACGGAGCTCAAAGTCACTCAAGTCAGAGAAGAGTATATGATCGCACATTTCAAAACAAATTTCTGACTGATTCAGTAGCTGTTTAGCTGCTGCTCATAACCATTCCAAACATGTCAAAGTGTGAAAAGCAGTTACCTCTTTCAGACCTGGAGGCAAGCCATTGGTTCAATGCCTCTGTAATTATGCCTTTGAAGTTCAGGAAGCTTTTTCTACAAACCACACTTAAGACAGGCCCAGAAAGCAAGCAGGACAAGGGTGATGACAAACATTGCACTGGGAGGGTCTTTGTTGAGTAAGTGCCTTCATAAAAGAAAAAAAAAAGAAAAAACCTGCAATGTAAATGAGGAAAAACCCTACAAAACACCGTAAGCCAATATCTTAATGTAAAAATGTTTTCTTCACCTAAACCTGCATAAAACTAAAATGTAGTAAAATGCACAATCAGACTTATGCAACTTAACAAAGTCTCAGATTATATGGGTCAGGTTATGTTTAAAAAGAACTAGTTCATGTAACGTGTTGTCCGACCTCGTCCTAAGGCAAAAGTGTTAACATCTGTTCCGAAAAGCATATACTCGAAGCACACAACAAGCAGTTCTGATGACGTATACTTATGACTTAAAACATGCGTGCCAGAAATTTTAATTCCACCATGACGTTTGCACTTGTGGTTTTATATGTCAAATAGTTATAACTATGGCAATATCCTGACTTTTTCTCTAGCGCCACCATTTGGCCAGAGCTCCATTTCCATCACAAAAAAGCTACAACAAACTGCCATCTATGTCTGGAGCAACGCCAAATATGTCTTAAAATGTTTCAGGACTTTAATTACTTTTTTCTTCACAGCTCTGTGGTCATCAAAAGGCAAATTACTGTCAGTAAATCAAGGATAAGACACTTCCCTCTGTGCCTGCACTGCACGGCGCACTGAACGATAATTTTCATCACAAATCATGTCTGCTTTTAAGTAAGGGCTATAAATTATGTATTTTGTGGCTTTACAGCTAAGCTGTGAAGTTTATCAAATCCTCTCCTCAAGTTCAAACAGAACTATATATTATTGTCACAAAAATGCTGTGGGACTGTAGAGACCACCGTGCTCTTGGGGTTTATTAGAAACTATGCAAGCAGTCATAAGAACTATTCAGCCAAGCTGCCTCCGGACAAAGAACTAACGGGGTCCTGGGACTCAGCTGCCTAGACCAAGTAGATCCATTTTCTGTGCTTGGCGGTCGGGGCTATGGGAACAGTCTGGGCTATGAAAGCCCTCTCTGTAGCAGGACCCGAGGTTCAGTTCAGTCAGTCGCTCACCTTTCACTCTCTCCTTCTCTTTCTCTCCTTTTTCTTCCCTCTTTCTCTATCTTTTTCTCTGTCTCCTCCCACTCAGTCCTGATGATGCTGGTCTGGATTTAATGCCCAGGTTTACATTTCAACACTGTCTTTCCTGGGAAACATCCAGTAGCAGGCATGGCAGGGAGCCATGCAGATAAAGACTGGCCTCTGATTAGCCTTCCCAGACCTGCTCCGGTTCCCCGTGTGCCCTTGTGCCCCCTCTACCACCTCGCCAAAGTGGATAGCAGGGAAATGTTACACACCTCCATTTACAAGGGTCTTTGTTTGAAAGGATTACGTGTAATGGGTTGGATCTGGATTCAGTATCCTTCCTCTCGTCTTCAGGTCTCTTGTGGCCTAAATACTCCTTTAGACATAAAAAGGGCCCTTCTTATTCGCTTCAAAATCCTTTTCCATTCCCCAATAGGAATTCAAGATGATTGCTATGAACCTCTCAACCCCACAGTGAAGAACAGTGAAAAGCTAAATGTTTCAGCACATGCACTGATGTGGTTTTATAACTCTGACTTCAGCGTTCATGATGTTAGGGTAAATTATGAGGACATATGTAGCCATCAAAATGGCAAGGAGGCTGAATGAGTCTTAGCTTAAGCATTTCTCCAGACCTAGAATAGATTTTATTATGATTTTTTCTTAAAAAAGAAAGAAATGTTTTTTCGATGATTATCATAAATGCAGGTGCACAGAGTGAAACTGGACTCAAAAGTGTATTATAGGACACTGCCAAAAATGTTAGACTGGAACTAACATTTAGCCATTTCAAGGCTCTTTTAATTTGATCTGTATTTTTTTGTTATAAAATGAAATTATTTTAACTAGCCACATTCCCAATGCAGATATTTTTGCAGTCTTGAGACTCGTACAATGACTTATGGCTGGGAAAGACAACCATAGGGATCAATATGACCCTGATAACTATTCTGCACACAGGGCCTTGGCCTATAATTAGAGTAGCATGCACTTCAAAGGGAGCCATAAAAGCAAATATTCTTAGTTCAACAACAGTTAATTGGACAGTAGATCTAATAACAAGGATCTGCTCTGTTGGTGGTTGTAATTTCAGAGGCTGGGTGCAGCCCTGGTTGGAGCTGTCAGAGGGACAATCCGATGGGGAAGGGAGGAGGTGACCCTGAGGGAGAGATTTACTGTACACTCCCAAGTGTCACCTGATATTACTACTCCCTCTCACCTTCTCTTCTGTTGTCCTGTCCAGACATGCCACAGAGACTGCTCAAGGAGGGGAGGAGCAAAGGAAGTGACGGGAGGATGAAGCGAGGAGGGCAAAAGGAAGCAGTAGTTTTTCTTGCCTGTCAATCCTAAAGCTTCTGATACAGTGACATAATCTGATTAACTACAGTTTGATGGTTACAAACCTGGAGAAAAGCTGAAAGAGAGAGCGCTAGTTTCGCGTGTCTCAATGCAAACATTTAGTAATTGGTATACAGAGCAAAGTACAGCTGTGGCTAATGTGAATATCATTAGTTTTGCAGGTATTTAGTCATAAACCAAAATATCAGACAAATTCATTTTTGACCTGGTGCTGTCACTAGATGAAAAGTCAGCAGTCGCAAAATCAGTAGGATTCATTGACTGGGGACCATGAGTGTCTGTTCAAAGTTTCATGTCAATCCATCCAATAGATCATCCAAAGCCAAAGTTGCCGACAAGGCCATCCGTAGAGCCATGTCGTTAGCATGGCTAAAAATGTATTTGATCTCGAGTGGTTAAACACACAGTGGAATGTACTAGTCTGTGTTCTCAGCCCTGCAGAGTCAGCAGTGTTTAGCTCTCAAACCCATAATCATCCATGTCTGTCCTCCCGTCTTTCTAGATTTTATTTGTGCATAGAAAAGTAACATGATACACAATGTCATTTTTTTTTTAAAGCAGATCAAATAACTGAGCTTATAAAAAGGGCTGGACTAAAGTAGCATGAACACCCTGGCTGCCACAGAGGGAGCTAACTTGACAATTTACTTTAGCCTGACATAGCAGGACTGGCTGAGTCTCTGAGTTGACAAAGCTCCTGTAAACAAAGATAAGAAACCTTGGGAGGTATGTTAAACCGGTAAATATGTGCCACTGTGGAGGCTCCAGCACAGACTGGGCCAAACCACAACAGCAACAGCTGTGAACAGCTGGAAAAAACATGACTAATAGACTCACAGCTGCTTCTGCCTGATGACAAACTCAAGTTAATACTAAGATTCCCCTCAGGTGATCTTCAACACAACCTTTGCAAGTGAGGTTAAGCCTCAATTATACTCCCTTTCAGACACTCACATGGACAGCTGCGGACACCACGGACATGTAGTTGCTCTAGTTTCTAGTCTGCTTCAAGGACCCATGCACAGTTGGTGCCCTTGTAGCATAGTGGCCACGCTTGGAGGCTACGCACAAAGCCCTGCGTACACCCTCTGATGACGAAATTTATGTCACTCTGACCCTAGGTGACCCTCACATACTTGCAGTTGTGGAAAGTACAACACTAGCCTTAAAGGACTGTAATGGAGATCAAGAACATTTGTCTATCTAACTTGCTATAAAATACCTATTTGCCCCAAATTATTGCTATTAATAAACAGTTTGATGTGTGATGGAAACCCCCACGTTCTCTTGACCCCTTTTCTGGTGCTACTGGAAACAATGTGATGGACAGTTTAATTCCTAATCTGAAGGAAACTTGGAAATAAATTCAGGGAAATCCGGAGTATAACTATAGTAACCGTAGATACTGGAGGGAGAACTAAGGCATAAAGGTGTCATTTTAAGCCTGATATAACCCAAACATTTTGAGATGAACTGGTATAAGTGAAAAGAATCTTTCAACTTTTGGGGGGAAAAAAAAAAGTTGGACATAGGAAGTTACCTTCCACCATCAGCATGGGCTCCTTGGCTCCTCCATGGGCCAGCATCTCCCGACGGTAACGTTCACCCATGTCTCTGAAAAAACACAGAGAGCGAGACAAAGACAGACAGAGAGGAGAGAGAGATAAGGTTACAGACACCTGTATTCTCCTCTGTCAGATCCTCATACCCCTCCAACACCGCTGCCACCACTTGGAGCCCAGGGCCAAGTCTCCTAAGCTGACAAGCAGCAGACAAGTGACAGGAAACAGAGATCTGACAACTGCAGGTGGAACTAAAACAATCTCAAAAGGAAAGCAAAGAGAGGAAGAGAGAGAGACGGCAAAAGAAGAGAAAGGGAAAGAACAAGAGAAGTAGTGAGAAAACGCTGCAGGGCTTGAGTTGATGGAGATAAGGTTGAGGTTTTGTTTTTCAAAACAAAGTCTTTGTGCTTTGTCCAGGGGCAAACACTTGTGAAAAGGGAGGGTCTGGTAATGGGGATGCTGGTTGTGTGTCTGTGAATTACAGCAGACACCTGCCTAGTCAGTGCAAGTTTCACATTAATGTCATGTTCAATGTCTGGCGGCAGAGCCTCAAACAGTATCCAGGGAAGGCGGCCTGTCAGGGGGGATCTGTCTCAGTGCTCTAAACGCAAAACAGGCTCACGCTGTGCTTTCACATTATTTGTGTAGGTTACAAGTTACAAGTACCTGAAAAGAAAGTCAAGTCTGAAAGTTAATCAAAACATTTCTAATACCTCAGTGAACCTTATAACCACTGTCATGCTATTGTTGGGGACGTTCATTGTTTTGACTTAAAATTGAATGTCTAAATTTGTCATTTTCATCTCTGTGATACCAATATTCAAACATAATCAAATATGGCGCATTATTCAAATCAAAACGAAATGAATCTCCCTGATCTGTTTTAACTTCAATATTCTGTTATTTATCAGAATCAATAAAATGGTGCAAAAGGTTTGAATATCTGACAAAGTAACAACATGGAACTTAAATTCATATGCCATTTTCCTGGGCTTCCATCTTTAGGTAGAGGAGTTTTATCAAATGAGTACAATGTTCATTACTAGTTCCCTCTCATGCTAAAGTGTATTTGATATCAAATGCTCAATTTGAACTTTCTGTGCTGAGTTTGATAGTTTGTTATTGAATTTTTTTAACCGTAAGCAGCTGTCTCACCTGTTTAAAGGATCCTGAACGAAGCACTGTCTCCACACCATTGAGGCCACGGCCCGGGACATGAGGTAGGAGTAATACTTGGCCCCATAGCCAATCAGGTGGCTGAATCTCAGCTGCCATGCCTACACCAGAAAAAAAAAGAAGAAGGTCCACATCCACAGGTTGTACTACAGCAGACTGGATGTGACAGAGGAAAGAAGTGATAGCAGAATTCTGGCTCACAAATAGAGGAAATTACACAAACAGTGCATGCAATTCTTGCTTGCCACTATGAATTAGTTTTGACTAAATTAAACATGTAATGGGTTTGATGGAAACGGTGTATATGGTGAGGCTGCGGTGTGGCAGAGGGAGGACATCACAGCCTTAAAAGGATTAAAAGTCTGTGGTTGTAAAACTTGTTGAGAGAAGCTGTTCCATGAGCACAGCTAACTATTCCAGTAAAAAGGCACAAAGTGAGGCTGTAGATGATGACTACAACTCAAACTAAAACTACAGTCAGGCATAAAAACCATCTCCATAAATTATCAACCTTCTTTCATGTTTTGACATTGGAACTAAACTGATGTGGATATTAATAAACAGTTGGATAAATATGTCAAATACTCTTTTCATCTTTTAAGCTGCTTCCATTGTCTTTATATTGGTGGAATATATACAGCCAACCCCAACAAACCTCTACAACAAAGCATGAAATCACAACCTGCCAGCTCCTTCTTTAAAGGACAAAACATGGAAATTCCTAAATGGTCTCCTCTTTTCTCCCTCATAGTTGCCTGAGGGGGCCCCCTCTCCATATCTATAAAGACAAGCTCTTTTATGATCTTTGCAAACGGGGACTCTGGGGGAATTCAGCTGGCAAACACTCAAACATTCAGCCTGTTAGAGAAGACAGCAGCTGCCATAGTTAACAAAACCATAACAGACTACAGACGCCTCCCTCAAACTCCACATTAAAAAAACTTTAAACTTTAAACATGTTAATGATGTATACTCCACCTGCAAGTGAAATAACTGTCTGAATGAAAGCATAACGTATGAAATGTTCTGTGTTTGTACGCAGACAACCTTCATGCTTCAGTACTATACGAGAGAAAAACTAGGTATATTTTTATTGGCCTTGGTGACTGGTGTATTTTTGCAACCCAAAACTAACCGTTTTCATCATCACCTTACATAGCAGTATACTGTATTTAACCATGAATCAACTCATTTTTGGCTTCTTGGGGGCAACAAACTGTAAACACATCACTGACATACTTAATTATAATTTAATTTCATTAAGTTGACATGGCAAAACTTGATAGCAAACAGTTGCTTATTTACACACCACACAGATAAAGATTAATTTTAGCATTCATTTGTAGTCGTAAGTCCAATATTGACTGTACTTTTAGCTCTGTTTTTGGTCACTACCTACTACTGAGGAAAAAATCTGGTGCTAAATGCTGTACTTTACCAGCTTGCTATTTGGTGCTGAGCAGGTGATGTACAGTGGGTTTATCACTAAAAAACAGCTGCCTACTGCAGCCGAAAACAACACCATGACAGAGCTGAGAGTGAACCAAAACAGTAGAGATGCAGGACGGAAAACCAAAACAATGATTTTTGAGATGCTATAAAATGCCATACAGCTGAGGGAAACAGAGTCAGGTGATAATTCTCTGTGGGTTCCGCAGTATATATTGCAATATGATCCATAGTAATAAAAATATTGACTATAACAGCTTTAATCTGCCATGTCCGATTGAGAATAAAATCTCAGATTTTGCAATCTAATTTTTAAGGGAGACCTGAGTACATTCATTCTGTCTAAGGCAGTCTATACTACAATGTTTGCTTAAGAATAATATCAATGAGATTATGAAAATTAATCAAAAGTCTATTTCATCAATTCTGGATTATAATGACAGGATTGTATTATGGAATCATATCTGGAATCATAATTGTTACCTCTGTATATACATTTTATTTTATTCTGAAGTTTGGGCTAAAATATAAAGCAAGGAGTTCAAAATTAATCCTTGAAATTATTACAGATTAATTCTAAAAAAAGATTTTACAATTTATGTTATGGGATGACAAAGTGTAATGAACTTTGGATGTAAATGTCTAAAATGGGAGCTCCTCATCTTCACCGTGGCGGGAGAGAGCTTGGTGGTTTCATTTGGCCTGAGTGATCCAACAGCGTTAAAAAATACCTAAGCTCCAAAGTGTCAACTTGATGAGACTCTTCTGGCTGTAGTGACTTTAATAAGAGTGAATAGCACTCCTCAGAGGATTTAAGGCTCACAAAACCACAGGAAAGCTGAAGTTGTCTGTTTCGTCAGCTGAACCCAGCAGTGATACACTGCCTCAGGTCATGTGGGTTAGAAGTCTGTTTTAGACTTTTAGAATCAAACTCGCATGAGAGAAAAACCAAAAACCAAAAAACAGAAAATGTTCACAAAATTAATTGACAGATTATGCTGTTCTGTTTTGTTGTACATTTTTAGTTTAATTAAAGTTTTTAACCAGTGGGAAAGTCAGCCTTTCATTTGGAAACTTTGATTCCACTGTATTTCCTACGTGGTTAATAGCTGCTGCTATTTTGGGGAAAAAAAAGCAGCTATTGAAGAGCTATTTGGTATGTCTGTCTATGTGAGTCTTTGACAACAATCGCCACAATGTGCAACGAAAATGATTTTTTAGACTTCCAAGCTCCTCTTTGTTTCCAATCCCTTAGCCACACATCAAATGATTAATGTCAACTTTTGTGAGAGAGTGCAAGTGGGTCACATGTCAGCGAGATATCCTTTTGATCCTTACACACAAAGGACACAAAGTCAGCACAGGCTTTTTACTCTGTTCCACTTGTACGTGAGACAAAAGACAGTTTTGTTCCTTCCAAACTCAACTGGTAGTGTTTTGTCCATGGTGCTAAGGTGCAACAACACATTTTTACAGGAGAATGTGGAAAAATATGAGCCAGGCCTTGCCTTAAAAACACTTAAAAAGAGGATCATTAAAAAGAGGCACAAACACTTGGTCCTGGAGCATTCAAGCCAAGAATTGCAGATTAGAGAAATGTCAACACAGCAAGCAGAACATTTTGCTTTCTGCCATTTATTTCCAAATATTATCTTCAGCTCAAGGGTGAGCATGTGGTCTGTGTTACTCACAGCTGATCCTCTCTCTCAGCGCACAGCGGGAACTGATAGCCCTGCTCTATAAACTATACACATGTCAGTGTCACCCCAGTGTTTATAATCTGTGGCCCTCCGTAACCTATTAGCCACTCAAATGTTCGCTTTTCTGTGGAAACTTTTCCTGTGCTGTGTTTCCATGAGGAGAAAGAGAGATGCAGAGGGTAAATTTAAAAAAGAGACAAGTTTAAGTAGAGTCTGTCACTGAAGGATCTAAACAAATCTGTTTTCAGTTGCACTGATCCAATGATGATCCCATCCTCGATAGTCAAGCACTGCAATCATCTGCAGTTCAAATGAGGAAAACGATCCTGCTGCGGTTAGCTGTGCACATGGAGGTGAAGTGTCTGTTAGAGCTTTCAGTGTGGTTTGAAAAGTTGAAGAGAAATAACTGCAACAGTGGGAAACTGTATGACATAAACCACAAGCTCTGGCGAGGGAGCTACAAAGCAGGGCACAAGCAGAAGTGTAGGAGGACTCCTGTGAGGAGAAACGCTGGCTGGGGCACTGACAACTGGGAGAATATACAGCAGTTCTGAAATCTCTATTCCTGATGGTACCCCACATAATTATAGCCCAGAGTAAATGCGCTATGAAGACCATTTCTGGCTAAATTATGACTGTGCTTTTGATTCCCTTCTCCCTGCTGGCCTCATCCCCTCGCCCACAGCTGCAAAAGTAAGGGAAATAGAGAGATTTTTTCATTAAAGGACCGAGAGGAAGAGTTTCAAATATTTCCCCCAGGGAGAGCTCATTCAAAGTATACCTCTGCTTTGTTATTTTAGCAGGGCTTCAAAAAAAGACTTTAATCCCTTAAACGCTGCTGTGCCTGGGTAAAAGATATAAAACCAGAGAGAAAGAGGAAGGAAAGAGAAGGAGAAAGGGAAATCAGAGTAGAAAGTCCTCAGTGAAGTGTGTGTTGTTTCTGTGCTGTGATCACCTGGACAGAACTTTCCCCAAATTATCATCAACCTCAAAGACTGTAACAGATCTCATGATACAATATTTAGGAGACCAGCTACTCAAAAGAAATGAACTCAAAGACAGTGTGTGAAATAGCACAAAGACAGACAGGGATGTACCGTATTGGGGGTATAAGGCAAGCCGTAGAATTTCTGCTGCATCTCCTTCAGAATTTCTGTGGTGGAGCGGTTCTGAGGTTTGCTGTGGTAGATCTGGTCCAAGACTGCATAGAAAATCTGCCCAGGAGGGAAAACAACACAGCTCCTACTGAGTCAGTCCTGCACATACAGTACATGCTCAACAGAGGAAAGAAAGGAAAATTTGTAGACTTCTCTATAGAAATAGGGGAAAATAATAGCATTTATATTGTTGTATTTAACATCAACAATGAATTAAAAGAACAAGCAGTTAGACTAGGTTGAGGGTGCTTTTTGTTTGAGTCTAACACAGGGCTTAATCCCTGTCCAGCACAACTGCTAAAAGACAAATAAACCAGGAGGACAAAACTAGAAAAAGGTAATGTGGTTTAATGATTTAACAGAAATCACCAACTCAGTGGTAGTTTCACAAACACTAAATCAGGAAAAAACTTGTGTAACCCCTTGCACTACCAGATGCTGTTAAATGTTTATGATAAGTACGATTTCCGCATCCTTCATCCATAAAGGACTGGAGGCTTTCCAACTTAAAGGAATGTTCATTATCAAAACATCGGCATATCTTCAGCTTTCCGTCATGACTTCAGAGAAGCACCGAAGCTGGAGGTCAAGGATGGCTCTGCATGATTAGGTGTTTCTGTTATCTTATTTACTATTTACTTATTTATTCTCCCTATTAGCATGGCATATTGACAGCAGTGAAATACCTCTGACCAAAAGCTCCATGGAAACATCCTTTGGACTGTCACAAAAACAGGTATCATAAACTAGCTACCATGAGTTGTGAAAAGATCCTGCGGTTGTGTTTTCCCTGAAAAGTGAAGCACTGTATACTTTTAGTTTTAACTGTGGGTCATGTGTGTGGGACTGATCGCTGTACCTGCAGCTGGGTGTCTGCAGCTCCGCACACTTTCTTCGACTCACATAGCCGAGCCACCATACTCTCAGGCAGAGGCTGAGGAGACAGAATAAACATGCTGGTAAGAATTCAATTAACTCTGTTTTCTTACATCATAGAAATGTTTACATAGTATCAGCCAATGCAACACAATTTACAACATCATAGCAAAAATGAAAAATGAAGGTGTTCATAATACCATAATTATGATTAATTGGACAAAATGTCTCTGCAATCTCTAAGTCTCACTAGTGCAAATCTGTCTTCATATTGGGGTTTATGTTGAGGGTTTAGGTGTACCTGTCCAGTTTCATAATGGCGTGCAAACTGACTGATGACTCGATAGTCAGTTGCAAAGTACTCCATGAGGATGGAGGGGACTTCAGCAAAGTCGGTTGCACATCTGGTTCCTAGAGGAAAGATGTCAGAGCTCAGATATAAGGGGGGAAAAAAACATAAAACAAAGGAAGGCTTAGTTCAATCTTGCTGTGTGGGCTGATGCAGACGCAGATCTATCACCCACTCTGTACCTTGGCATTCACACTGTGCTCCTCATGAAGACAGTGTAATAATACAAACCTCAAGTGATTTGTGGTGCAATGACAAAACCAGGTCTTTATATTCCCCAAAAAAGAACACACCACTCCGATTGGCTCATCCTTTTAGACTGCAAGTACTGTACATCACTCTGACCATCCCCAGAGGTTTAAATGTAATATCAAGTGCAGCATCGGACATTAAAAAGATATTATGAGAACTGAAAAATGTAGCATTAACTTACTGGTAATGCACCCACTGTGAGTGTTTAGACACAATTCAAACTTAAGTAGCATGTCTAAACAGGTGTAAACATGGTGTCCACTGAAGAAACAGCCTCCAGTTGAGTTAATAGATACCATTATTGCTGTAAAATAAATACTTTTGGGATCTTGAATTACTAGCAAAGGTATCCATCAACTTCATCTGGCAAGTGAAACAGTGTTTAATGACAGCTTTGGCAGCCAAGGATTCAGTCTAAACCTCTCCCTGGGGCTTACACTTAATCGGATTTACCCTCAATTTTCAATTCAACACGCTGTAATGAATAACCTATAGCTCTGTACCTAACTACATAATTCTAGCTTGTGACGTTTGGACACGGCACAGCCACCATTTTCAGACACAAGTCTCATTAAACCTCAACCATCAATCACCTCCTACATTCCTGGACTATTAATACTTCACTAAATCCTCTGCCAGGTTAACAGTTTGAATTGTACTGAATGATAAACGTGTACAATCTTAGCCCAATTATAATGACTTACTTTTGAAAGTAGATGTAAATCCAAATAAAGCTTTTAAATTGCACATGGATACAGTGTCCAGCATGTTCTGTGTGTGCTCACGCTTCACCTGTGACATGCTGGTAGCGAGTGCGTCCCAGCATGGAGTGCATGGCGTGTCCCATCTCATGGAAGAGGTTCTCCATCATGCCTGGAGTGAGCAGGGTGGGGGCGCTCTTGGTGGGGTGGGGCAGACTCAGCATCAGCACCACAACTGGCAGCTGGTACTGACCTGTTTCCTGGCACCAACGGCCACCGCGGATAGTGAAGTGACAGTCCTGGGAGAGAGAGGAAATGGTGAGGCCACGGGTGAGCAGGGAGGTAGAGACTGACAGAAAAAACATAATGTAGAGGAAGGTGCATATTTTGTCACCGATGTAATTAAGAGAATAACACAGGTCTACATCACTAATTGTGACCGTGCCCTCTCATTTGTCAGAGGTCTGAGTTGTTCGAGTGCCTTTCTAGTTTTTTTTTTATTGTTTTATTTTTGTTTTTTGTAAAATACTCATCTGTTATTTTAAAGTGCAATATAAAATTTACTATTATCATATTATTATTAATTTAAAGCTTTAGACATCTAACATGAACCTCTGTAGATGAGTGTATGTATACACACCTGATGAGGTTTATCTGACCGGTGGAAAAAGTCACAGTAGATATATCCCAGTAATCCCTCTGTTTCATGTACGACAGCCTAGAGAGAGAGCGAGACACACACACACACACACACACACACACACACACACACACACACACACAGGTTCATTCTTTGATTCTGATCTTTGAAATCTTTCACAATCTTTGAAAACTGTCTTTGGTTTAATGAAGAGCATAAAACAGACTTCAGCGAATAACATACATTGAAAGAGGCACTGATGCCTCATTAGCATAAAGAATCAACACAATCACAGATTGCTTCAGTATTAGTAAGAGTTACCAGTTTGCGGACATCCTCGCTCCACACCTCACCAGCGCTGGGATGTTCAGACATGAGGGAGACACCATACAGCTGAGAGAAGAGGTTGTTCAAACCCTCCATACAGGCACCCAGAGACAGGTAGGGACTGTACAGACTGGGCTCTATGTTGTACCTGACAAGACAAAACATAAACTAATATAGAAATGAAAGAAGCAGCTACTTTGAATCTTCAGGTCAGTAGATCATGATGTGATTAGTCTTTGTTCACCAAATGTTTTAACATCCTTTATTTAAAAAGTCTAATCTACATATTCAATATTCAACAAAACTGAGTACATCCCTGGTCAATATCACTAAAATGTTAAGTAATTACAAATCATGTCCATTTAATACAATTTTATTTGTTTTTAGCCAAAGCCCAAGAAGAATGAAGCCAATTAATTTGAAAAACAGAAACATATGACCAATTAAACTGCAATGAAAGGCACATGGTTAAGATCCAACTGCAACAAAAATCTTTCATTAGTGAAATTCCATTCTCTTTTTTTTTTTTTTTTTTTTAAATACTATGTATGCCTTTATTTCTGATGACAGATTTGAGCCTCCTGGGCATGGATGATTTCAGTCTTGCACAAATCTGTGGGGAGATGTTCAGGCATTCTTCACATATGATTGTTTTCAGCTGCTCTTTGCTCTTAAAAAAACAATAAATTAATCTAAGGAATAATACAGGGAATAAAAAATGTGCTGTGTCCCTAACGGAAAATAATCTTATGTCTTCAGGTGACACAAGAGTGCCTCCCATCTTCTAGTGTACTGAGGAAAGTATCAAACTATTTGAAAGTCACCGTATGTAGACTGTTGGTATAAACATGCCATTGGGTGCCTATTTCCGACCACATTCTCCTCCCTTTCTGCTTCCCCTGCCTGTTACTGTTTTTATAATCCCCTTTGCAACAACCTCTGAACTGGCAACCTACACATTGAAAATGGCAAGTTCTGATGAGATTTGGATCGTGTAATCATACCGTTGACGTACGTGTTTGGTGTTTTTCGTGGAGTTTTCTTTGCAGGGAATCAGCTGTTTAAATGACATTGCAAATATTCTACCAAATTAAGTTCCCATCAAACACTACTTTGCAGGAAAACCTTCACTGCATCCTGGGCAAGACGATTGTGACTGGTTTAAAGAAATGCTAACAATCCAGAGCATTTTTTCCCCCAATAGCAGAATGATTATAGGTGCAGCCAGACCATTCCCCAATGGTGACACAGCGCTGTGGAGGCTACGCAAGACTAGATACAGAGTAAAATGTTCCAAAAAGCCCAATCCACATCAAATTCATTCTTAAGGACAGAAAAATCCCCAGTCTAAGCCACAAGGTTCTTATCCTTGGGCCACCCGTTCTTAAAATGGATGCATTCATTCTGCTATAAGGCACTTTAGATAAAGACCACCAAACCAAAATGGTTGTTTAGCAGCACATCTAGTGTATTATCAGTGATGAATAACAGACTGCTGCTGAGCACAGCTACCAGCTCTGTTTACCACAACCCCCCACGCAGACGCACACACAATCTGTACCTCATTCAGTATGGTTTGAACACTTCAAGCGGTTACTGATGGAAAATCAGAGATTCAGAGAAAATTATTTGAGTGAGTGACTTAGTGAAGAAGCATGGGATAGTGACCATTGGGTTTGTTAGAGAGATCAACTATTTTTGGGTCTGTGTGTGTGTGTGTGTGTGTGTGTGTGTGTGTGTGTGTGTGTGTGTGTCTAGTGGAAAACAGAAGCTGCTCTGGGGAAACTGCATTTTAACTCAATCAGACTGCATCCTTAATTTCTTTATGGATCTCCTGCCAACTAGCAGAACCCAAAACCACATACACGAGAAGACTAGAAATTTCCTCTGCTGGAGGGGTGGCAGTATGAGAGAGTAGAGGACAAGATCCAGGCCTCCTCAGAACAGTTACCAACACATGTAAATGCACACACACAAGTTGGTGGCTGCTTAAATCCAAAGGACACATGAGGGATCTATAACATCTGCAATAAAGATTTATTTAAAACTTCTCCAAAACATTTGGCCCAATGTGTTAATAGTCTCTGGTGAGTGCTGGGAAGGAAAAGCGCAGTTCATTAAGAACGGATATCTGTAAAATAAAAAATTGAAGACGCTCAACAGCTAAACTTAGAATATGGCAGCATGATTTCTTAAGATGTGCTGTTTAAATTAGTTTGAAATGAAAACGTTTCAGTAATAGGGGTGCCCTGGTGGCGTAGGGGTTCAAATTGAAAGGGAAAAGTTAAATCTCATTGAGAACAATCACACCTAACCTAGGCTGTCATCAAGTCAAAGCAGGCGAAGAGCGAAAGGAGCCAAGATCATCACAACCACACATATCATCATAGCCAGAGAAATAAATCAGGAAAAAGTGTTGCCACAATAATGTAGACACATGTTGAATGTAACAGACAAACGCTTTAGGGGCTGCAAAATGCATTGAAACCCAAGAGCAATACTAGGCATAAAAGACAGCGTGAACATAAAGTCACCCTAAAACGCCACTGGTACAAACAATAACAAAGGACAACCACAGACTGAAGCAGGAGATGTTGATTATATCAGAATGTATTGTCCTGAATCAGAAGAGCAATATGAGAGAACACTTCGACAACTCCCATGCTTCTCCCTTAACAGCTTTTGTATCTGTCACCCGAGCAAGAACTTGGATGCAATAACAACTTGCACCTTGCTGGAATATGGGGTTACAAACATCTTAGACCAACACAAAGATACCGATCAAGACGCCTTTATCAAATGACAGCATGCTGAAAATTACGTTTCATAAGATGGTATATACTCACCTTTCAGCACGCAAGACACCACTGAGGAACGGATGATCCCAGGGCATGAGCTCCTATAAGATAATACCAGGAGCTTTTCATTCACATTTGATATCAAACAAATTAATATAGACAAACTGAATTATAGGCAATAAAATACAGAATAAAACACAGTCAGATTAAAACCTTTAGGCACTTAATAGTACTTACATACTGAGGGAAATGTATAATATTTGAAAGTATGAGGATACACTGTAATGCTGTGTAGTTGAAAATAAGATAATATTATGTATATAGAGAATATGTTGTGGACCAAAGTCACTCACAGAATTACGAGGGTTGAGTTTCTTCTTCATGTCCCTCATCATCTTGAAGTCTTTCGCTGTTCTGTGAGATAAAAAGAAAAACACCAAAAAAAGTCATGAGCTAATTGACTGGAGGCATTCATTCCAGTCTTTTCCCAGTTATCTCTACTCAGGGTCAAGGGGGGCCAGAACCTATCCCAGCATGCATTTGGCTGAAGGCAGGGAAACACCCTGGACAGACTGCCAGGCTAACACGCTCACATTCATACCTGTGGGTAATTTAGAGTCTCGGGTCCACCTGACGCACATATTTCTTGAGTGTTTAAGGAATCCCAAGCACACAGAATATACTTGTGTAAAAATACGAAGAATGCAAACAACACAAAAGACTGTGGCCTTCTGAATGTGAATCAACAGTGGAAACGTGACAAAATAATACGGACTCTTGGGCATCACTTTGTGTTAAGTGGCAGACAACTTAACTAAGTTAACTATAAAGGGAAGTACCAAATTAATTGGGGCTTTAACAACTCAACCGTTTTTTAAGAACAATATATACAGTATATATGTATAAAATAAAACAGGTCATGATAACAATCCTGTAGATTACTAAAGTGATTACTGAGTCTTTACATTTTTGACAAAAACTTTTAAGAGAGGACTGTACCTGTCTGACAGCTTGTCTGTTAACAACTGAAGAAAGCTCATCACCGTCTCTGCAAAGGGTAATAAAATAAGGTTTCAGCATGTAACACTATCTCAGATTAGTTGCCGAAGGCACAGAAAGAGCACCTTGGAAAAATAATTTCAGCAGCTTGTATTGAACCTCTAAAACGAGAATTATATGGTTAACAATTATTACTAATTCTTATATAGCATATACTCAAATATTTATTAAAATTTATATTTTCACATTCTCTTCGTCAAACAGTCATACTGTTACAGCACTGACAGTTACTGTTGCTGAAGCAAAGTGATGCACTAACCTGGTGTTTTGGCCATTGTTCCCTTTAGGGCTCTGTGACCATAGGACTCGTAGCCCACCAGTTTGGCCAGTTTGTATCTGCATTTCAGCAGCTCTTCCAGACACCCCATCAGATCTGCATTGGGATAGAGATAAATCCTGTAGGCAATCTCTCGCACCTACAAGTTAAAGACAGGACAAATTCATGATAAAACATACCACGTCAAAGTGAAATATGAAGAAGGCTGTTATGGTGTAAAGCAAAAAAAAAAAAAAAAATCTATTGATCAATAGTTAAAGGGCAAGTGGAAAAATCTTTGGATGATCTGTTGTAGACAGGAGTTATTTATTTACCTTCACCTACACTGTAAAATATGTTATGATTTTAGTTTATAGACAATATTCTATAAACTAAAATGTTATGAAAAGAAAATATTATTAGCTGTTTGAAAGAGAATTTGATTACTAATCAGGACAGAGCAGACTACTATAATTTTCAACCTGCCCTGATGTTCAGTCTTATTCTCTGTTATATGGCAAAGGCGCCACCTGCTGAACAAAAAGGGGGAAATATTCCAGTCACTTATCCACACACACTCCTGTACATACCAAGTCATCAGGGGAGTCTGCATGCAATCCCCCAACTTGAATGAAGCTTCCTTCATTTGCAAAGTGCAGGTGGAGATGTTCAGGAATTGCAGACCTTGCAATTCTGTTGGGCATGTGGGAACTGACCAAAAACTCATTGTTTAGATCCAACAGATTCACATGCAGGGCAACTGCCTCTTTCCTCTGCAGGGAAAAGTTCAAGAAGAGTTCAGCAAATACATTGATGTTGTCTCCAATATGCATTCTTGATTAGTATTCTCACATCCATTTCTTTCAAGGCTATTTTGAAGTTGTAGTGACCACACAGTCTGACTAACTCACCAGTTTGTCATCCAGATGAATTCCACTGATTTCAAAGTCGAACATGAACAACTCTGCTACTCGTCTAGAAAGGCAAACACAAAACAATATTTAACGTTTCATCACAGGACATGATATCATTATTAGACACTAATGCAATCATGGAAAGAGATAAACAATTCTCAACACCTTTGACAGAGCCTACAATAAAACTTAATAAGATAATGATAAAATTACCTTGTGTCAGGGTCCAGCTGAGCCACAATATCTGGGTTGCCCAACAAATTTTTTAGGCTCTTGCATAACTCAACATTAGTATTCAGCCTGAAACATACAGTTAGAAAAACTGAACATATTTCAAGTACTTTTCAAGATCTGCCTCAGCTAAAGCAAGCAGAAATATATATCTTTCAATAACCAGCATTGTCTTACTGATGTAAACTGTGTCATGCAACGTGTTTTCTTAGTAATTGTTCTTGGTGTTGTGCAGCAGTGAAAAATGTAAAAACCATCAGTCAAACTGAGATCAATAAGTTGCCTCTTACTTCTCCACAACTGTGCCAATCTCTATACAGGTCTTCTCGGCAGCCTCGCGGAACGCTGGATCTGGATGAGCTACTTTTACAAAATCTGCCTGGATATGGGAAGAAAAATTACATATTACTTATAGCTCAATATAATAACAGCAAGGTCGCCAAGTGAATGAGCAAGCCAATCTTGTATTAAAAACAAATTCTCTCTGTGTGACAAAGTACAAATTAAGGTAAGTATCCAGTATAGAATGTGTCATACTGCAGGTAGGTGCACGGTTTTAGCTACAGATGTGTCACTGCTGGAGCTGATGATGTTTAACTATCAAGATTGACCAATTGAAGCTATAACATCTACAAACAGGTTTGATGGGGATTCGCTTGTATCTAGTGACACATTTTAAAGTTGAAAAATAAACTTGTATGTAATGCCATCACCGTTTCTAAATCATCTAAATCATCATCAAGATATTTTTGTACTGCAGTTTCTTGTAACTTATCAGCCGACAAATACATAAACACTGATACAACTGCTATTAGTTAACATCAGTCCAGCTCATTTAACGGTCAACCTATGGTATCAACTGTGCAAATTTCTTCCCACTTGGATTGGTGTCTCCTAACGATGAGCAGCAACCATTCAGAATATGTCTGCAAACTAATGCTGAAGAATAACTTTAATTATATCTTTGCACGGTTGTAATGCACAGTTTTAGCATATTATGGGCGTTGAACTCACCAGATCAGCCACTTTACACAAACCATCTGAGAGCTGGTCAAAAGACTCAACAGTCTCAACCCCTGAAGGACAAGAACAAGCTCTTTGCACCAGGAGCTCAGTGTTTTTGAGAGCTGCCTTTGTGGCTGCCTGGAAGCCTGCAGGACAGCTCAGCTCTGGCACACCAAACAAACCCTGCAACCGGAGAGAGACTGGTAATGTCATGAGATTTTAACCACAAACTAATCCAGCGTTTATGTAGCTGTATTATTTAATTGAGGCTGTGTGTGCATTAATGCTACAGTGCTGTAACTGAACGGACACATTTAAGGCAAGTACAAACCACGCTTTTCTCGAAGAGGTCCGGTCTCCTGACAGGTTTGGCATTGAAAGCAGCTCCAACAGGTGACCATGTTGTGACATTTCTCCGAACATGTGTCCACAAGCTTCTGTGCTTCACAAAGTATAGCAACCTTTTACACGCAGACATTTTGTACTTATTCTGCTGTATGTCCTGCTGATATCTACTGGGTCTTGTAGTGCTCACATGGGTTGACAGAGGACATGCTAAACTTTAGCTTTAACGTTAACCCGTTTGCAAAAGCCGCAAATGTAAACAGCTAATTTAAACAACGTTAATATATTCTACACCTTTCCTTTCGAGAATTTCAAGATTATTTGTTTTTTTTGTCATGTATGAAACATACCTGCCAGTCCAATAAACACAACCTTTCACATGTTAGCTCACTGGCTAGCTATCGAAGTCAATATACGTGACGGTTAGAGCTGGTATTTTCGTGAAAAGATAGAAACAAACATTAATTCATAATGAAGAACGTCATTTACACATATAAAACTATGTGATACTACATTGTCATTCGGAAATTGTTGATTTTTTTCTCAACTTGTAAAGAAACAATAATTACAAACTGTACAAATCAAATCTGTCGAAAGTGCGATAAGCTATCGAAATGCGTTACGTGATGTCATCACGCAGAAAAGCCGTTGGGTCGCTTCACAATAAAAGGGCGAGCTTTTATGGAAGCCCTTCACAATAAAACTAGGTAATAGCCATAGACTGTACTATTGTGCACCGAAATTAAATACACTGTTCGTCACCTTTACCTCAGTATTTATAAGCTGTATAAAAAAGTAACATAACTATACAACGTATGCGGATAACAAAAGTCCAAATAACACCATTAAATTGTAAACAGAGAAAACAGAGAACGCTAAATGGGTAATCAGTTTTAGTCGTTATTTCATCTGGAAGCTGATAAACAGCTGGTGAATTATTTATCAAGAAATCAATTATTTTGTCTTCCGGGAATCCCTTAAAATATTTTAAGGGGCATTTTGCCATGAACCATAGATTATCAAAACTGAATGCATCATGATTGTCTATACATACCATTCAGTTTTGACATATTAACATCTAGGTGAAATCCTTTGAAGCAGAGATACAGTAATCTAATTTCACAAGATGAACTTCTCAAAAAAATAATAGCTCATAAATCAAATTTCAGAGGCAAATTAGACACACAAAAATAGCTGAGACCTACTGCAAACTGACTGTAACACAAAATGATATATTGCAGAATTAACTCCAGGTGCATCATGTTTGTGATGGCAATATGTAAGATTAAGTCCAACACAGAATACACCTTGAAATGATGTCTTTATTAATAGGAGGAATAACTCATTCATTGCACTCCACAACCACATTGCGTTAATAGTTTTCCTGTGAAATCTGTTTATTAAAGGTGTAGTACGAAAAACATTAAGCAAAATGTCATAAAGCGACTATTTAGAAACCTCCCCATAAACAAAACTAAACCATGTGACTGGCAAAACATTTAAGTCAACTCTGAAAAAGAATTTAATACTGAAAGTAGGTAACACAGGACAACAATAAAAGGTCTTCCCAATATGAGAAATCACAGTATTTTGCAATAAGTACATTTGGTTACTTGTACTTGGCAAAAAGGTACCAATTTGTGACATATGGAAAGACAATGCAGTTAAATGTAAAAAAAAAAAAAAAACAAACAAAAAAAACAAACAAAAAAACACCCTCAAATTTAAATTAATGCTTTGCTACTGACTGATTAACCCTTTCAGACAATGTCATTCCCAATCACATATTTACATCTATTTACTAGAATACAACACAAAACTAATGAAAAAATGAAATGTATGGGAAAAAAAATCATACTCGTTCATTTGGCTCATATCAAAACATAATACAGTCAAGCATTAAGTGTGTGGATTTACAAAGGAGTGCTGTAGTCAAAAGTCTGAACATGGATTCGTTTTTGTCCCACTGAGTGTGCTTGGACATCTGCCGACCTGGAATTGTTTCTTTTCCTTACATTAGCTCAAAAAAACAACTGCATGTCTGAGACTACAGTAAACTTAGTTGACCCCTGAGTTTCTAATGCAAAACTAGTGTATGAAATACCTCATTACAGTGTATCTTAGTGCAAGCCAGCAATATGCTTGATTAAACAGAGGTATATTAGATAGCACCCAAGCTGACAAGATTCCCCAGAATGGTTTACTCTGCTGGCCAAATCACAACAAGCAGTATGGGAGGTGGTATTTTGCTCTGTATCCTTGTGAAAACCAGCAGTTCAAATGCTTGAATTTGTATTACATCTATAAACATGTTTTTTTCATAGAAAATATAAATATCCCTGAATGAAACAGATTCACAGCATTTTCTCTCGAGGACTCCAGTGCTACTACCATAACATGGCCATCAAGTGTCTTTAAGGTCTCCAGTTAATGTCCGTCTCTGTCTTTCCTCTAAAGCCTGTGGTTCCAGCCGCTCTCCTTCATTCACTGTCGTGATAATTTACCGTCCGCTTCCCCCGGTTCCGGGTGTTCACGCGTGTCTTTCGCTGCGATTTGCTATATGACTCGTCACTGTCCTCCTCCTCCCCTGAGGCAGCACGTTGCCGGCGCTGCCTTAGTTGGCGGCTGGCAGTCCTTTCTCCAGTCCCAGACTGTCTGTGACTTCTCCTCTTTGGACTGCTGTGGGACCCTGAGCTGGCAAATGAGTTTTCAGAGGCTGAAGATGACTGCTCGCTTTCTGAGTCAGAACTGTGGTTGCTGCTGCTGTAGCTTTCCTTTCGTTTGTGTTTTGGCTGCCTCAAGTTCTTTTTCCCGCTCTTCGAACGACGGACATCTTCCTCCTCCTCCTCCTCGCTGGAATCAGACTGGGAGTAGGTGTCCTCTTCATTGCTGTTGCCATCCCCTTGTTTGGATTCCCTTTTGGGACGCTTTGATGAGCCTGACCTGCTATTTTTATTGTTCTTGGACACTGGCTCCTTCTCTCTGTCCTCCTCCACATCTTCAGAGTCTGAAGTGTAAATACGTTTTCTCTTGGAAGACTGATTCCTGGTTTCACTGGGAGAGGTCCTGTTAGACTCTCTCTTATTACACCTGCCGTTCCTCTGTTTACCCTGGCCCACAGAAGCAGAATCTTCCTCAGAAAAAGAGTTGTCACTGATGTATTTCTTTTTTGGTAGGGCCCGGAGACTCAGCCGTCTATTTGATGTGTTATCTGAATTATCCGACTCTTCATCTGATGAGCCAGTGGAGCGTTTCCTTTTCGACTTCCTCTTGGGTCTGTATTCCTGCTCAGAACTCTCTGAGGCTGAGGTGTCGCCATGAGGCCGTTTAGATTTGCTCTTGTTTCGTGTTGACCTCTTTGTCTTTGTTTCAACTTCAAATTCTTCACTGGAGTGATTACTTTCTTCTTCATGTTCTACGTCTTTTTTCAGTCTTTTCTTGCGTGGGCTGGATCTCTTTGGAGAATCACTGAGTTCATCTGATTCTGCACCATCCAGTTTATTAGTTGAGGCAGATTTTTGTTTATCTTGGTTTTTTGATGGCGAAACTTTACTTTTTTTCTTAGAGTCCTTGTGGATTGCTTCCTCCATGTTTTTTCCATTTTGGTGTGGGTGTTTCTGGGAACTGTGGTCTTTGTCCTCTTCATCTGAGCTTACAGGAGGTTTGTGTCGTGTGGTCCTGCGTTCAGTGTCCTCTATCTCCTCCTCTTCCTCCTCACTTGTAATCCTCTTTTTCCTGGCTGGAGTGCTTCCTGTGCTTCTAGAAGGTTTCCGAGACACGGCCACCTGTTTCTCCTCCTCCTCTTCAGCTTCTCCGGAACTCTCCTCTGCAGTTTCCTCCTGCTCAGAGTTGCTGTCAGACTTGTGATGTTTTGCACTGTGTCCGTTTACATGGGACAAATTATCTGCAGAAGAAAGGAAAAAACCTAACTAATTAGGGAAACAATTCTAAGCAAGTGACAACTACAAATCAAAAACTAAACATGACTGATGAGGACATTACTCACCATTTCCCTTTGTTTTAGCAGCTTGTTTTGATGTCCTCTGTTTACTGGACCTCGTGTTGCCATTCTGTTGATTCTGGGAGGAGGATGAAGCATCGCTTTCATTTCCAGCCTCCTCATCCTTGGATTCACGACCTGATTTTTTTGTATTCCGAGAAGCTAGAAGGTGGAACAAGAGCAGAACTGAGCAAAATCTAACCCATAAACTGCCTAAAACATAAAAATGCAGAGGCACTGAGAGATCTGAGCGCAATCTGTGTTTTCCATGAGTGTCCTACGCTTTCAGAATTTAAATATGTATTTTAAAAAGGTACAAAGAAAAGCATTTGCCTACCCCGTGTTGACCGCTCTCCGTCTGAATCTGAGCTGCTCTGGATCACTGCAGTGCGTTTGCTGGCACGGGCTGTATGGCGGAGGCGGCTGCTGCTCCTCCTTGGCTTCTCCTCCTCTTCATCGTCTTCTTCATCCGACACATCCAGGAGTTTGATCTTATTCACAGCTGCTCTCGCCGTCTTCCTCTTGAGTGATCTGCGGACCGTGATTTCCTCTTCCTCCCTGTCCGAGCCCTGGGACGTGGCTCTGTCAGAGTCCTGGTGGTGACGTCTCTCCCTGCGAGATGACCTACTGCTGTGACCGTTCATCTCTGCTCTGCCCTCTGAAATCAAGCCATGGAGAGGGATGTTAAAAATGTGTAACTGTGATTGACAGGGCTTTGCGTTTAGGAGAGTTTTGTCTGTAGCGTTTACCTGTCCGTTTCCTGTCTGCGGCAGCACTGTTTCTGGTCAGCCGTGTACTCCTGCTGTTTTTACTCCTGCTGGGGTAGCGACGACCTGAAGACTGGGAGGAAACTTCTCCATCCTCACCCTCTTCACCTTCACTGTCAAACTCCTCCTCCTCTTCTTCATCGTCGTCTTCTTCCTCTTCACTATCGCTCTCTGCAACTGGCAACCATTTCATATTTCCATTTCATCATTTTTGGGCCTTTTTTTTTTTTTTAATACACAACTTCTGAATGTGGCATTATGATCTCCTGTTTTTTCTCTAAATCTAATTACAAGGCATGACATTTCAAAACTGGATTTCCACTGAAAAACTTAATTCCTGACCTTTTTTCCTCTGCTTGGCACAATTGCTTCTTGTAACTCTTGCTTTGTGTCTGCGTTGGTGGTGCCTTGAGGAACCAGGACGTTTTTCCTCCTCTGACTCGCTCTCACTGTCAGATTCTGAAATAGAAAAACACTGAATCATGTCAAGATTTAATCTAATGAGCTATGAGACATGTCAATGCACTTCAGAAACACACTCTCTAAAAGTATTTCTTCTCAACAGTGTTTACTTGGGGGTTGTAAAAATATTGTGAAAATCATCTTCAGACTGTAGCTTTCAGTTTCTAAACAACTTTCACGATAATTTAGGAGACAGAATCCATCTCCACTATTAATATGCAGTGGGATTAGTTAGAAATGCAATCAGACTACAAACTAAAAAAGGTTAGTGTGTAGTATTTAGGTATGACTGCACAGCGATGCTTAATGCAAGTTGGGATTAAGCAGTTAATTGACAATTACAGCCATGCAGTATTTTCATTCCAACAATTGGAACCAGCTTTGTCATCTGTGAAACAAACCCGGTGCAACGGTTCAATGATTTACTATAATTCAAGTATCAATTTATCATTAGAAGGACAAGTCTCTTTTGTACCTGGTGTTGACGAAGCAGCTTTGGAGCCGGAGTCGTCCTCGGAGGAGCTGTGACCTGAGCTGCTGCTTCGACTCCTCCTGGCTCTCTCAGGAACAGACACTTTGGCTGAGGTAGATTTGGTCACTGACGTCGACTCCACTTTTTCCTGAGTTTTGACTGCAGCCCTCTTTTGACTTGAGAAAAGAAGAATGGATGTTTTTATTTAGTTATAAATTTAACTGACTTTAACTTTGAAACATCACTGTTTTTATAAGTGTACAATTGAGGAAAAAAATACACAGTTACAACCAAGTGCTTATTCCAGATGGCCTATAGAGTACATGCCCACCGATCCACTCAATTGTTAAGCAGGTTAGCTGAGGAGAGGCACAACTCAAACAGACCTTGTTGTGGCGGTGGACTGATCCTGTTGCTGCATTTTCTTGCGGAACCGCTGACTGCGGCGGAGCCTATCACTGCTCTTAACGGCAGTTTTGTACTCGGATATGATTGTTCTGATTTGCTCCTCAAAGAAGGCAGAGAGGCGCAAGGTCATACTGTAAATCTATGACAGAATGGAAAGAGAATAGAAGAGATTGGTCAGACAAACTAAAATATAAAGTATAACGTTCAAACATAAATGACATAAATTTTCCAGGCTTTAATTACTCCCCTACCTTGGAGCGTTTATTGGGTGTGTAGGCTTTAGCATTGGCAAATATTAGGCGGGTGTCTTTGCAAAGCTCTACAGGGTTTTCATAGTGGTCTTCTTCCAAGGTCCTTTTCACTGTGCCAAAGTCCATTGGTGTATCAATAATGACATGGTAGTCCTGGACAGGCACACAAAACACGATTTAGACTTCATCTTTACCAAAACACAGAACACAGAACACATTTAGCATGACTCCAGCGTGCCATGTTAACTCACTGGATAGTTCTCGGGATCCACAGGCTGTCTGAATGGCTCTGAGTCCTCACACTCAAATATGTAGTTGAGCAGATTCTTGCACTGTTCCTTCCAGGCATCTCTGTCTGGCAGCACCTCTACAGAGCGCTGCAAATATGGAGATATATGGAGGAGAGGAGACATGTAATACATGCTACTCTGCTGCTATTGAATCATTAACAGTCAATCTGCCACCAAACTGTCATCTCTTTTCTCATACAGGTAGTATGTCTTCAGACAGCACTAAGAATTATATAGTTGTGATGTTTGTTAATTCTTAATTTGGGTTGTCTTGTTTTCAAATGCTGTCAAAGTCCTTTGTATGAGACTTATTTCGAACACACACACACACACACATACACTGTCTGTCTATTTACCTGACGTAACCGGTGTCCGGCTGAGGTTCCTGGTGCTTCTGTGTCCTCATCCTGTAGACAGTAATGAAATATACTGATATTGAACTGCTAATTTAATGTTCGACTGTTGAGGGCACATTCATAAACTACTAAACTAAAAATGGAAAACAACCATCTGAACGTTCAGTTGTAACTGTTTGTTCAGTGTCTCCTAAATCATTTCTCCTAGATCTCTCCTTATTGACTTAAATCAACTGGACAGATTATATGCAAAAAAAAAAAAAAAAAAAAAATCTATCTGTATTTGCTTGACAAACAAGTAACAATTTGACTAGTACAGTATATAAATATTATTACATGTGAGCTATTTACTTAGGTACACTTACCTCTTCATCATCATCCATCTCTTCCACAGCATTGTAAATCTCCATGATATCTGTGCAGCTTGGATTACTGAGGAAATTAGGAAAAATATTAATATGATTGAGACGTCATTGTCTAGAACACGATTTCTTTAAGTGTTTCTGTGTTATAGTTTGGTCATCATCACATGTTCTATAGATGTCAATCCCTTCAGCTGTTGTTCTCCAATGATCAATTTAATCATTATGACACAGATAATGTTAAGTTACAATACAAAGAAGAAGAACTTACTTGACAAACTTCTGGAGGACATTTGTGATGATTTTTGCAGAGTGGGCAATCTTGCTCCTTGGCTCATTGAAAGTGCGGGCATTATGTGCAATATACCTGGCATCCCAAATTAATGCTGAGAGGCGTCTGTGGACCACCAGAGGTTCAGTGAATATACAGTTTTGCACAAAATCTAAGTTAGTAGAATTTCAGAAAGCAAAAAAAATAAGAAAAGACAAAGACAGATCAAGAGATCAGTCAAGAGTACAAATAACTCCATAAATGACCAGTTTGCATTAACAGGCATGTGGAAGAAAGACACACTGGTGGGACTGACCTGTAGAATCTGTGCATGAGTCGCAGTCTGATGGTTCCCAAATCAGTAGGATAGGCGATTACAGTGCAGTAGGTGGGATACTGGATCAAGTCCACAGGACCAGAGAAGGGAGCTGCAATCTCTGTAGCAGAACACAATGTGATGATGTTAGTATTACTGGGAAGGAAACCTTTCACAGTTGACTGGACCTGTATATATCCTGATGTGAGTGAATGAGTGAAAATGAGAACGTATGTGGGTGAATGCAAAGTTAAAGCATGTCTGCGTATGTATTGTATACACACCGACAGTGATGAGCTGGTCGATGCCAGCGATGATGCGTTCACACTCCTCGTCCCTGCTCCTCTCCCCCCACTCTCCTTGCAGAGGTTTGTACATCAGCTCGCTCATCTCATCTGCTGTCACAGGGATACCACCTCCTTCTGTCTCTGGCTGCTGGGCTGCACAGCAGAGGCAATACACTTGTTCAATATCCAGTGAAACCCCATTAACCTTACTGAGAAAACAGTGATGCCTATAGAAGTGACAGTAAGTAAAAATTCTTAATTACCATTATCTGGAATAGGTTCCACATCCCAAGGACTCAGTTTCTCAGTTTCCCCATTGTCCCATCTGGTGGACACACAAGAGTTGGTGTAAGACGATTTGCTACAGTCAACAATCATATCTGCAGCACTGAGTGCTACCTCTTTTTTTATTTCTTTAATTAAAGGCTGTTAAACATCATTAACAAGATGTATAGAAATAAATGTTACTGTAATTACAAGAACACAAAGGGCCATTGACACGATGTTCTGTACACAGTACAAAGCAGAGATGAATAAATGATCTTGATTCAATATAAATGTGTCAACCATAAACACTGCAGTGCCTCTTTGTGACCACTAGGGGGCAGACAGATTAGTCATGGCCAAGTGGATATAGTCTGTAAAAGTATGTTTAATTAATACAGATATAAATATAATTAATTAATTAAATCATGCCATTGTTTCAGTCTTTAAATAGTGACAGAAGTGTCAGTCAATCAGTGTATTAGAAACTAGCTTAGTATTGGTAATGGTGCCACAACCACAGTGTTCCCAGTTATCCTGTCCTGACAACTGTGCATTTTTCCCACCTGACTTTGAAACACTGGAAGAGACTGTCAGGATACTCTGGTTGGTAGGGCTCCTGACAGACGATGGTCCCAAACCACCAGGCATCGTCTATCACTGAGCGAAACCTGTCGTCTGCAACAGAGCAAATATTATCAAATTCAGGAGGAGAAAAACATCTATTTATGCAGGTGTGAAAAACAACAGATCTTCATTTATCAGCACCTACACTAAGAAGCAATGCAAAAATTAAAAAGAACCCACATGCTGGAATAAGGGTCTCCACCAGAATACATATTAGCCTTTCTGAAATATTGACATAAAAGTATTAAATTCACTCTGGGAAGCACCTTTCTTCTGTGTAGATTTATGTATTTAAAACTGATGAAATAGATACATGGAATATGCTAATTGGCGTGAAAACAAAGACTTAACATCTCTAACGGGGTGCACAAACTTACTTGGTTGCCAGTTTCTACGGAGTGCCTCGTCATAACTTTGCCTCAAAACCAGGAAATCTATAACATCTGGCATGTCATGATACCTGTTGGAGAAATCAGTCATTTTAATGACGAAGTACAACAAACATTTGTGGTCTTTATGAAACTGATGCTGAATAATGTTAATAAATACTCATCCATTTTATAAAACAAACCACTTCACCAGAAATTTAGCCAGTATTTCAAAACCAAAATCAGAATCCTATCCTGAAAATTTTGGAAGCAGAAAACTTATATTTATCATAACAGCAACCCAGCACACAAATGTAGCCATTATTATTTTTCAAAGAGCAAATACATACAGTATATTCAGTTCATATCAGACTCAGGCAAAAGCGACCTTCATGTTGGGATGATTATGAGAATCATGTTTAATGTGTTTTTCAATAGAGAGCCACTTAATGAAACTGAGCTGCTTACTTGACAGAAAACGACTTGTCTGAGATTTTGCCAGTGCCGTGGTCAATAAGGGTCAGCTTCAGACAGCAAAGTGTTGGAGGGCAGACTTCATATTTGATCCCAGTGATCTTCACAAACTCTTGGTCCTAGAAAATATACAGCAGGGTTTCCATTAATTTACATTTCCAAGATTTCTACTTACACTGATATGTTACAACATCATGACCACTCAAAGACATTAAGCAAACAACATTCTTAATCTTGTAACAACAAGGTCTGGGATACATTAGACGGTAAGTGAACAGTCGGTTTGCGTAGATAAAGTGTTGGATGCAGGAGAACGGGCAGGTTGGTCAAATTGTTATGGCCAGATGACTGTCCTCGGAGCATCTCAGAAAAGTCAAGCTTTGTGTGGTGCTCCTGGTCAGCAGTGGTCAGAGGGGGCCACTGGTCCACTGAGACAAACCACAAACCGGTGTATTAATGATGCACAAGGGCAACAAAGTCCACACTATCCTGTGTGGCTTGAACCAACCAGAGGGTGCTGTGGCACAAGTGGCATGATGTTAATGATGTTTATGTGAGAAATGTGTTGTACATCATCTTGATTTTCAGTGGTTTTGGTGACTTGGGTGAAGACGTTGTAGAATCAACTTCCTCAACTTTTTTAGAATTCAGTATATTTCTCCCAAAGACTTCTACCAGGAATGTTTCGATTCTTACCCGCAGCTCCATTTTCTTCCAGGGCTGTTTGTCTAAGTTGATGTGGTACAGTTCACTCCGGCTCACAGCCTCAACGTAGGCTTCATGTCCCTGCCGAAAATAGATGACCTGACAAAACAGAGAGATTCACATCTTAGAAAGTAACTGAGTGACATGATGATCATAATCATAATTTTTGCAGTTTATTTTTACAGGATGATCATGATGCCATGCTAGACATCAAAAGATTTGTATTTAGACTATATCCATATTTTTGTTATATATTTAGGAACAATCCAAGCCATTAATAATATCATGTAAAAACATTTCATGTACATTTCATATTTCACATACAACAGTTTGCGGACAGTTTAAAATCATCTGCAAGATATTAACAGAAACTTGAATTTCTTCACATTTTGTTTATGTTTCATTTCTTTGTTTCTCCAAGTAGCTTTATCCATTTCTCTGCTTCTGTTTCGCTGTTGTGATAAGGCAATGACCTAAAGAAGAATTAAGTTTGATCTCGTTGTTTTAAGGAGCAAGATTTCCTAACAAGATGTTAAGTTACGGCTGGAAAAATAATGATTTATATTTGAGGAGACAGAAAAGAAACTGGGGGGATTGAAAAAAGATTATGTTGCCTCATATAATAACACCATGGCTCTGTAAAAAGATCCCAATATTAGCATATACCTCGTCACCCATTTGGGGAACAAAAGGAGACTTCCTGGGAATGACATCAGTGATCCATGGAGAGGGTCTGAACTCATTGGACACTTCTCTGTTGATGGATGGTCTGGCCTTTGGACGCTGATTAGAGCACCAAGATGGATAATGTTAAAAGAGTAAATATGAACCTGTTTTGAAATGACAGAATCTAAAGCAAAGTCTGGGCAATGACTAACCAGTTACGATTCACACAGTGACACATCAGGATTAGTAATCTCATGAGTGGAGTAGGATATCTGTGTCTAACCACTCACCCGGGGTGCCTTGTTCTTTGCTTTCTTTGCCTTCTCTTTGCTTTTCTTCTCAGGTTTTTCCTCCTCGTCACTCTGCTGCTTCTCCTCCTCATCATCATGCTCTTCCTCCTCCTCCTCGGAAGTGCTGAGTCTGCGCTGCACTCGTTTCCGTGATGACAATGGGGTAGAGGGCTGCAGGTTGATACCAGCATCGGCCGTCCAGTCTGAGTACTCGCTGGACGTGTGGCTGTACAATCAAAAGGAGTAATAATCACCATTTAAGTTACATAGAGAAAAACAGGCAATACAAAAACTTAATTAACTAACTTGTTTCAACCTGCTTGGGGTACCAGATGTGTGGAGATTGCCACCTAAGACAACACAAAGGAGTAACAAAGTTTTAACATCACAGTCAATAATTTTAAATAGATTATACCCTAAGTTTTTGTGAATAAGAGAAAACTCTTATCTGGTACTCTAAACAAGTTCAAACAAATTAAAAGAATTACTTGTTTATACAACTTTATATATTTACATTAACTCATTTGGAAGACGCTTTTATCCAAAGTGACTTACAAGTGAGGGACATCACAAAAGCTTCAGTGCAGTAGGAGACCTTGGCATAAGTACCAAATACTACATATATTTAATAAGTGCATCTATTTAATCATACCTTGAGCTGTCACTGTTCCACTCCTCCTCATCATTGGATGACTCCAATTCACTCCCATCCAAGTCATTGTCCTGAATAGATTCAAAACAAGAAATCGCTTGATATCTCCCCCCCAAAAGAAAGACCTCGGGTGCTTGTAAATGACACTTTTTTCAAAGTCATAAGAGTGGAAAACATGATACCTCAGAGTGTCCCTCTGAGCTTGCAGTCTCCTCTCCCTCTTCACATGAGAAGTCGATGAAATCCACTGTGTCACTGCGGCCATGTGCTCGCTTCGTAGTGGGAGGCTCATCATCTGAATCATCCTGGGGGGAGAGAAGGACAGATAGGATGGACTCAACACCGGTGCAAAGATTTGTACGGAAATAGTTGTGAACTGGAAAAAACACACACTGTACATATAGTATTTTGATACCATCCAACACAGCACCTGTAATGACTATGTTGTTATATCCATGTTGCAAATGGGTTCAAGTACAGTACAAAGTGTAACATGAAAATTCACAGAATAGGGGTACCCAACCCATTTTTTAAAATTGCCATTTAAGACTTCTTATGTTGGTGAAGAGACAAGAAACCTACTCGACAGCTACTGTAGATAATGCGCCTCTTCTTTGCATTGTACAGAGCCACCTCCTCATCTCCTTTGGCTGTTCGGATGTCCTCCTGGTCCCTGAAAAACAAATTTCCATTATGTTTAAGATTAAAGAGGAACACCACCAAAATTGAGAGAAATCTAAACATTGTAAAATGTTGATATATGTAAAACACACACCATATTCATCCGTCACATGTCTGTTGATGTTAATAACATACCTTCTAAGCCTCCATCCCATAAATAATGATACTGGATCTTTTGTCTGTTGATAAAAACTGGGCTACCTTCACATTCTCTTAAATGTTTTTTATGTGTCATGAAACAAAGGCCCAACTCAACCAAGTTATGACAAATTATCTTTCTAAAGAAATTGTGTTTTTTTTTTTGTTGTGTTTTTTTATGAATATGTGAATTGTTGAGTTGGGTATGATAGAAAAATTGATCCAGTCTAAAATGGGAGTACGATCCATTTCCATTAAGGTCATATTAAAACATTCACAACAAGTAATCATTTGTCTTTTGTGTAAACAGTGTCATCTCAAAAAGAAAATCCAATAGAAAGGTCCGGAAGGAGCACAAACATCTCCAATCACACTCTGCATATCTCAGCTGTAGCTGGAAAAAGGCAATACTGCTAGGTCTCTACCTGTAGTTGCTGGGTGCCAGTTCAGGCACCACCACCCTGCGTCTCCAGGCCTGCAGGTCTCTCTCTGTGGCCATCTGGCTGCGAGGAGCATTCTGGTGCATCTGCCGGACACCCTCCACCTGTCCACTGCGGCGCAGACCCACATTGGGGGGTGACTGCACATCTGCTCGATCATTCACAGACACTGCAATGAAGGGAAATTAACAAAAATCAGTGGATGATTGCGCTGCATTTTCAGGACATTGTGTCCAACCCCCAAAAATCAAACAGCTAGCCTTCCAACAGCTCAGCAGATCAATACATCAGCTAAAACAATCCAATGGAACACTGGTGCTGTATTGATACCTCTGCGTGGTGTGCTTGGTGCTGGTGCCAAGGCTGGGCCCTGTGCCTCAACTTGCCCCTCTGGTCCTGCTACAGCACCCAGAACTGCCTCTCTCCCAGGCTGGCTCTGCCGGTCCTGTTGCTCCCGGAGCTGTCGGATGGCTTCGTCCAGAAGGCTGCTGCGTCTTATCGCAACCTCCTCATGCTCAGCAGTCTGCTGGCTGATCACCTGCTCCACCACCTCGCCATCACCTGAAGATGTCATCAAATGGGGAGACCAAGAGCATGAGTGGATGGTAGTGGAGCTTCATAATGGGTATATAATTAGAGTGGGGGTGATAAAGCAGAGAAAGTGGAGTGGGGGGATTTGTAATTTATGAATTAAAATGTACATACATTTTAGAAAGGGCTCATTATGGTCAAATTAAGGTCTTACTGGTGGCTACGTATCCCAGCTGAGGAACCAGGTGTTCAGCCGCAATGTTCTCCCGCCCTGGGACAAGACGCTGGTACCTGAGATTAAAATTATTAACACAAACAAAACAAAAAGTTGATTTAAATAGAAGACAGCTGTTTTTATGCCAACAGTGACTTTGCTATTACGTATATACATGAGGATCAAAATTTAACTGCTCTAATATACTTAGTACAGTTTTTCATTGTTCCCTACAGCATTGAGAACCTGCATTGACTAAACATTGAATGGATGGAGACCATATTGTTGCAGGATAACTGAAAGGTCATGTTTACCTCGGTGGATGGGGGTTTCCATCTACGTCCACCAAGAAGGGAGGGGGCATGAGATGGGGTGCCTGTTGTGTCTGTTCATCCAGCACAAAGCCGTTGGCGTCTCGGATCAACGGCCTATAGTCTGTGTGGAAGAACACCTGGTCTGGAAGCTGTGTGGAGACCAGGAGAAAGATGCTTGATAAGACACCATGCTGCTTTTGCTATGTGATGAGGTACTATTCAGACACACGCTTGTATTTGGATGACCACTGTTACATTTTCATATTATACAGTGAGCTTACAAAGTGTTAAATTTAAAAGGCTGTAATATTTTATTTTGTCTGTAAAAAAATAGAAGTAGAACATAACCACTGTCTATAAAATGGCACTACTGTCGTTTTTACCTGGCAATAAAGATGAATTGCTGTGTGTAAAGATTTAAATATACATGTGCAATGTATCCTTGCCTTCTCATATGGCTTGGAACTGCCGAAGCCAAAGATGAGCAGATGGCCGTGAGAGTCTGTGCAGGCGAAACGCTGGCCATCGGGAGTAAATTTGCAGTCGAACACGGCTCCGTGACCCTGGCCCTCGATCTGGATGAATAACACAAAATCAGCTGAGGTATAGAAACTTGTTAACAAGGGAGGCAAACTCCACACAAAGGAGTTTTTAACAATATCCATACATTATAATGTCCTTGAATTATTTTTTCCTTTCAGATCCTGCAGGACCTCAAAGTAGATTTATATAAAAAAATTAAAAAAAAAGTCACATTCTGTTTCCACCTCACTACCAAGGACATACTAAACTAATGTTACTTATTGACATATCTGTTACATTGTGTATCGTGGCATGTCTTGTTTGTTTGAGTATTGTTGTTGTTCATCGTGTTATATAACTGCTGTGTTCACGATTCTGTCAACGCCATGTTCTGATACTGCTGAGTGTCAGTGTACCATGTTGAAGTAGTGCTGTGTGTTTGTTCCTCGCAGCAGATCCCATATGAAGACATTCCCATCATGGCCAGCAGATAGGATGATCCTGGGGTCAAAAGGGTGTGGTTCCAGCACAAACACCTCAGCCTCATGGCCCTGAAAAAAAAGTTCAGGTTAGTCTCTGGTTTTAAAATTAGTCACTTAGTGAATGTTAAATTAGGTTGTTGTGGCATCCACTATGCTCAACATTTTAGTAGGAAAAAAAAGACAACAATGTGCACAATTACTTTAAGGATATGTAGCAGCTGTCCTGTGTAGGAGTTCCACACTTTGAGGAGATGGTTGTTAACAGCCGTGATGACTGTATTGTCATGGCGATCCCACGCTACCATGGTGACTTTGGGTTTGAAGTAGCTTTCCTCTTCACTCATTGCTTCAGCACTATAAGAAAAAAAACAACAACATCAAATTAGAAATTATACACACCACACTAGGTTGCAACTCTTTACTCAACACAAGTGGCAGCTTGTATCTGATGATGTCAGTGTTTCTGGAAATGATTCCCCACGAATTTCCACTTTGTTTCCTGTTGCGAGGAGCATGTTGACACCTACTCCCCCTCCACAGCATTATCCTGTGAATTTGTGTTTTCTCTTTCACTGTACTGGGGAGGACGAACAAGTTGGTATTTTCATTTATGCTCAAATAAAGCAATCCAAAGCAACCCAGCAGATTTACCACAAAAAATAATCAAAGATTAAATAGAATGGGTGCATTTAGTTTGACCTATGAATGACTTTCTCAGCTATATAAACAAATAACTAAAGCTATGTGATGCTGATGAATTTTGATTATGATGATTACATGTTACTTGTGAAAGGCAGTGAAAATGTGTTTGGCAGATGAGCTAATTATAGAAACTGCCAGTACAGCTTTTATAGTTATTCCCAAGACAGACAGACAAGCTCTGGGTGGTGAACACTGTTTTTTCAAGTATTTATAAAAAAAGAAAGGCACTGAGAGTATAGCTAGATTTATATTCATATTTCAGTAATGTACTTCATTGGCACATATACATTCTGTATCTACTCTCCAGGAAGAATTGCTGCTGCTATGCAAAAAAGCAAAAAGTAGTATAGTATTTACAGTACCCTAGGGTTTCAACAATCACAAATCATTATTCAGAAATAACGATATTGCAAATAACATCTTCCAGTCCTGAGCTGGAAATGATGCTAAGTCTTCATGACATGTTAGTCAATGCTTTACAAACAGATGAGAGAGCTAAGACTTACACAACATGACAACTGAACAAATAAAACATTTGGGTAAATGGATTCCTCAGCTGACATCAGCACCTGGTTCACTTCAACATGCTCCAACAGCTCTTTGAGGCGGCCTAGAAAGCAACTGCTTGCGTCTCATTTAACAAATCTTCCAGCTACTATTTACAGCAAAAGAAAATCTTGTTCTTTCATATCCTGTTGCTTGTACAATGCATTTCCTCGTCTCATTACACGATTACTGAAAACAAACCAAAGGCTTTTGCACTTAGATAATTTTCATCCACGCTAGTTTACAACAGCAGAGCTGGTCCTTACCCTGGAAGAGTGGCAGACATGTTGAGCAAGATGCACCTCCACTGCTGCCGCTGATGGAGCTTCCAGATCCGCGCTGTTCCATCACGACTTCCACTCACAAACCTGAGCCAGGACAGTAACAGCGACTGTTACATATAATTCACTATTAACTATCATGACAAATACATGGTGCAATAGAGCAAATAAATATAGTAATTTATTCATACCTTTCACCTGAGTGGCAAAACTGGATGCTATCAACTTTGTCCTAAACAGAGAGAGCAGAAATATGGAGAACGATTATAACGTGTTGGTGTTATTGCTGGTGTGCAGCTGAAGGTTTATGTGAGTATGTTCTGTGCTGCAGCAGCGATATAAACGTTAATCAGTTCTTAAGAAGGTTCTTACTGTGTGCTCATGGAGCTCTGATATCTTTTCTGGACTTCCGCATCCCAGGTAATATATTCTGATGACATCATCAGTACTTCCTGTTGCTAAGAACATCCCACCTGAGAAAAAAAATCAGTTTGAAGTGTTTAAACCAGAAATTTAACCTGTATGTCTGTCATAATTACATGCTAGCTAGATGCTAACTATGAGAATTGTGCTATGCTGAAACACACTGAGAAGAATATATACAGGTTCATTCAACACAAACAGCATTTACATACAAAAGTCTACCTTAAATGACTCATTACCTGGACTGAATGAGGAGCACACAGTCTGAACTCCTGGCCTTGGCCGCTCTGTAAATTTGTGTGGCCGATCACTTGAAGGATAGTAGAGACAATTTTACTCACAGGAAAAGGGCATTTTAATGACACACACAGTAAAACAGGAGCAGTCTTATTTGTTGGTCCATCCTTCAACAAAACTGTCAATTAAAGTTTCATCTCATCTAACCAGCATGTCAACTTCAGGATGCCAGATGTGACTGAGGTCAGGACAGGTGCCAGGTTAATATTCTTATATCAGATAAAGCTCATCCACATACTTTGAGGAGATCCGAGGTGCCTTTATACCCATTTAGTCCAATTCTCTCTTGATGTCTTACTAGATTAATTGTTTTATACTTTTACCTGGTTGATTGCTGTACAAGTAGCCGTTTTCTACTTCAGCTAATTAAGGCAAAGCAGGCACTTTTCATTCACCTACACTGTATATCGAAAGGTGATATATTAGTGTTACCTACCAATCAACCACAACATTAAAACCAGTTTTAATGCAGATGGCTCATCAGTGTAGTTGCAGTGGTGGAGCAGAAAAAAAAAACTGTCAACCCAGTTTGGCTTGTTTTCCAGTGTCAGCTGTAGGCCTGCTTCAGTTAGCAACTGAGTTTTTAACTCCCACTCCCATGACAGTCTACAACCTAGCATGTTACAACGTTTGCTAAGAGACTTGTTAGTCTAACTTATACAAAAGCAAACAAAACATATGTTTTTCTTTCTAAATAGCCACAATGTGAGTGTTTCCTTTGAATTCTTGCCATGGTGTTCTCAATTTTTGCTGCTTTAAGAGATTTTTTTAAAAACTTTTAATGGATTATTAATTTCATATTTTTTTAAAGTGCCATGACAGAAAATTTGTTAATGAAAAGCTCTCAAACACATACAGTTACTTAACAAGCAGCACTCACCTAAAGTTGATGTTGTTGACATCCCACTGCCAGAAGCAGACAGTAGCATCAGTTCCAGTGGACAGCATGTAACGTTTTGAGCCCTTGGCAAACGGTGAGAACTGAAAACACAAGACTTTCACAGATCAGTCACCTGAATTACGCTGACAACATTATTTTAAAATCATACAGACATATATTTTGCGAGAGTCAAATATCAACACTTTCCCATCTTACTATGTAAGTCAGGCCAGAATCCTGATTTTGAACCAACAAGCAAATTAACTAGTCATTTCATTTTATGGTGTACAATACAAACTTTCAGTGGCTTGAGTGATGCCATGAAATTCACAATTATTGACAGGTTCTCTGGATCTGAATAACATTGTTTTGGCATTGTGCATAGAACAATGTTTTAACACTTGGCTGAGGCATAAGTTGCCATAGCAATGAAGAGAAGATGACATGAAGGCTGATGGAAACATGCTTCATTCTTGTTTTATTTCAGTCATTGTCAGTGCAGCAAAAACACTGCTACCCAGTGTTTCAAGCCTCTGGTTCATTAAGAAAATATGATACGGCATATAAAATTATTCAGTTATAGGTGGAAAGCAGAAAAAGATTCACCATGTACCAAAGTTACAGACAGTCCTAATTATGTAATCTTTTCTGTCCTATATCTGCATAGCATGAGTTGATGGACTGGGACACAGACTCAAGTTAGCTCTTTGTGATTTTTTAAAAATTTTTCTTTAAACTTTGCAGACTCCAATGAATACATACCTAGTAAGATCTACATTTTAGAAATATTTAACTAGTGTATAATGAAATGGAGTACAATTAAGATATCTCAAACGAATTATGAGAGCTGCATGATTGGAAACACTTGAAATATAAAAAGGGTGTTCATGAATCTTGCTTCTTTGCTTTCAGAGCAGTAATATATCTACAACTGCTTGATTTCTGGTAAGGTAGTCAAGACAATTTAGCACAATCATAAGATACTAATTACTATTGTTTGTAAAGAAAACAGAACCAAAATGACAGTATATTAGTATATTGATGGAGATTCCTTTACCTGAAGGGAGGTAATGGATCCACTGTGCCCCTGCAGCACAGCCACAGGAGCACAGGTACGAAGGCACCATACACGGATGGTCTTGTCACAGCTTCCCGCGGCAATTAATGTGTTCTCATAATTAACCGCCAAGTCTGTGATTTCTGCAGAGTGTCCTCGCAACGTCGAATGAAGCCTTCCATCAAACGAAGACCAAATCTTCACCAAACAGTCATCCGAGCCCTGAAAAAAAGAAAAAAAACTTCTACTTTAAAATTTTATTGAAGCATACAATAGACGAGACAAGTCTTGCACAAGGTTAAGATAAAACAATTGAGGCATAGTCAACTTGGATGTGAATACGGTATACAATTTTTTTTGTGTAAATCAGTGTTTTAAAAGAGCCAAAGCAAAATTAAAATTACTGTAATCACAGCACATTAAGTATGAGGTTATTTTTGAGTGGGGGGATATGCTGACAAATTCCATCTTACTGTGAAGATCCTGAGACCGGAGCGATCAAATGCGATACAGTACACTGCAGACAGATGCCCCAGGATCCGCCTATGCAGTCGCATATGCTCATAGTTGCTGACAGGATTGATGGAGCTGAAGCGCTGCGCTCCCGTCAGCTCTCTCCCGCGATGCACCTTCACTGTTGACGATAAGATGCCAATCATCAGAAGAGTGATGAAATTACAGGACTGCAACAGGACTGACATCAGCACAAACATAGTGGGCGTGAGATATATTTACTCTAATGTGGGCAGGAATGGAGGGGGCATAACCATAGGATGAAAGGAAACATATGGACATATAAGAGGCTGTTGTTCTTGGGATTAATAAAGTATGTAAATGCATTGCCTTTCAATAAACCTTATGTCTCTCATTACAGCACCTAGTAAACTTACGTTTTAGTTTAGTTTGTGTGTCTCTCTCACTTGTTTTATATCTCTTCTTATCCTAATCATGCCATCCCTTATTCAAATCTGATCTGTAAACAATAGCAATATCACTGCTGCTTCTAAGTCAGATGCATCTGGTTTGTATCTGGTTTGTATCTGTTACTATGGGAGACAACAAAATAAAGAAATCAAAGCAACATGAATCCATCTGTAATATTTTTTCTGCTTTAAGTTCTCACAGGCTCAAGATGAAGTTGTTTTAAGCATGTAATGAGGCCTGTTTGTTGTTCGCCTTCTAAAAGGTGGCTTACTAACAGCTGCGTAACTTCAATAGAATTTTTTAAATGAACAAAATAACCAAAAAGCTTGCATGTGTATTACTTTCCCTGAGGAAGGATAGGTTTTAAATAAAAATAACACTGTTGCAAACAGGCATAACAAGAATCTCTGCAGCAGTGTGCAGGAGATAAATGCCTCAACTTCAGGACCAAACAGGAAGCGCTGGAAATCCTGAAGAATCGGGCAGGTAAAGTATTGGAAAAAAAATTGTAGTACTTCTGCGCAAACCTGATGATTATGACTTATGATCAAGATAACAGTCATGTCATTACCAACAACCACTGCAGTGTAACAGGCTGCATTAAGGAACCCAATCTAGCTAAGTCACTGCAATGCACCACACCGCTATTTGTCAAAAATAAACTGACAAAATGCCGTCTACTTAAATTTGGCAGTCAGGGAAAAGAATAATACATAGTGCATTACACAGTCTACACAGTGTGTAACTTAGGGTTCAATCAGAATTCTTCAGATTTGTAAATGTGCACATTACCCAGTTATTCAATGATTTGTCAGCACATACATCACATGCATGGTTAGTGGGAGGAGACATTTAAAAACAGTGCCAAGCAATACCATGAAAAGCACATGTGATAAATCCTAACGCATCCATTTGTCCATTTCATTTCATTTCTTTTTTTTTCCCCACAAAAGGAGCCTTGAGCAAGCCAGAAGTACCTAAGGGTGGAGGATTCTTGCAGTTCAAAGGCCTCTCTGGTGGTCTGCCCCTGTGAAGGGCTGCATATGATGAAGCTTTAAACCGCACACTGTCACAGTCTGAAAAACAAAACAGAAAGTTCAGAGAATGATTCAGCTGATTACCAGCTGCGTGTGGTGAATACAATGTATCAATTCCTATGACTGCCCAAACTATTCAAACCCTCATGTTATGTGAAACTCAATATTCATCAGTGTAAGTACTGCATAGTCAGTACTAAGGAAAAAAAGCGTGTCATAAAGTTCTGTACCCAGAAATACTTAAAAGAAGCTTTGACGATTGCTTACCTTTTGGGGTCCTAAGCATTGACTGCTTTCCGGACCCCAGGAGAGAGTGTACTCCTGGGACACATGATGGCACCTCTTTGTCAAGAAGTGGTCCAATCTGCTTACATATCTGCAGCAAATGGTCTGGTGCAATGTGTCTGTTGGCTGCAACCTGTGACAGCAAACAAATACACAGTAGTGATATGACACTGAATGCAGATCATTGCTGAAACGATTGGTCAATTAACTGAACAACTATTCACCAACTATTCTGATAATCAATTATAAGACTAAAATGCCAAACAACCTTCTTAAATGTAAGGATTTGCTGCTCTTCTTTATTTTGGATTATTGTAAATTGAATGCATTTGGGTTTTAGACTGGTGATCAGACAAAATAAGCAATGGGAAGATGACATATATATATAGTCAATAATAGTCAATTTCAGTTATATATTATATTTCAGTGGTTTTCATTTTAAGAACACTTCTCACATACAGCATAAAATACAAATAGTCTGGTACATGAAAATAAGAAACCATTCTGGTATGTTATATATTGCTTAATTTGAGACCCATATATGTAAAACTGACTATAAACATAACATTTTATGACATTTATCTTATGTAATACTAGCAATTTCAGACTTTTCTGGGAGCTGCAGTTTTGTAAAAATTAATGTCTGACAGGGTGTCTGGTTGTTTCATGTGCTTCTCAACTCTTATTCTGAGAGGCGTGGCCTCTTATGCAAAACTTTCTCTTTTTAAGGACCAATCACAGCGCCGGTCACATGCACAACAACGCAGAGACAGCGCATCTCGTCCTATGATTGGCCAGTGGAGCCGTCTCTACGTAGTGAGAAGCCGAACTACCCACCCTATCTGCAGTACAACAGTCGGGGCTAAATAATATTAAACCCTCTGTTAGAACGCCGTTTTCTCAGCGAACATATCACAGTTCACTTTCTGAAAATTTAACCCAGTGTTAACGAGCTATGACCCTGTCAGTCCTCCCAGCTCAAGGATATCCAACAGTAGCCAAGCAGGAGAAAGAACAAAGACCGTAAACAAGCTCCGAGCATGGGCACAGGGTCCCCTGTCACAAGACAATAACAACCGCCGACAATGAACTTAGCAACAGAGATGAAGTTAAATCTCACCACATCTTCATATGTTCTCGGGTGCTCGTTTCCCAACCAGTCCAGTCTCCTGGGCAAAAGCTGTCGAAAACAAGAGTTTTTTGTAAAGCGCAGGCTGCACAGAAAACACCAGCAGGTACATCATTAAGCTAGTAAAAAACCGGGTGATGTCAAATGAGTGAGACGTACAGAGGTATTAAAAAGTCGACAGAAGTGAGACAAGTTTTATGCCCAGACTCAGTCAACACCGACGGATAGCAGCTAGCAGATAACAAGCAGCAGAGACAGCGGGGATACACACCTGATATTCCTCTAATTCGCTCGCCAGGACCTGCAGTGGATTAAAAGAGGCGATTCAGACCAGACTGCATCTATTAACAAACTCTATTATTAACTAGCTAGTCAACTATTTTCAAAGACAACACTGTGCCAGTCAAGGCACGCCAGCTCACCTCAGCCGCTCTCCGACATGGACCCGTTGTTAGAAAACGAGAAATCAAGTAATAGAGCTCTGAAATTGAACAGTGAGGAAATTAACCGTGAGAAAATCAGTTGGGTTATCAATTAGCACGAACCGTATCGTTGTAAATTGAGCTATCATTTGGGTTTACTTCTGCGGCTTACCCGACTCAAGGAGCGAAGTGTTCCGATTTTTGGCCATTGAATCGGCCGTGATTTGGAGAGGAGAAACAAATTTTAGGCTAACTTTATGACTACAGAGAATATGATATATTTATTTAATTTCGGCTACACAGCTCTGACCCCCTCCACGGTTGCTCCCGCTTTCTATTCAGCCTGTTTGCAGTCGCCATTGGAAGGATGAGGCCTCAGCGAGTCGACTTACTTCCGCCACAGCGGAGTAACACAGGAAAAAGGGGGTGGGGAGGAGCGCCCTCTCAACAAAAGACCAAAGTATACGTTAGCTCGTAAAATAGTGACATTTGTATTATTCGAGTGTAACATCGGGCATTGATATGATTTCTAAACCACTCTTAAAAAAATAATAAAATAAATGAATAAATAAATTTAAACATTACATATAACGCAGTACTCAAACACCCCTCCGCTTTTTACCGACCAAGGTCGTGAGTCCTGCACATGACGTCATAGACGATGGTTGCCAAATTTGCTTTATCAATCTGCTGATTTTCTTCATCAATTTTGTATTTTGTATCATATAGGCCTCTGGAAAGGGGAAAAGGTATTACAATAATGTCGCTGACCTAATTTCGTTGTAGTACTCACATGTGAGTTGAGTGTTTTATCTTCTTTGGTATTCATATGTTATATATTAATGTAGGCTAATATATAATACCGGTCAAAAGTTTTGTAACACCTCCGTAACAGTTTCTCCAGTTGTGGTTTAATATCTATTTCTGAAATTAAATCACAGAAGAAGTAAACATAGTAGATTTAAAAAAGAATCATAAAATCTTCTTCATGAACTAAATTTAATCGAATTTTTTTACTCATTCAGTAGCTGATCACACTCATGGTATTCCTACTACATTTGAAATCAAATATTGCTCAGAAAGTTCCTCCCAATACTGTTGCATAAGTTCCTAGAAATATGTTGCATTCACTCTTCTTTCCAGTTCATCCTACACCAGCTCCGTGGGGTTCAGGTTTAGAGGCTGTTATGGGTCATCATCTTGCTGTAGGATGAATCCATGGCCCACTCTGTTTGCCTTTTTCTCACCATTCTGATAGCAATATACACTACTACTTCCTGTAGTGCAATAATGTCCAAATGATGCTTCAGTGGGTTTAGTGATGTTATCTGTTCCAACAATGCATTCATACCTGTGTGAATAGTTTTCCTCAACTTTCAAGGTTTAATTAACCTCTATTGCTGCAGAAAACCCGTGAGTTAGCTAATTTTTTGACTTCTGAAAACAGTCTGTTTTATATGAAATTAATACCCCTGTTCTTCATCTCTTACCTTTGTTCCATTTAATATTATTCACTGGACTTGAACTGCTAACATTTTGATAAAGACTGGAAAATGGATGTGTTTTAAAATTTTTGACCAGTATATTGATACACTACTGGTCAATGTTTTACAGGCGCAGTGGACATGCAGACCTGTATGTTTTCAGTATGCTTTGTTTATTTTATTTAATAATAACATTGATTTCCAAAACTCTTTGTTTGAGGATTGAATTAATATTATAATCCTAAATTGTACAAGTATGAGTAAATGAGGATGAGTTACAGCAGCTTATTTTGATACCAATTTGCCCCCCATTTTTTTTTTTAATTATTTGAATTAAATTATATTGTTAACACAACAGGGGTCCAAATATCAATTGTATGGGGCCAAAAAATGATTGAAAGAAGAAAGAATAGAATATATATGCTACAAACTTTGGTTGAAACTCCTCATAACTCATAAACAGTTCTTGTTCACTCTCAGGGGCATAAATTGTAATGAGGGGTCAGATGTTGTTTTTATACACAATAATATTGTTAAATGTATCTGGTGTCCATATTTTATTTGTCTATTAATAAAATTTAATTCCAGATTTTCAAAAGACAAAGGCAAAATCTTTGATTTCACTGTGAATAAAGTGGAATAGTCAAAATGGTAGAGTAACAATGTTAAATTAAGATTACCAACATGGCCAATTAAGCAACTGTCCAAGTGATCCTTAAGTTCCCATCTTCACCATGTGATAGGTGTTTGTGACCATTTTATTAATTGTAACTTTGACAATATGGGAACATTCATTACTTAAGCACAATATCAACTGTCTTAAGTGTTTCGAGGTGGGTCCCTTTATTATCTGACCTTGAGGCCCTGTGTCACTGAGTACAGTATAGTGTCAGAACCCTAATTTTTTCAGCTGACATAAAAATCAATCAATTTCAAATTTATTTAATCAAATTCCCGCACAGCAAACTAGCCATATATATGTTATGTTATGTTTTACTATATTTGTAAACAATGAAGTTAAACCTGCCATTATTTTTTAAATACACTAAAGAAAACACATTCTAGCTTCAACTACCAGGAAAACCATATATGGATATACCTAAAATGTATAAAACTAATTACTTCATTATTTAACAATTCAGCCCACATTCATTAGTTTTATGTCCCAAAGACACATTTTCTGCCTTATATCATCCGGTCACTTAAGTGGTTAAAAATATCAATCAATTATTATAGGTAACAAAAGGGAAACATCTGAAATCAGTCAATCAGCGAACCAATCAAAGATTTAAGAGAAATTCCCACTTTAATTGGCATTTTATACCATTCATACCATTCAAAGAAAACATTTTCTTTTTTTTTTCTTTTTTTAAAAAAAAAAGGAGGAAACTGTACATTAGTAGAGAAATCCCAAAACCACAATGAATATATCCACAAATGTGTGGCATATACATTTTGTTGACTTAAATGAAAATACAGTTATCCTAAAAGGATAAACACAGCAAGTATGATTAACTCTGTAATGTATTTTCTTTTGAGCACAGCTGAGAATATGGATAAATTTAACTGTCCTCAAATATACCATCACAGACTGCATTATAAAAAAAAATCAAAAAAAATAAATCAAAAAAAATAAATCAACATGACCAATTCCAGTACTAGTGAACATGATTAAAGTGAATGTTGTGAAGAAGATGTTACATAGCATAGAACACAACTCTCAAACTTTAAGCCATTCTATTCCCTATCTAACACAATATTACAATGTATTAAATTCCAAAACAGTACAGGTCACAAAATCCCTCGAGACTCCTCGGGAATGTTTCAGGTAAATCCTGGAATTCCTGATATATAGTGGGGTCCCAAAGTGTGAGGCCACTTGGATGGGAAAGTGGTCTCAAACTTCTGGACCCCACTGCAGGCATGACTACATGTCATGCAGAAAACCACAATCTAAAAAGGCCAAAGAAGAAGCCAGAGAGACAAAAAACAAGTACAATGAATGAAACCACAAACTTTCCCTTCACAGAAGCCATGAAATTGAATGGAATTTGTAGTATTAAAAAAAAAAAAATGCATTTCTGCAATCACATCCCTAAAAACACTGCTGTCTTAAGAAAATAGAAGATAAAAATATTCTCTGCATTGTACAAGAAAGGAGGTACAGGGAGCAACTGAGTTTTTAGGTTTTACTACTACTCTGCTGCTTTATCCTCCTCCTCCTCCTCCTCCTCAGCCTTGTCCTCCTTTTTGTCTGCCTCATCTGCTGCTGCAGCCTGCTGGAGGATGGAGAAAAGATGCTTTATCATTTTGTTTTCTTTGAACATTGCTACAGTGCAAACAAATAGCAAATTTCATGTGGCAAGACTCATGAAGATACAAAGCTGGCATACCTCCTCGGGTTTGGCTTCACCGTTTTCTGCAGGAGCCTCTTCTTTCTCTGCCTGAGGTTCTTCTTTCTTCTCCTCTGGCTTGGCCTTTGCAGGCTCTTTCACCTTTTTATTCTTGGGAGGTGCCTACCATGTTGAAAACAAACCAAGCAGCATGGAATGCACCGTCAAATTTGAATAATAGAGAATATAGAGAGCAAAACATTGCATTTTAAGTGGATACAGTGCTCTTGTGCAATGGCAGAATTTCTCCTATTACCTTTGTCTTTTCTGGCTGTGATTTTGGTTGTGTCTCTTTCTGTAAAACACACATGCACAACAAACAATTATGCATCGTATTAGGCCAACAAAATACCTATAGTTATAGTATAATATGTGCTGATTTAAATAATGCGAGATGGTTTTTGCTGGGCTTTGTAAAACTCACTTCTGACAACCTTTGAGACTTTCTCCGCGGCTGAAGAGAAACATAGGACAAGATAATTAGTTCAGTCATTTGAGAGTATTAATACACGATACAAAATCAGAGTCCAAAAAACACTTTTTGCCCATAAAATCAATCATGAAACAAATGTTACGCAATGTGGAGTGGTACTATGAGTACAAGAGGTAAGTAATGAGTGCCTCTATATGCATTTCTAGACACCAAGAAGTGCCCAACATGAGCCTCAGCTGAATGTCTGGGTTAATGTTGGTTATTTAAGAGATGGTCAGCATTGGAAAAATAAATAAATAAAACCACCTTATTTATCAGTTTAAAAAGTCTATTAAACAATTCTTACAACTCATTCAAATGCACCAACTTCTGAATTATAATTACAAACAGACTATAGGTAGCCTAAGTCAAAGCTTATCAGACGTGTGAAAAGGTTTCTTTGTGAGAGTTAAAATTTAAATACTTGGACTTTGGCATTTATTAGTTGCAGACAAACACAGGTGAAAACATCCCATCCTTGACAGAAGAAATAAATTAGCAAATTAGCAAACTAAGACTGAAAACTGAAACAGCTTCCTTGTACCCTTGTTCACTTTTGCTGCATAACTGTACATTATACTGTCATACTGGGGGCAAAGGTGAAACATTGCATTTTGAGATTTGTAGCAAAGTGTGGTGTACATGCTATGGACCAAAAGTTAGTTAGCAAGGAGCCCCTTTTAACCAGCGCCCCCTAGAGGCTGTGCAAATCCTCAAACCCAACAGAATGACCAGGTTTGGGTTTTAACAGTGCATTAAAACCAACTGCCTGACACTGTAATCCTTATAGCTTTAGTCTCTCACTTGCAGGATTAAAAGTGGCCAGTGCATAACTATTTAAATAACCATCCTGCATGAAGCAAGCCCTTCTCTTTTTTCTTGACAGAAAATAGAACAAAATGTTCATTTCACTGTACATGTGCATGTCAAGATCTGTTTTTGTCAGTTTGGGTGTCAAGACATGACACAAATACTAACCTCTGCACTTGCAACTGCATCACTGCTGGACTGTGAGAGACAGAGAAGGGAAAAAGAAATTAGTAAACCAAAAACAACAGCTATTCATGAGTGAGCTGAAGTGGGTGTGTAATGCAAAGGGGGGATGGGCACCTCTCCCTCCCCTTAAGTCACAAAGAAATTATGCAACCTTAAAGTGGGGAGAGGAGTCTGATACGTTTCTAAATTAACTAAGAAAGGCTTGGCCAGTTCAAGTTTATTCCACTAAAGCACTGTAGCGCATCATTCATGAGACAGACATGTTTTTGTTAAGTAGGCACGGTGCTCCTGCTACTTCAAGAAGAGGGGAAGTCATGGAGTCGCTCCATCTCCACATGCACTTCCATACATCACTACAGTGAATGTGTTTTTTTATGTTCCCAGTTTGACTAAACCTCAGGATTATTCCATAAAACTTCTCCGACATGACGATTATACAAGTGAGCAGTTAAAACGACCAGATGTGTCGCTGTCTTTTCGAAGATATATCAGCTGCCATGACGCTCCTAAAGAAAAGAGCGTACACCTCAAGGGTGACGCGCACTAGCTTTACAGTACTCGCAGACAGAGGTCAAAATCTCAACAGTGTGTGCTGGGATTACACATATTACAACTCCACATATCCCTAGTAAAAACAGCTGCCTAAGAAGTAACGCGTCTAATCACGATAAATTCACATATCCAGTGGCAATTACGCACGAAATTTCCTTGAAATGGCAACCTGTGCATCGACGGTGGTTACACCCCTTTGTTTGATCTCAGCACACAGTAAGGGCTAATTATTATTAAACCACGGACAGATATACATCTTAGCCCCTGAATCACGAAGTGGTCGCATTAGATGAGACTATGCAATTGGAAAACTTGGTCGATGAAAAGGCACGCTGCACTGTACTAAGTAAAAAGGCGCCACTTCCCTGTATCAACAGGGTAGACACGACAGACCTGAGCGCAGCAAAGGTGGACTTAATGCATGCACATGGACACTGTAGCGACTATTCTTAACGTTACATTATTGCTCATGCAGTGTGAAAAGATACACGGTAGCGAATTTAAAATACAGCTTATGTATTTATGTTAATAAATGTACTGCATATGTCGAAATTCCACAGAATCTACATATTTTAACTTACTTTTTTCCTTCCCATTGTTGCTTTGACTGTACAGCAGAGATAAAAGAACAACGGTCTTTTACAGCTCAAGAAACTGAATGAAAAGAGTCAGCCCTACGCCTCTGCTTGCACCTCCAGTGCGGTATGTAACTTAATGTATAAACGTTATAGACGTCCGACCAGCACCAGAACTAGCTCAAACTGGATTGGATCCCCCTCTCGGTATATTTTATCCCTTATCCTACCAACCTACCAGGAAGAGTAAACCCCCGCCCCTTGCTTCCAGTGATTGGCTTCGAGGTCGAGGCAGCATATTTTTGAACCATAACATCTTACCTGTGTGGGCAAGATTGTATGCCAATCAGTGAAGACAGCCAACTCTCACTTTTTAATCACGGGCTTTTTTGCAGTGTGTGCAAGACAACTATGTCCACGTTATGAAGTATTAAATAAACATGTGCATAAATATCTTTTTGTCTTTTGAGTGAGTGGTATTTCCTTATTCTAGTTCAATTTCTTATCACCAAATCATATAACCACAATTCTAATATGCTGCCGAATAAACATATTGAACTAAATGAGTTCATTGATGTTTGTGTGTGTGTGTTTTTTTTTATATAAATAACTTCCGTGTACCTTAAAGTATTACCAGCAGAACCTGAATGGCCTAATTATTATGTAACTGCACTGTGAACTCCAATAGCTCCACGGCTGCAACAAGGAGGCTGACAGGACTCGAGGGAGGAGAGAAAACATGGCGTCTGGATATGCGTGGTTCCTTGTGCTGGGGTCGGTTTTTCTGTGCAATCTCATGAAAACACTCCTGCCGACAATATCCTCTTTCGTAAGTTGGGTCTATTGTTATTATATGTGAAATTATGAGTGAAACGTATAGGCTGTGGCGGTGTATTATGGTTGTTGGTGTTTTAGCTTCGTCTCTCAGACAGCCCATTGTTGCCTAGCTTAGTTTACTGAACAGCTAACGGATAATGGATAATGCTACTTGGGTGGAGTTTTCCCCGGAAACCTGTCTAGTCACAACACACAAGGGGCGAAACATCTTGTGCTGCGTCGTTGTTCAAATGTAATGAGCCCACTGTAACACGAGGGAGTTTTGTAACTGTTTACATCTTAGCATTTCTGCTAAAGATAGCTTAGCGTAGTGCAAATATGTTAGCTAAAACTCCGGGATACCATCTTTTATTGTCCAGCAGGAGCACTTCAGAGCTTTGTGACTGTATCCGTAAGCAATAGCCTACATCACACTAAAACTATGTCCCCCTGCTAACTCACTTTTTCCTCTTCTTTCAAGCTCTCAAAGATGGTGCAGAAAGATGCGGAGCAGGAGAGTGAGATGAGGGCTGAAATTCAGGAGATGAAGAAGGAGCAGTCCTCCATTAGCATGATGGATGAGTTTGCAAGATATGCCAGACTGGAGCGCAAAATCAACAAGATGACAGACAAGCTGAAAACGCACGGTGAGAAACAGAAGTATTTACTGACATAACGAGGAAAGGCAATGTGACAGGAGCCCTAAAATGACATTCAATATATCAGCAACATTTAGCAACAACATAAAACAACACTACAATCTTTATTTTCTAAATATAAATCAGCATTTCTATGACAGTCACAATGAGAAGTGAACAAAGGCTTTAGAAAGGAACTGTTTGTTGCAGGGATGCTGTTTTGGATTGGTGTCCTTGTTACTTAGTACACTCCTTGTAGCTTATTTTCGTTTTGAAAGAAAATGGAAACTATATGGCGATACACTGTCACTAAAACTGTAAACGGCACATTTTTGTGTCTTCCCCACCTGTGCATATCTACTATAGCAGATTCACACTTTAAAACCACCACTCGCAGGAAGTGGCAGAGGGTTTTAGATAACATACTTACTAAATGTTCTCTGGGAACAGGTGCTGTCTGTTGCTATCCTTTGCCCACAGCCTTAGGATCTTGTGCTCAGACAAGAAGTGGTTATAAAGAATTTTAGGGATACACATCTACAGCAGTGCAAAGGTGTTTCATATGATTTCCACATTGATATTTTCTGAAAACTACACACTGGCAGTTTTCAATCTCCCATGACCAAGCTATACAACCTGTGTTGTACTAGATAAATTTAGCCAATCACAAATTTCTCTTTGTTTCACTGTGATACTTGTTATATTACCCAATGACTAGACGGAAGACAGTAACTGGGAATGTACAATAAAAGGTGCATAGCCAAATTTTAGATCTCTGAATCATTGCCCATGTCTTCTGATTTTTCCAAGGATTCAAATAGTCTAACAGTTACATATTTCCTCCCTTTTGCAGTGAAATCAAGAACAGCACAACAAGCCAAAATGAAATGGGTTGTCAACATTGTCTTTTATATACTGCAGGTAGGTGGGTATTGTAAGTAGATTTAGTAGTAGACTACAGTGTAACAATGAGACCTACAAAGAGAGCTACTTCAGTATCAAAAATGTAAGCATGGGCCATATATTTCATACAGAACCTCCAGTTAATGTCATTTAAGTACTTTATTCTCTTAATTTTAAACATACTGTATAATGTTAGAGTTGGCATTGCTAGCATCATGACAAGCTAATAAAATACATATCATGTATTACGTATCCACACATTTCTGTCTTTAATTTGTCAGGCTGCTCTGATGATCTCCTTGATATGGAAGTATTACTCTGATCCAGTGACAGTGGTCCCCAATAGATGGATTGCCCCTGTGGAGCGCCTTGTGGCCTTCCCAACAGGAGTGGCAGGTACTCAACATATACTTTATTGTCCCTTGGGGAAATTTCTCTTGGGCTCAGGGTGAGTGGCAATAAGCCACTCAGTGCTTTTATATTTGATAAAATATTAGAGAATTTATTTACGAATACAAGCAGGACACCTCAAATACAGCAACATAATACACATGGGATAGAGTTTTTTCATCAACATAACTTGGATTAGAACTTGGTTCAAATGTAAACTGAAGTATGTCATTCTTTTTCTCTTAAATGTGTCATTAATGTGAGTCTGTTTATTAAGGTATTGACAGAGCTCTTCTCTCCCTTCAGGTGGAGTGGGAATCACATGCTGGCTGGTGGTTTGCAACAAAGTAGTTACACTCGGTCTCCATGCTGTCAGCTAGAGATTAAAGCTGTGAGCACAAACATTAAACACATTGTTCTCTTAACTTATTGCTCAACATTTTGCTGGTGGAAAGCTACAGTTTTGTTCCATTATTTTTTTTTTTGTCAGCTGCTCCATGTCTGTTTGTAAAAATGCAGTGCATTTTGGTGTTGGTCGTCTCATTCTACAACATAGCAATTTGGGGTTGTTGAATTTTGTTATTATATTTTACTTTAATTTAATTGTGAGATTGTTTTTACTGTGTATTATTTCAAAATGGAATGATTCGGAAATATTGAAATGCCTTTTTAAATAAAAGACAAAAAAGAAAAATAAACCCTATTTATTGTCACTTTGTAAATTGGGAGTTGACCAATAAAAGCATGTCAGGTAATTGTCTTGAAGTAGAATTGCAATGGATTAAAACAAAGTAGATAAACCACAATTGACTGTCTAGCTCTTATGTCAGAAAATAAATTATTCAGAGAAATACATTAGTGACAAAGAGCATGAGAAAATCCCAGTCCTCTGCCACTTCAGTCAAACTTTATCCACTGGTTCAGTCAGAGGTTCTTTGTATGACATCTTAAAGGTTTAACCAACCAATTCAGTGACCTCACTTGGACCAAAGAGCTGCTCATCAATGTGGACTGTATCTGCCCTTTACTCACACTGAGAGCTGCCTATTCCTCCTCTCCTGTATTTCCCAGCTGGAAGGCTTATAATAGAAAGTTCACAAATCCCACTGCTGAGGGCCTCCACCCTTGTCGAGATCGTGGTGCTTTCACAGGGACTCGCATCCATGCTGCTGTAGGCAGGTCTGCAACTGTGCAGGTTCTCAGTAGTTTGATTTAAGGTATAGTTGCGCTTGATCTGAGGCAGCTTGTATTCTTTTCTTGTAGGTTCAGTTGTATTCTTTTGCTTTCGTTTTCTTTTTTCTGCTCTTCTTTTAACACTTGTGGGGCCCCTAACACTTCTGATGCTTCTGATGCCTCCTTTTCTTCTGTACAGTCTCTCAGTTTGATGTTCTGCGGTCTTCTGAACAACTATTTGAACAACTATTTTGCTCACAGGTGTCTAAAAACAAATATAGTCATACTTCTTGAAAAATACTGAATGACCCACTGACAAAACAAGCATTTTGCTCGATGTCTGTTCGACCCATCTTGATTTCATTGCCTGTAAATGAGGAATGAGTCTCAGACAACTCCCGCTAAATGCCAACAAATTAGAAATGGCCAAACTCACTTTTTTTGGTCGATCATTTTAGTAATCTGTGGGAGTAAATATTGCATGTACCCACTTCTCTTTTTCTATCCTGTAAAGGGGAAACAAAAAAATGTGATTACATAGTCTCATATCCGATCTTTCTTAAATGAGCAACCATGTTACAGTTGGTCAGAATACATTAAAATTTTAAGATATTTGAAAATCTGTTTCTGCAAAATGCTTAAATAGAACATTAATAACAATTTGTAATGTTTAGTTTTCTCAGTATCAGGAATTACACCATCAAACACGAGCAATAAACCCTCAGTATCAGTGGTTCACTAATGGCCAGTTGTCTGAGGAAAATATTGATCCAGACATCTTAACCTAATTCTCCAACAAGTGCTTAGTCTGACTTCACTTTGGATATGACATGAAAACATAATGGAATTCAAAAGGCCGTGGTCCTGTTTGCAGATAGGGATACTACAATGTGGAAGTCATTGCTACTATCTCAGAGGATAAAAGCTTGCCCTATAAATCTTAGCAATTTGTCAACCTACTTGAATTTCTTCGGTCAGCTGATATATCTGCTCTTGTAGATAGCTGGAAATCCTCCTTGCATCACTGATCATTCTCTGTTCAGTGATTAATTGACGACTGAACGATGCCTGGCACAATTCAAGATTCTTCTCCAAGTCCTAAAATACAACAAAAGAAAATGAACAAAGGTATAAAATTATTTAAAAAAACTGCCCTTCCTGGTTATATCCCCAGTATACTAGTGCTAGTTTACGGATGCTGTGCGGAGTTCTGGTGAGACACTGGACTCCCACAAATCCATCTCCATCCCAACCAACCTCTTCATACCAGTATCCTCTTGCCCTTCTCCTCCAGTTCAGCAGTGGCCTTGGCCAGCATGAGGGTGAGCTCCTCCCTCTCCAGCAGGCTGCGATCCTGGCTGAGTTGCCGCAGGTGCTGGAGAGTGGCCTTTGTGTTCAACAACTTATTTTATGTGGCCTGTAGCTGCCTTGCCAGGTGGTCACGGCAGGCACGGGTCTCACTGAGCAGCCCCTGCAGGACTCGGACCTCATTGTTGTGCTTGGTGAGGACCTGGGAACAGGGATGGCAACAACATAATGTGAGGAACTGGAGAACTGGAGAAAGATGAGGAAAAATTCATCAGATTTTCTGCCTGCAGAGATGAACGTATGAACAGCTTGTGAAATTTGGATAATACACTGGGAGTAGGTGTAGAATGCATGGTGCACACAGATAAAAGCATTCCAACTTTTAGGGATGGGTACCCACCAAAAGCCCTGTTTTTGTCTCTGAGCTTCCTGTGCACACAATGATTTGGCAATGATTCAGATCTGACTGAGCATGGGAGACACCAGAGGGACACAATCAACCAACCTGTGAAATGCTGCCCTCTGAGTCTTGGAAGTGCTGTAGTGCCACCGTGTGGCGACACTGGAGACTCTTCAGCAGTTTGTTCTCAGCCTGGGCCTCACTCAGCTGCTGCTGCTGCAGATCTGACACCTGGCTCTTCAGTTCCCTGATGCAGTTCAAGTGGGTAGACTGTGTCCTTGGTTTTGAAACTTGCAAGGGCTTGATCTGAGGCAACTTCAGGACTTGGCAGTGTGCAGCGTAGTTTGTCTTCTGTTTGCAATCCCCTTGGGCTTTTTTATCTAAACAGAAGAAGAAAAAAGAAAAGAATTTACTCATGATAGTATGAGTTACAATGACTTTATTTACATAAACAACATGATTCCTACTGTGCACATATTAAAGCAGGTTGAATAAAATACCTCTCTTTCTCCCAGGTGGTTTCGACCCTTGCCACTTGTCTGTTGTCTTGGCCTCTGGGATCTTGTCTGTGAGGGAGTCCACTTGGTCTTCACAGTCAGACAAGTATTGTGGACTATTAGAGCCACAGTAGAGTTTGGAGGGAGTTGACCACCTGGAGGTGTCAGTGCTGCAGCTCACAGCATCACCGTCACCCTCCTTATGAACCAAGGCCTGCTGCATCAGGCTCTGCTGCCTCGCACACATCACTTGTTGTACAGGTGTTTCCACTCTGGAAAAAAAAAACAGGAAAACATAAGCCTTAATGTGAACTTACATGAAATAAAATGAGTTTGAGGACCTTATTCCTTTTGATACAGTAGCTGTAAACCATAAATGAGTAGCAAGTGCTTTTTGGAGCTTTTAGCTTAAGGATCACAAAGAAATCTGCTCATAAAAGACCTGCATGAAGAAATTCCTAACACTTATTCTCGTTGGTCTCTATGATCTTGTTGAATTGACTGGGTTGCATAAAATAAAGTTTCCTTCATCTTCAGCTTAAGGATCATTGGTTGTTCATATTTTTAACTGGTGTAGCCTGAAAAATTACAGCATCATACCTTTTCCTTGCTTTTGAGAGGAGCTCTCTTTGTGCTCTTGTTGCTCACTACTGGAGAACAGGCACAGGCAATGTTGTTATTTCCAATTAAGCTACTTGCATCCAGGTTCTGAATATTTAGTTAATAAATAAGTGGATCGATTGTTGCCAGGGGCTTTTTTCAAGACACTCGCGGTTGTCACGGTAACTAGAGGAACAATGATTGAAGCTCCAAACCAGCTTGGAAAAAAAGGTTATATTAAAGGCTATATTAAAGTTGCAAACTATTACATATAAAGGCTAATACATCTATAGGTTAGACTGTGTGTGCAAGATACTACAAATTTTATTTTCAGTGTCCACAATGCATTTTGAATGAAGGCTACACAATTCTTTCCTGAACATTTCGAAAAATAAAAAATTTCAGTCAAAAGTGAGGTTTTGGCAGATTTTATTAATATTGTAAATTAAAAAAGATCACGCAAGGATGCTTTCACTTGTGTCCCTTTACAGAGATGGAGAAAGTGAAACCTCGATGATAGCGCATCTAACGTGCATTGGCCCAGTTTCACAACAAACTTTATTGAGTCAAGTCAACAATTTCCCATGTTGTTGGGGATCCTAATCGAGAACCCTTAACAGGTCCGAGCTCCTGCGTTTGGAAACCAAAGACTTACAGCCTACAGTGCTGGTCAGTGCTATTTCTATCCATATATGAACTCAGCAAGTGGCTGGAGACGAACTCCACTGTCCCCCGCGTCGACAGACAGCTGAAGTTGCCAATCAGTCAGTGTGGTGCTGCGCCCCTAGGGGCCATCCCACCAATCCTGCACTAATGGAGCCTGGAGACAAAAATAGCCTCAGCAGAGTGTGTGTGTGTGTGTGTGTATGTGTGTGAGTGAGTGACTGAGTGAATGTGTGTGATCTCAGTGCTATGTCTCCCTCCGTCCTGGGTGCGCTCTAATAATAGAGGAGACTGCCTGCTCCTTTAAGAGCCTACTTGTTGCAAACTCTACAGAATATATTGTAAAAAAAAAAAAAAAAATGGTTATCAAAGTCTTCCTCGCCTCTTCATCGGGATCCACTGCGGTAAGCATTCAGCCAGTGCGACTGATTTCTCTGTAGACTGAACTTTCCTGGTTGTAGTTTAGTGCTCCTGAAACCGATCAGGACGTTCACTCACACTGACTCAAGAGCGTTAAACCTCGAAATGAATGTCACTCGCCTTTGATTTCGCATATCTAAAGAAAATTGACATGTGTATGACTTGATTCATGTTAAGATTTATGCTTGAGCTGTGCTTCAGTGCGTTTAATTACCTCGCAAGTCGACCTGATTCACATGCAGAGCTTTCTAGAACAGGGGCTCCCAAACTTATTCATGTCTCGGGAACCCCCGATATACTAACGCTTTAGACCACATAACCGGTGTTGGTAGAGATTTTGCCCCTAACAAAGAGCCTTTTAATACTATCGGCGATCTGATATAGCCTGAAGTAACAGTCTACACACAAGGTGGGGTGATAACCACTGCAGGGAGGGTGAATTCATCCTCTAGATCTACTTTTGGCAAAGCTAAATAAGCAGCTTGCACTGGCCTAGTGGTGGCATGGTGGCCCACTTGGATAGGGCTGTTGTCTCACAGCAGAAAGAGCTGCCTTGTTTGTTCAGAGTTTGTATGTTTGTAGAGCTTCATACTGTTGTTATAGATGAGTGGAGGGCTATTCATGTCTTTTCTACTAGTAGACTAATTGTTTAGGCTATAATTTGTCAAAAGATAGTGGAAAAATATACTTAGTTTCCCAGAGTTCAAAATAATGTTTTCACTTCACATGACATGACATTGTATAAAACTAACAGTCCAAAACACAAAGGTATTCAGATTATACTGATATAATACAGAGAAAAGCAGCATATGCTCACACATTATAAGCTCAAACCACCAAATGAACCACAATGATTAATCAATTATAAAAATAGTTGGCAATTAATCTTCTGTCAATCAACTAATTAATTATAACAGCAGTAGTTTACATATTTATGTAGTAGGACAGGAGACCAAGGGGAGGAGGGTAGTGTCATGTACCAGATTTTGAACCCATTGTGTCATATAGTGTGCAACATGTTTAATCTTTGAAGTAGAATATCACAGCCTTCTCCCCACACACTGTGCAATCACTGTTGGTTTTCTTTAAGCTTATGCTATTTGTTTTTCTGTTTCCCAGATCAAAAAGAAGCAGCAAGATGTGGTCGCCTTCCTGGAGGCTCTTAAAGTGGACTACACTCAGTTGGACATCGCCTGCAACGAGGAGAACCGCATGTGGATGAGGCAGAATGTCCCAGAGGAGAAGAAGCCTGCCAACGGCATCCCCCTGCCACCTCAGATCTTCAATGAAGAGAGCTACTGCGGGGTGAGTATATTCACAGCAGGGACTCACTCTGCTTTAGACTTGTGTTTATTAGCCAGCAGTTGGATCCAGATGTCAAACCAAAACATGGGGACCTCTGCAGAATAGTACAGAATTTACATACTTTAATGTGGGCCATGGAGTATATGATTAAGAGAGCAATTAAGTGACATTATCGGGGGAAATATGCAATTACTACAATCTACAGACCTGCTCCACTGAGTGCACATGATGTGTAAGCAGAAATAAAAGATGGAGTGGATTATAACAGAATGTTTTCTTATATTTTCATGCAGGACTACGACACATTCTTCGATGCCAAGGAGGACAACTTGGTGTATTCTTTCCTGGGGCTGCCCCCTCCTCCTGGGTCAAAGGTGCAAACCTTATCCTGTTTTCCACTGTGTAAAAAAGAAAAACCTAAACAACATGATCTAATTTCGTTTAACCTTATGCCAGGATGTAAATCTGTTGTGGTGGGACAGCTTCAACAGTATTTGTTTAATCAAATAGCCAATATATTGTCCTTCAGGACAGTTTAACTGTGTTGGAACAAATTCTTGCTTGGCTTAGTATGAATGTTATTGATATATATATTGTTGATACATTGTTAGTTTATTATATAGTGTATTCCTTTAGGATTTTAACTGCTTGAACAATACAATTAATGAAACACCTACCTGTCTTAGATAAGTTGGCTAATATCTCATTTATCATTTAAAGCTGTCCAATCAACTGGATTAATTATATCAAGACATCATCAGGGTATTAGAGACTTTAAAGAATAATAATAAATGACTTGTCATGCATATAGCTTGCATACAGCCTGCATGGATTTTTTATCTTTATCACTATAGAGTCCACAATAACAAGAGTCCATACCTTACATTATCATGTTGTCAGAAATCCATAAATTACCAATAAAGCATGTCACATTTTAATTGTAACCCACTAGAGAAATCAAAGTAAGTCCATCTTAGTTTCTTTAAACACATCATAATTAAATTCAAAACCATAGCAGTGTTTGATGATCTTTAGGACACACTTTCACCTCCATAGTGAGTAATATCAAGTTATGGTATATGGCACCTCAGGCAGACACTGATCAAATTTAAGATATCACTTCTTCAGAATGAAGTGGCCTGAAGCTACAATTTTACAAATCTGTTATGCATTTTTGATTTCACTATTAAATATGTTGAAATGCAAACAGCAGACTTTGATGTTAAGAAAACCATTGTTTGACAATAATCACGGACGCTGTAACTTCAAAATGTACAAGACAACATTGGCTGGTGATCCAAACCATTGACATCAAGGGCTGAGGGTTCTGTGTGATACACGTATTAAACCTGGTCATTTCATTGGCACAGGAAGCAGTGCAGGCGGACAAGGCGGATATTGTGGAGAACGGGACCCATGCAGAGGAAACTAATGCAGAGGGAAACCTTGATGACTCAATAGTAATGCCGTCGTTACTTCCTTTATGTTTTGTGTCTTTTCACTGTGTCTCACCTTTTCCTTTCCATTCAGTATAGCTAAACAACCCCCCCTCTGTCCAAACCTGTTGACTTGAACAGACTTTCCATTATCTCTTGTCTCAGTCATCACACTGACAAATCTTTTTGTGCTTTGCATGAGTGAAAAATTTTATTCCACAGTAACACAATGTACCGTGTCATTATAACACTGTGGCACTGCATCACTCAGACTGCCCCAGAGTGGTGGTGAGGCATCATGCTCCTACAATTCTTTCTTCACTTAGTACTTTACAAAGTGTAATATGTTTGGTTTGCATTGTGAAATTTGATGTTTTGTTTCCGTTGTTAATATTTTCTTCAATGCATACTTTAAAAAAGCATTTTGTATCTTCTATACTTCTTGATTTCAGTGACTTTCTAACATTTTTCCTCCCAAAAGAAAATCCCTGCTGTCCTCACTTTCATCACAGTCCACAATCTGAAGATACCTAACTACATACATCTTTCAATTTCTGTGTTTGACTCTGCGTTAACCTTTAAAATGGAATCATATTTTTGTTACTTACAATTGCAAGTCAAGGGCATGAGCAAACATTTCTCATAAGCAGGAATTTGACTCATATTCACAACCTCAATGCAATTTTACTCATTGCATCATGAGATATTGACATAGCTGCAAAATGTTGAGTAGCTGAAAAAGATCCAAAGGATTTTTGTTGTTTTTGTTGTTGTTGTAGGGTTAGCTAAAAACACAACTGAGGAGTCCTGCTTAGCTGAACCTGTGATCTTCCTTTTTTAAAAATCCCACAGGATATGATTCAGTACTGCGTGAACAAAGTGCAAATTGAGAATCATTTTAGCTGTATTTTGCTTCCAGCAGTTCAGTCCAGGAGTCCAGCTGCCCCTTTGCTTATACTGCTTATTTATTAAATACTGTTGACTAGACTGATGAGAGGAACAGATCCACACTTTGGAGAATATACTTATTTGCTTGTCTTTATGCTAAATGTGAAGCAACCATCAGCAGCCTGTTAGCTTAGCTTAGCACAAAGACTGTAAACAAGTGGAAACAGCCAGCCTAGCTCTGTCCAAAGATAATCAAAATCCACCCACTAGCAGATTTAAAGCTCTCTAATCAATATGTTATAAATGGTTTGTTACCTCCACCAATGAGCTTATGTTTTGACCCATATCTGTTTGTTTGTTTGTTTGTCAGCAGGACTATGCAAAAAATATGGAACCAGTTTGCTTCAAACTTGGTAGAGGGATGGGGGATGGGCCAGGGAAGAACCCATTAAATTTTGGTGCAGATCCAGTTAAAGGGGCGGTTCCAAGAATTTGTATTATTTTCATTAATATTGCAAGAGATAAAAATCAGACATTTATGGTATTGAAATCTATGGATTTTTACAATTTGGTGCAGATCCAGATAATTCAGATCTGGTGGAAGAAAATGTTAGGTCTTGGCAGAGGTATGTTTCATGCGAATCTAACAAGTGCCATTCTAATTTAAGGTGTAATAGTCTAGCACATTACCCCCTGTAAATTGTTTTGTATACACTTAAATTATTACACAGATTAAACAGACTTCATATAATGGCTAGCTAATTCCCAGTTTCTAGCCTTTGTGCTGAGCTAAGACAAACTAATTGACTACCAAGAGTAGCAAATAAGTGTGTTAGCCAAAATTTAGAACTATTCCTTTAAGAGCCATTACTTATTCTCACCTATGAGTTTATGATGCATCATTCCAAACATCTGATTTTCATGCAAAGTACTGACACTTCAGTCTCCACCTTTTAACTGCTACTCCTTCTTCCCTCCTCCACTTTATTCCCAGGATTAACCATCACCTACATTTTAAGCTTTTTAACCTCCCCAACTGATGAGCTCACGGCTGTGCTGTTTGAAGCACTGCCTGAACAACTCTGCCATTAATATTCACATTTTTTTTTATCGCATCATTTGTTGCCCTTGATCACCAGTTGTTGTTTTCACCTCACAATAAGGAGGTACCAGTGGAGGAGCGTAACGGGGATGCACACGGCAAGGAGGAGCTGGCACAGGCAGCTGATGAGGAGGAGGAAGGTGAGGGTGGTGAAGAGGAGGAGGGGGAGGTAGCAGAAGGAGAGACTGCAGATGATGAAGCCATGGAAGAAGAAACAGCAGGGGACGAGGCCCCTGCAGAGGAGGAGGAGGCAGTGGAAGAGACAGACGAGGTCACAGAAGACACAGTAATTGCCACTTAACTAGAATCCAGCCTCCCGTTGTTTAGCCTCTCCCTCTCCCATGTTCTGAGCATCTTTTTCCTCCACCTTCACATCATTCCTGGAATGCTCTGTTTTTCTCCCCTCAGCATCTCTACTTTCCCTTTAATGTCGTCTTTTTCCTCCATATTAAGGGTTTGCCTCCCTTTTAAGTTCCTGTCGTCCCTGTACTGCATCTCCTGCTCAAGTCTCTCTCTCCGAATTCAGTCATTTACTAACCCACAATGTGCAACATTCCTCTCCATCATTCCCTATTTGTCCCCTTAGCACCACTGGACATTTAATCTCTTTATTTTGCATTCCTGTGACTTTTTATGCATTTCTGTTTGTGTTTAATTTACCTTCACTTCTCACCCTTTATATTTTGCTCATGACACTGTTACCACTTGTCTTGACTATTCAACCCACATGACACTGCATATACATTCAATATTAACTGTCCTGTCTATGTTGTGTCAGTAGGTTCCCGAAAACACCCGACCCGACTGCGTGATTTTTTATTTGCCTGTTCTGTGAATGTTGTCGTGTGTCAGTATGGATATTCAGTCATTACCGTCTATAGCGAATATCTCCATGTGCATAGTCTGAAGTGTCTGTCTCATCTCCTCTTTCAGCAGGCCCATGCAGAGGAGGAAGAAGAACAGGTGAGTTCCTCTAAAGTTTACGATAACAGTGAACTCAATTCAAAGCTGAGGGGGACCAGTGTTCAGCCATTTTCCTGTCTTTTCTCAAACAGGAAGAAGCTGATGATGACAGGGTAAGAAGGGACACTGTGTGTTCTTGGTGCCAAATGTGAAGGGTGTTCATAATAAAAGCAAACAGTATCAGTTCATGCCAGCAGGCAATGTGCCAACATTAGTCGTAGTAAGCAATACCTGTACTCAGTAGACGCCATACATGTTTCATTATATCAAGCTAATATTGCATGTGAAATACATTCATTGGATGTTCATGAACTAACGCTTTCCTTTCTTAGCAGTAGTTGCTGGTTTAGAAGCAGTGCTATGACCAATCTTCACCAGTGCTGCCCAGCCATGTCTGCTTACCAGATACTTGATCTGACAGTGTCGCCTAACATAATGAGCACTAACATGAGCTGAACTTGTAGGGTTGCTATTAACTGTCAAATTCATTTACTGTCTGTTTTAATTTTCACCTGACAGCCAGATAAGTAATCATGTAACAAAAGTCTTTTTTCATAGTGGTAGTGGATATTGCAAACTGCTTTGCATCACTTTTAAATCTCTTTGTTCAAACAGTATGGTACTTGTTTTTTGATGTCCATATGACACATGTTTACATTTATGGTCTCCCTCACATCCACCCCACAAACATATATATATATATATATATATATATATATCTATCTTTATTCAGTGCCAACTCCTGTATCTTTGGCAGAAGATGGGCAGCTATATTGACTATGGCTGGTCTTTTTTCCCAAGCTACTTATCACCTACTTTCTCCACTGTAGTAGCTGCTCATGCCAATGTGGGATTTGAGTACTTTTTGTCTTGTCATGAACCATTCAAACAAACTAATTTTACAGCCTTTCTTATCTATGATAAGACATTTTAAGGACGACTGTTGATTAAACTTAATTTGCCCCTCAAACAAATTCAGAAATGCTACGATTAACTTTGAACTTGAGACTTTGGCAGTTGGTTTTGACTGTGAAACATACACCATAGCTCAAACCACACTGATTGGCTGATGCATCTATTTCCATCTGCTACTTCAGATAGCTGCATTTAGGAACTGACATGTTTCCCCAGTCCGTGTTTCACTTCAATCACTTCACATCACTTAGACGCGACAGTTTCAGAGGTCCTTCTGCTGGTGTTCACACCAGCCATGTTCCTCAAGCACACACCGTATGGTGTTTGACCACTTCTTTGCCATTTTGTCCATCTCTTGGTTTGCTCCCTCCAGGAGGAAGAGGATTTGCAGTCAGAGGTAACTGTGCGTCGGTGATCGTCTCTTTCTGCGGTTCCTCCGTATAGTCATCAGCAGTGTGGGTTTGATGGTGCAGAGGTCAGGGAAGACTGCTCTGGTTGAGTTAGGGTGGGGTGGGGGTCTTGGTCTGCTGTTCCCACTCATCTGTATTCTCTTTGATTTGCTCACTTCAAGACTTCACCCTTCTCTCCCTCCCTCTCTACCTGTTCTCTCTTCAGCACTCTACTCCATTTTTTTTTTTTACTATTTTGTTTACCCCTCTCTCTCTCTCTGCTAACATCCCGTTCCTCATTTCTCCCCAGTCCTGTTGCTGCTTCCTGACAACCTCAACTATCCCCATAGTTTCCATTTTAAACTGTTCTGTAGCGCATGCCTGTGGTGCTCTTTTGCTCCCCACACAGCCTGCTGACCTGCTATCTGTTATTCCTTATAGGAGGAAGAAGAGCTACGACAGCTTGAGGTAGATTCATGTGATTTTTTTTATTACCTGCTCCTAGTCCTCAGTTCGTCCTGTCTTTTTTCAATCACCTGTGCCTTATAGTCATATTCTTGCTTCCTTTGCCACCTCCCTGTATATCAAGCTATTCAGCCTTTTTCTTCACTAGTGTTAGCGTTAGTTGTTAGTACGTCTCGTCTCACCGAGGATATTCCAGGGTATTTGCACAGTTTGCCATGCTGTCAGGCCAAAAGGGACCAATCACATAGCTGGATGACTAGCATGGCATCTGTGGTAACAAAGTTAAGAGTCAGAATAAAGTACAAGGCACATGACAACACTGTTGGCCATACCAAGAGGTTTTGCTTGTAACCTCAAGTGTGTTATATATGCAGTGATGCAGTGATGATTAATCTATGACCTCCAGTGATTGTCTTAATGAAATTGCCAATTTAAGAAACATTCTTATAAAATAACAATGTAATTTTCTTCATAATTGAAGTCCCTTTCATCACTTTTGTTACATTAGTTTGATACTGCCCTCTATTAAGAGTACAATGAATTTACAATGTCTCTTTATGACTCCCTGCCACATCTATTGTCATATTTCACACAAGCTTATATTCATAGACACGTGTGAACATGCACTCACATACAGGGATGTAATTACCACTGTGGACGGGGGAGCTTATTTTTTACTCACTCAGTTTTACAGTTTCACTTTGATTTACTGACTAAAATTTCTTTGAACAGTGTCTTCAAACTCTCTGACTATCATAATCCAGATGACAGAACACTGATTCACTCATCTAGGCAGCCTTCAGTTATCACAGTGTGCTGACAGACTAATGAGCTTTATCATCAGCTGTAAGTTCGTTGTGGACATTTCTTTTGCCCAGGTTTTGTCAGGGTACATACAGGAAGAACACTGATTTACTGATTTACATTGTACCCCACTCCAAACCAAACTTATGCACTCGCCTGCACACTGTTTTTCACATGGCACATGAAGCTCTGACGACAGGGTTGCAAGTTTCGGGACTCCATGATGTCCATGATCGATTTACTTTCCTCACTTTTCCACACAGCACTTAATTCAGGGTTAGCTCCCCTAGAGATTTCAGAACTAACCAGATCTGAAATGCAGCTTTGCCTGCTTTGGAGTGCAACACTGTGAAGCCTCAGTTAATCTAGGTAAAAAAAAAAATCTGGTTAAAAAACATCTGTCCTAAGTGCTGTGTTGAAAGGACTCTGCCTCTCTGAGACATTCCAGCCTCTGCCTGATCTTCTATCTCGTATGCTTCACTGCTTTGCTTTGCTTTGCCTTCTTTCCTTTCCACCTTTCCATCTATTTTGTCGTTGTTGTCCAACCTTTGTTGCAGGAGCAAGACGAACAAGGCAGTGAGGTAGTTTTTTGTGGTTTGTGGCGTCTTGTATTGTTTTGTATTTTGGCCTTATAGACTTTAGAGATTTTCACTGTCCTCCCTCTTTCTTCTGTCTCTCTCTTTCTCTGTGTGTGCTGCATGGATTTGTAGATTTTTCTCCATAGAGATGCCTGACGGTGTGCAGCATGATGAATATGACAATATTTTACTTAAACTTTAGGTGGATTTAGTGAGGTAAAAGAAATACCAGTCTTATAAAGACCATTAGGTTGGCTATTATCATAACTTCTTGTTGTTCACATACTAAACAATACCTTATTTAATCTTCCATAGGAAGAAGAAGAGGCTGAAGTACAAGAGGTATATTTTGATTTCACTTCTCCATGTTTTGCATGGTGTGAAACCTATTGGGGTTTTTGTGCATGATCTGATTTCATACAAAGACTGTATGTACAGGTTTATGTAAACTTCTCTACTGTCTCTCCCAAAGGCAGCCTTGCATCATGCGGTTCAGTGCACAATTACTTCAGAGATGACGCCACACAGTATTTGTTGTTAGTTCAGTGTTGTGGTGGATCTTACGAAACATTGATGTATGCATTTTCTGTGAGTCTGCCAAGACAGTTTTACTTTTTTGTTTTGATGCCATAAGAACAGGTGGAAAGTTTCGTTGTGTTGTTCAACTCTGCCTGTGTGCACATGAGCATAACTTGGACATGTTTGTTCTCAGTTTGGTTATGTTGCACGGTCAAGGGATGCACTGTCTTGACAGGGGGACCTGTCCTTTTCTTTCCTCTTTTTTAAATTTTTTTTAAGAAGTCATGGCTTTTGCTTCTTTTTGCCAAGAGCACTCTGAAACAAAGTGGATGTGACAAGTTCCAAAGAGGATGGAGGAGATGGAGCACCTCTTGTCACTGTGCAATACTAGGAGGGAAAAACAGTCCTGTTACCGCCTAATTTGTTTCCAGGTCGTGTAGATCTATTTGTGTGACAGTGTTTTGGTACTATACCTTATGTTGTACAACTGGATGGAATCAAATTATCATTGCATCTAATTATAGATAATGATGTCAACTCCCTTTGTCCCCCAGTGAGCGAGTTGTTTACTTCAAGAAGGCAGTCATCAAACTGTACTAACAAGGAACAGTCAGTGCAGCTTGAGTGATTGCACTCAAATACAACATATAACATGTCGTTTCAGAATTTAAAACATCTTATAGGGTGCCCCCGTCTTAAGCACCGCTCTTGTCTCACAAAGCTCATCTCAGAATATATGGAAACCCACAGGTCATTAGTTTCCTTAGTCTCTCTCGTTCCCTCTGTCTCCACTTTTGACTGCACTTCTCTCGGATTACTCCTCCATTTTTAACCAACCCATCGCTACAGCCACTAACATGTGAAGTCCTCTCACCTTCCTGCCATTTGGACCATGACTTCACACTACCCCCTTCTTTCTTTTTCTTTTTAATGTGTCAAAGGAAGAAGAAGAAGACTTGGAAGAAACACAGGTAGTATTACAGCATAACAAACTGCTTGATCTGCTTGCAAAAAAAGTCTTGTTTCACTCTTATTAAGAGGATGGCTCTGTGTGGGACACAAATACACAAAACATGTTGATGGTTCAGCCCCAGCAGTGACTGGTTTATGTTGGATTTTGTAGTCTGGGTAGAGCAACAAGAGGCAAGATAATTGCTTTTGCAGAGAGGAAAACTTCTGCCTGTTATATATCATCTATGTAATCTTTTTTCTTAAATCCATTAATCCCCCTGCAGTGGATCTGACCCAGGTCAATGAGGTGAAGGGGTGAATTTTCACTGGGATCTTTCAACAAAACTGACTAATTTGCCATCAGAATAGTTAAAAAGATGGTGTAATAACCTAAAGAATGACAAAGCAACTTAAAAAACTGATTTTAACACATTCTTGCTGATTGTCTACCTCAACCATCTTTAATTGCTTTCCTTAACTACATGATTATTTCTTTTTGCAGGAGGAAGAGGCTGAGTAGTTGAAGCCAGGAGACGTGGATGATATTGACTTACTACTGTCCAGGTAAAATGCATTTTCTCTCATCGCCGTCTTGTTTTAATGCTTCTGTTTTACCACTGGAGGGCAGTACAACATTATGTGAACTGGTTACAAACATCACCACAGCATGAATAAATCCCCTTTTATATTTGGCATTTATGTAACCAGATTAATTAAACAGATAAACACGTATGCTTTTGTGTTCCTTTTTGACCCTGCTGTCAAATCAAAGGCCACTGTATGGTAACAATTACTCAACGTGTCTGCTTTATCTACACTGCACACTGTCCCTATGAAGCAGCGGTATAATATTCATTATAATGTCATGTTCTTGCCTTTACATATAAGATGCATAAATCTGCAGATACTCTCCTTGCTTCACCTTGCTTGTCTTTTGTTTTTCGTTGACATGCACTGAAACAAAATAATGCAGCAGCCTGTTTACAAAGGACTGCCACTATTGTCTCCATCTGCAAACAGCTTCAGTGAGCACACACAGTGCCTGGGGATCATCTGGAGCTATAACAAAAACATCTCACAATTCCTTCTTTTTTTTTTTTTTTCTTTTGTCCCTCTGAGGCAGAGGCAGGGATGATGATGATGATGGTGATGATAATAATAATAATAATAATAATAATCCTAATCTTCAAAGCCTGTCCTTCAGTTCCACAGTGCATGTCAGGCATCTATGACCCACTGCAGGAAGAACCACAATGCGGGCTTTGAAGGAATGGCAATGCTTCTCTCCCTCCTCCCTCTGCTGTCTCCCAACCCCTGCGAGCCCCTGTCACGCCTTGTTAGAGGAAGCTGCTAAGTGAGCTTCAGATTTGCCTCTAGAGGAGCAGGCACGCTAGGTGGCACAACCATAGCGGTGGTGGTGGTGGCTCCTTCAGCCACCACAGACAACTGGGAAGTGTGTGACCTCGTTTTTTTGTTTTTTTTTTTCATTTGTTTCAGCCTGAAGGAGCCTCCTGTCCTGTCTTTCCCTGACCCCTGATGCTTGACCCACTCAACCCCTCAGAGAGCCCCGTCCACCACTCCCCAAGGCCGTACTGGACCCCACTGGAAACCGTCGGTCATGTGCTTGAAGGCGTCAATCCAAACTGAGTCCTAACCCACATATGCAACCCCCATCCCTTTTGACTGCAATGTTGACTTAATTTTTATATTTTGCGTGTAGAGTCATACTGTAATGAAAATGTGCAGAGTAGCCTAGAGGCGTCTGTTTGTTTTTAATGAGTAGCTTTTGTAAAATGCACCAACAGTTATGTTGTTAAATTCAAACATATTTCTCATGTTTTACTTTTAGAGATTCTAGTTTTCTAACACAAAGAGGCAGTGACCTTTTCAAACAAAATATACTCCCTTGGCATACCTTAGCGTGTGCCTCCTGGCTTTCACATTCAAAGGTTCACAACTCACTCTCTAGCAAGTGTCCTGTACTTTTATTACGATGTTGTGCCATGATGACTCCTTCAAACAGCTGAATGTATGAATGCAAACTACGACTCCTAATGGCCACATGAGAAAGAAAATACACACATCCTGCAAGATTGCAAACTACTCCCCCACCACTGCAAATACTTCTGCTAATACTACTGTCTAATCAATGCACTTTGTTGAATGAAGAGTAAAACATGTGACTAAGACCATCCTGGATGCAATTGAAAATGCAATAAAGTAGACTGGTAAAAAAAAAACCTCTGAGGTTCTATTTTTGTTTTATTTTAAACTCTTTTGTTGGCATATTTATGAATCAATGGACCATTGTGCTGTCTGAGCAGTGTTGGGGCCAACAGGAAAGCAAATGCCTTGTCCCTTGAGATTTTGAATAGAGGTGGAGAGGAATGTACACCATTATTATTAGATGACATGGTATGAACTGTAGTTATCTTACTGAAACATCTAAGCATTGTTAATATGCTAAATATACCTATAATAGCCTGTCTTCTACGCAGGACCACCACTTTACAGGAACTAAAAATAAGAACTGGGGAATTTGCTCTTTGTTTAATCTCGAGAGTCAAGACACAAACTTTGGCGTAGAGTTGGAAGGTCGCAGTAATGGAAGAAGTACTCTGATCCTTTACTCAAATAAAGTATAAACAGAAAAATGTATTGAAAGTATCAAAAGTAAAAGAACTCAATAGAGAGAAAAAGCCCCTGTGAGTTACAATATTAGGTTGTGAATACTGATGCATCATTGCTTTAAGCAGCATTTTACTCTTGCACCTGGGGTGAAGCTAATGTTTAGCCTAATACTTAATACAAAGTCTGGTAGTTTAATCCAGCAGTTCCCAGCCTAGGGGTAAACTCTTCCTCAGAGGGTAACAACAAATCTGAGGGTTCATGAGATCACAATGAGGAAGGAAAGATGATAAAACAAAGTTCTGCTACACAAACTTTTCTTTTTTTGTGTGGAGGATATTGGATATGTTTTCTTCTTTGGGCCTTGAATGTGACAAAGGACCCTTACTTGACACTGACTTTTTAATTTTGTTTTTATTGTTTAACAATCGATTGTATTACTAAAAGCTTATGATATGTGTCTTGATGTAAAATCTTCATCTGAATAAAAAATAAGTATAGCTATCAAATACATGTAGTGGAGTAAAACATAGAATATTTGCCTGTGATTTGTAATGGAGCTGAAGTTTCAAGTAGAAGCCACTTGGCTTCATGTATGTCAAAATAAACTTAAGTACATCACTTGAGTAAATATGCTTTCTGCAGGAAATATGTCTTTGCTAAAGCACTGAACACAAATAAGATGTCATGCAGTGCACTGGCTTTGACAAAATATGTAAACTTAAAGTTGCCAAATGTTTTTTTTTATTTTTTAAATTACCAAAATAGGTCATTCTTCTTTTATCATTCATTATTCAGTATGTCCAAATGCATTCATCTGAAGAGGGTGGGGGGTCTAGTTATAGGGCCCCTGGGAAATAGGGATTTACAAGGGACATTGTTTGCAGAATGAGTCACACTGTGTGTTTACATCTGCACAGGACAAAGTTCCCACTGAGTGTGGTAATATTTAACGGGACAGCTTTGCATGATAGAGCACCATGGCATGAGGAAGAAGCAGCATCACTGACATGTATCCACTGTATGTGACGTTCGCTGCTGATCCACAGAGACGCCAGACTGAGGTGAGCCAGACAAACTCTGGGATTTATTGATAGTTATTGTAAACTTAACCTCGACCTCAATTTTAGTCAGGAGATGCGACTTTCTGCCATGTGTGAAAGAAATGGTTCAGAGAAAGGTGCCGTGCAACGAGTTACATACAAGATCTCAGTGATTTTACTGGTTAACTTGGTGTTTTTGAGTAATAATACAAGCTGTAATTGTCGCACTTTGACAACACAGAAATACTCTTTACATGTGTGGCAGAGTGATCAGAGAGAACTTGATGTTTCTTTCATGGAGTTACAGTCCTATCTGTGGTCATAGAGACAAGAGGTAAACGGTTAACAGATGGTTTGTTCAGGTGCCGTCACATTTGCTGTAATTTACTTTGAGTCTTCTTTTAAATTAATGATGTTTGGAAAGGCATGAACGCACAATGATGGATTAAACTCAGAATAATAAAATGAGAATTAATCTAAATTTAACAAAAAAGGATTTATTACCTCTTTACCTGTTTTTCTTTTCTTAATTTAATTGTATTACCAGCTAAACTTAAAAGACAAGCTACAGAGGATGCAAAAAAAACAAAAAAAAAACACCTGAGATTATGATAAAATGTGGCCCGATATATGGAATAATTCAATTATTTTAATTTCAGGATCATCCAGCATTGAACAATGGTGGTTCATCTGTTGGTGTTCCTACTTTCATGCAGGATTCAAGGTGAGAGTTCAGCTCATGATTTCTACAAAAAAATAGGGGTACTGGAAATATAGAAGTAATCCAACCGTCCTCATGGATTGCCATATTTGGTGGACCTGTTGGCAAAAATATTTCAGTAAAGAAAAAACAAATGTAATTTACCTCTCCAATAGCCAGTTGCAGAAAACTATTATTATGAGACTTCAGTTCATGACAAACACAGGAGCTTGTTTGACTGGAGTTGTGTCACAGAGGCCAGTAATATGCTTGTATTAATGGCCACATTCAGTGCCGTGGTGTGTTTAATAGCGGAGCCCTTCAGATTAAACCGACAGACAATCTAATTAGAAGGCCTAATGATCTATCTGCACTTTATAATTAATTTTCTTTAAAATGGCTGCCTATCTAGTTAACAGTAAGATGTTGCCGGTGGTCAGGGGACTTCAGAGTCACTGGTTCACGGTCCCAATAGGAGCACGCACAAATTATGCTCATTAGTCTGCCATTCTCTGATTGCAATGAAAAGGAATAGCTGTATAGGCTGGCCTAGATATTTCTCAGACCTAATTTCCTAAACGGATGCATAATTTATGACTCTGCATGCTGGCTGTAGAAGGTAACACAGTTAGCTCACCGTAAACAAGTTATACATCACCCTGAGTACTGTGGCATAAACATGTTATTTCATATTTCACGGTCATGCCATTAATATCAATTCCTTTTCTCCTTCATTTGTCAGCAACAGAAAGCCACAAAGATGTGCCGGAATTTAACTGTGTGCATGTGTCTCCGTGTTTATGCGTGTGTCCGAGTAATGTTTATAGAGTAACTGAAGAGTAGGTCCTCGCAGTAAACTGTACAGCTGGTTATGGATGATTGCTCAGAGTCTGTTCATCAATTTTAGCCCCAATCGTGCAACGCTTGTAGCTTCATCAAGTTCTGCAGGTTCCTGTTAAATGTTTACCCTGCAGAGCGATGCTGTGGCCTGTTGCTGGCAGCTACTAATGAATTTACACTCTCCTCCTTTGTCAGTATTTCTTCCCTAAATCCTATTTGCCCTCATTCATCCTGACAAGCCAAATCGCCAATCTCTCTCTGGACAGCCACAGTAAGAAGCAGATTTAGGGAGTTGTGCTGTCATTCTCCTTCTTTGTCTCTTTATCCCTTTCAGGCTTTGATGTCTCTCTTTTTCTCTTACTATCATTTCATCTCTTACTTGCGCCCTCCGTGTCCTGAATGTTCTGTCAAAGTTGTCTTGAGGAGATACGCATTGGGTCCTCTGCGATGGGAAGGTTTTGATTTGTACACCGAAGCATTAACCCATATTCACTCTGACCAAGCTGAATGTATTCATACTTACTGGCCACTGACTCTACTCTACATTTATGGTTTTTCCTTCTCCTTGCATACACTAATTTCAATCTATCCCCCCCGAGTCTCTGTGTATGTCAATATACTGATTGGATGTTTTCCTTCTGATTTCTACTGCAAATGCGATCTTGCTGTTTATGTACCCTGGATACATTTTTATTTGGTCTGAAGGCAATTTGTGTTGAAAAAAGTGAAATATTGTCCAATCCTGTTAAACTTGTGTTGATGTTATTGACAACTGTAGCATTTGACAGTTGTTAAATTGTGCATCTTTAAAATATACATTGCTTGTGTAACCCATCCCATAAGTAGACGTGTGTGGTTTACATTTTGTATATTGTAAAACCAGCCTCTTAATTGTGATTGGCTTAATGCTTTTCATTTACATTTACATTTATTTACTCAAATGGCAGATGCTTTTATCCAAAGAGACCTACAAATGAGGGACAACACTAAAGCCTCATATAATTTAATATAAAATTGAGTTATATATTGTTGCCAGGCAACCTCACTGTGACAAAAGGCCATTTTCATTTTGGCTTTTATACAAATTAAACGATATACAACGTGTTAATTTGTGAGCTGAGACAGGCTAGGTGTTAAGCTAAGCTAACCGGCTGTAGCTTCATATTTACCAAACAGACAAGAGAGTGTCAAACTATTCCCTTCAAGGTAGTTCAGAAGCAGTGGGCGTAAGTGATGCTATGGTGTTTTGAATCGTTTTCACTTCAGATTCACTACAAGATATATGTCACTTCAGTTACAATATTTTATGTCTGTCTCTCCTTGGACCTTTAGCAGTTGGAGCTCAGATGAAGCTGTCACCTGAAACATTAACCGTCCTACGAGGGGAGGAGGCCCGCTTTACGTGCAGCACCTCCAACACCCAGTGGACCGTTATGGTGTGGCTGCTGGACGGCACAGTGGCACTCACCATCTCAAAGTTGCATGGTGTCCTGCCATCCACCAACACTAATGTGACAGCTGAGAAAAGCCATTTCTCAAAAGACAGCTGGGTATTTGTCCTGAAGAGCACAGAGAGGAACAACCAGGGACAAGTGACCTGTGACCTCCAGGACTTTGATAGGAAAACAGCAAGCCTGTTTGTACAAGGTCTGTATGGTCATATGTGAGCGTATGTTTGCGTGTGTGAAAGTCAGAAGAGGTATTGTGTGCATGTGTGTGTTTTGAATTGAATTTCAAAGGCTTTTTGTGCAGCCAGGTTCTCTCAGGGATACTCACTTTCTTGCAAACACGAGTATGCACACAACACACACACACACACACATACACACACACACATATGGAAAGGAAACCAAGCAGATGGCAAGTCTCTTGAAAACCATTGCAGTGTGAGAGAGTGCAGAAATAAACTGAATTTAACCTTGACGAGGCAAAAAGCAGTGTGGAAAAAAAAGAAGAAAAAAAAAGAGGTAAATGAAGGGACTAAGCAAAAGTTGTGTAGCTGCTTTGATTCTGTCCACCCACACACTGCTCTCTCTACTAAAAAAAAAAAAAAAGACACAAAGAATCAGAGAAAAAAAAAAACATAGCATTTGTTTGTAGAGTAGGGTTCAGAGAATGAAAGTTTTCTGCTGCACTAGTGCCTGAGTGATCAATCATGGTGTATATCACGGGTGGGAAATCATTTGGGTCTGGGTGGTGGAGTACAGTTACCCTGGCGTGTTTGATGGTTCTTGTGACATTGTTAATGACAGTGTGGGTGTGGTGCCGAGGACAGGAATCGATTGGCCCCAGATATAAATACCAGTTGGAAAGTGCTGAACTCCATGGCAGTCAGAACAGGCAGCAGCTACAACCAATCTCCTCTCCTCTCCTCTCCACTCCTCTCCTCTCCTCATTTAGTGTTTATTATGCAGATGCTGTGCCAAAGGGGTTATGCTGTGTGAGGAGGACTGGGTGACACATTTGCTGAAGAGTTACGAGTCAGGACTTGATAAAAATCTGTTGTTCTCTGCACTTCTAGATGGAGTTGTTATCTGTAGCAGGAACTGCAGTGAGAACCAGCATTTTAACAAGCGGGATTTCCTTATAGTAATTAGAAAGAAAAACACATCCAAAACAACTTAGAGTCATTTCTGCACTTCATTTGGCCCCATCATTCACAAACATTTTCATTTACATACAAATTAGGGACTGTACAAAAATGATGGGTGGAGGGGAAGATCAGAAAAGGGTTTGGGGTTATGCAGTTTAAATTTTTGCTTGAAGGGAGGGTAGTCTGAGTTTTTTGGGAGAGCACAGAAAGATAAATCTATATTTCCGCCTTAACTTGTGGAATTAATTAAATTGAAAAAAAAAAGTCATAAAATAGGTAAGGTGAGAATTTTGTTTGTCCTGCCATGGTCATCTAGCTAACTGGACCAATATGCCAGTGTTGATAAACACACAATGGATCTTACGGATCTTAGTGATTAAACATTATCACTTCCAGTTGCTCACACATTCACTCAAATCTGCATTATAACAACATTAAACCAAGTTAAATGTGTCATATAAAGATGGCCTATGTTATAATTAAAGCTCAGCATTTTTACTATATCTGGCTGGAATATTTATTATTTTGCTATACTTATCATAAATTTGGAAATTCTGTGAAAATGATTATTACATGAATATATTAAGATTTAAAATTAGATTTTAAAATTCTTTGTCACTTTAGCAGTAAGAAAAAAGGTTGTTCCAATACAACCAATCCTATATTTAAGAAGAAATGAATGGATGGTGTTGATGTTTCTTTCTCTAGGTCAAATTAAAAAAAAAAAAAAAAATCTAATAACAGTATGCACAAAGTGAACTGAGAGCTCAGCTAAAAAAAAAAAAAAAAAAAAAAAAAAAAAAAAAAAAAAAAAAAAAAAATCAGCGTGGAAACATCCGCTCTGCAAAAAGCGAGAGGAAACAAAACCAATGACCCATCGCCTCCAATATATTATGGAGAGAGCCCTCATTGCTGCCAGTGCCACAAATCCCCACTGACATATGCAGCCATTAACAGTAGTGTATGGTGAATCAGGCCCTCCAGTGTAGATGCAGAGGATCACTATGGCCTGACACAGCCTTTGAATTAATTGTGCATCCTGGCACGCCCAGTTAACAGTCAGCAACTCTGCCTGTGATTTGTGTACTGCAGCTCAAATATACTGTTGGAATAGAGCCACAAATCCACACAGGCCTGGTTGACTCCGTGTGCTACCATCCACACTCCCTGCTTTAATTGTCCAATATGAAGATGGTGTAAATATGACTATACGCTCCCGCTAGCTCTCGCCGCTCCTTCTCTGCTTATTCCTCTTACTCACTCCAACTCAAATACACAAACCTTTCACTTGAACAAATCAATATGCGCTCATGACTATAAAGAGGATCTGCAGATGGCTAGAGCTGCAGAAAAGGAGAACACTTTGATATAAATCAGAAGAGTGAACATGCATGTGGTAATTGTAGGGGAGTAGTGCCCCTCTCATTTGCAAAAAATTCACACCCAAACATAAAGTGCCCATGTTATATACTGTTCATGTAACACACACGCATACACACCAATCCTACACACACACACGTAAAAGTCTATAAATATTGCCCTCAAAGTGGCAATTTCCCCTTTGACGACCCCTGCTGAAAAATCACCGAAATTAAGAATTCGCTGGGGGCTCACGGCCTCTCAGAGCCCGCCACCGCAGCCCACAGTCTTCAGACTTTCCCTTCAGTGATTAACAAACCTTATGAAACCTTATTTCAGGGATCACTTAGATCGGAGCTTTGGGAGGAAGTGCTGATGTCATTCTTTTTCTATTCAGATGTATCAATCAGCCGTGATCACCCAGAGCCCCTCAGTCAGTACAAATGAGGCTGCTGGTTCCTCGCCAACACTTTATCCACCCGTGCTGAGATTCTATCCAAGAGCAGCTGGAGTCCACTATCAGAACCGGTCTCTGTAAGAATTGGACGGTACGATGTTTATGACACCAAATCAGGCATCAAATAAAGGCCCCTGGAGAAAAGGGACAGCCAATGATTTGTACTAAACATCTGAGGATATGAAACTAAATCACCACAGACATGTCATTCGCTTAGACAAAGCACTGACGCTTCTGTAATTATCTTTCTGTCTATAGCAATTGTCTGTTGCATCCACCGCCTTTCATTCTGCTAGATAATAACTTCAAATGTGAGATACTGTATCTCCCAGGGCCTTAAGTGGCTTATTTGGCTGTCAGGGAAGGAGATGAAGGGGAAAACGCATTCGTCAGGCAACTGAGACTTTTGAGACATGCGATCAATCACCCGGGACGAATGAAATCCATCTTCAGGCCAACTGGAGAAGTGATGCTCATCTTTGGGTAAAGATAAGAGCATGAAGCTGCATGAATTTCAAAGGAGACTGTCGATGAAAATCAGTTAAACCTACTCACACTGGTGCATATGCATGAATATACAGGCATACATACAGTATACTGTGGATGTGTGTGGGCACATAAAAAAGAAAAAATTCAAGTTTGTGAATGTACTTTCTTCTGATTGCAGAAAAGGGCAGCGTGAAAGTCTTTGGGGACAATAAGTTGGCTTTCCAGGGCCAGTCAGTGCTGTTTGAATGCCAAGCAGTAGGCTGGTACCCTGAGCCCAGTCTGCAGTGGCAGGTGAACGACAGAAAGGTAAGTACATAACTGCAACCAGACATGCTCATCATTTTCATCTTTATAGTAAAATAGATCAACGTTTTGGGGATTTTCCTTATCTAAACTGAGGGATGAGGATAGATGATGTTGTACGCTGTACAGGTTGTAAAACCCCTTTGAGACATGTCACTTTGAGAACTTAAAAAGCAATTTTATATTAGAAACCCTAATCAAAATACACTAATGCCAAAAAATTGTTTATGTGACAAAAATTTCACAGCTGCTTTATTTTTACTTACTTAATTTCTACTTACTTTACTTACTTTTTACTATTTTGTACTGCTATCTATTTATTGGCTGTAACTTACCCTAATACAAATAAAATGTACTCAAGTGCATTGAGTTTATAGTATCCCAAAAGCCCCAAAATTATGTTAAAAACATTTTCTTCATTGCCTCTTTCAAAACTTATTAAAACATTTTACTCACAATAATTCACAGTTAACATTTAGACTCAAAACTACTTTCTTCTCAAGTATATCTATGAAGTATATTTGGAAGGGGTGGCTTCAAGTCTCTTCCTTTGGGAAACTGGCAGGTTGTCACGGTGATTAGTGCACTGCTTTTAGAGGCGATGAGAGGAGCTGATTTGATTAGTAAAGTCCATCCCTTTTACTGTACTGTACTTGTAATGTATTTTTGCTATGACAGTACATTCTGTCCTGCCTCTGAATAGAGTGGGAGTGGTGCTGTCAATGCAAGTTGTTCTTGTTCCTTAGGCTGAACCGATGCTAACAAATCTGAGACAGATCCCTCACCTTCATAAAGCTCAACTTTTTAAAACTTTTCATTTACAAAATGTGACAGACAGACTCACCCTCAGTCCTATACAGTAAACATTTATGGGTGAACTGCTCCTTTAAGCTCAGAAACATTTGGCGTACTTACAGAAAAACTCTGAAAAAGTCTGGCAAGTTAGAACGTAGTCATCCCAATTAGAATATACTGTAAGTGATAATAATCGTCTCTCTCTCTGTGGGGAATGGTGTGGAGGTGAGCCAGGGTGAATACAACATCAGCAGTGAAGAGTCAGGGAAGAGCCTCTTCACTGTGAGCAGCAACCTCAGTGTGACGGCGGCAAAGAGCTCTTATGTGTGCTGTCTGGCCTCCGTGTCTGCCCTCCCCACGCCACTGAAGAGCAGCGTCCGCCTGACAGTGGGTGAGACTGTAACACAGCCATCGTGTTTCACATTAAAATAATGCACACACACAAATGCACAGTGAGAGCCGTCTGTCAAGCCTCTCTTTGTTCTGTCCTAGTTTAGATCTGTCTCTACATTTTGTGTGTTTCTCTCTCATCTTTTTTTTTTTGTTTCATTTTGTTCTCTCCCTTCTTTTTGGGATGCTTGTGAATCATCACTCAGCATTATTGTTGAAGGGGAGAGTGGAATAGAAAGTAGCTGCCAGATCAACACTGCATGAGTTTGCATCACAGCCACTACAGCGGAGCTGAGGTTGCAAACCTCTCTAAGGCCCGCAGCTTCAAAATACAAATGTTGCATTATTATGTTAGTAATGTTCCCTTTGCAGTTATGGCTGTAACATTCTCTTGAAACCTAAAAATTAAAACAGGAAATTAAACACAGCTTTCTTTACACTAGGTCGGCAAATCTGTGATTGAATTGCAAGGTAAAAACACTGCTTCAGCGTTTTTTTTTACTAAAACACTGATGTGACCTTCTCTCCCTCAGTTGCAGAGGTGGTGCAGGAAGGAGATGACTGCACAGTCCCGCTGGCAGTAACGGCCTCCCTCTCTGCTCTGCTGCTGCTCCTCCTGCTCTGCATCTGCACTGTCCTCTGTTACAGACAAAGGAGACAAGCAAGTAGGCACTTTTCTCTTCCTTAAATTGCTCTAGGTGAAAAAAAAAAACCTCCCCTCCTCCCCCTTCCCTTTTCCAGTACAGAAACTGTGATTAAAGTATAATGAAGGAGATAGGTGGTTACACGCTGTGACTCGGCACTGCCCTGCGCTGGCCTTCACCAAGGGCACACGATATTTTTTCTGACAAAGGCAGAACATTAGTTGTCAGCAGAAAGCTTTATTTCTCGGGCAACAGCAGCGCACAAAGATGTTAGAGAGGTATGTGCATGAGTGCAGGGCTGGCAGTTTGAATCCCGAAACAACTGGGAAAATCAAGACAGGAAGAAATAATGACTATCAATCCTGAACATCTACTGCAGAGGAGCAGGGCATGGTCCAGGCATATCACTAGTTGGACAGTTTGTGCAAGGCAGCTTTCAGGTGTTCAGTCCAACTGAAATTAAATTGGTTTCTTTTGCTAGAGCATACAGTGAGTCAGATGCAGCAAACTTAACAACTTTAAAAATGTACTTGCATGTGTAATTCTGGTCAGTTTAGATGCTGTTGTGGTCATTACTCATCCACTTGTAAGCTACAGTTTACAGGGCAAGTTTTGTCACTACATTCCCCTGCTGTGTCTCCATCTGCTGGGCTGCAGCCTGCTGGCTCCACTGTCAACTATTAAGTTAAATAAATCACTTGAACATTAGGTTTGTCTGGAAAAGACATGACTAAATGTGATTTTGGCAAGACTTGAAAGTCTGAAATCTAAGTTTTTTTTTAAAGTTTTTACTGAAGTAGCATACCTTACCTCATTTGTAATCATATTCATTACACAGTGTAAATTTATTTCCTTGGGCATCAGAAACTGGACAGTTATGGAGCCAACCACGGTGAAGAATAAGTCACGGCGGAAAAACTAGTATATCTTTGTTTGTGCACTTTATTTTGTAATTTCTATTTTTCATTATTTTTTGTTAGTTGTTATAGTTTGAAGTTTGTCCTACTGTACTTTTAATGTGCTATTACAGTATATGAACTACCAAGCTAGTAACAGTTGTTTCACTCCCATAGGACCTGCAGCCTCTTCACTGCTGGTGTTTGATTTAATAAAAGTTGTTGCAGAAAAAAGATAGGTTGTAATTTCAGTGAGCCTCCCCTGTATAAATAAAAGGGGCTGTGTCTCGGTCCTGGGTTTATATCCTTAAACCTTGATAGTCGCATTGGTGGGAGCATTCTGATAAAGGCTGAGATGTGAAAACAAGTTGACAGTTGTGTGTTGGGAATGCAGTGGCCTTGGACAGGATATCAACCTGTTTGCTAAAAGGATTACAGTTTTTGGCACACTGGCAGAAATTGTACCTTGGGGAATGAGAGGTTCTGAATCACACCTGGTTCGTGCCTGATGAGTCGGTATGTTTGACTGAAGCACTGTGCCACACAGAAAGGACACAGCGTATCTCACAAGTTAGTTAGTCCAACAAAGGAAGTCAGACAGTGGTTTTTTTTAACTCTCTTGCTGAGTTAGATTAGGAGATTAATACCTCTCTCACATCACACATCTACTTCTCATCAAAAAAACAAAAACAAACCCTAAGCATAATTCCCAAAACTATTCCTTTAAGAGTGACAAGTTGAACTTTTGTTTTTAAAGTTGAAAGGTGACTAAGGCAGCACCAACTCTTCCTTCACAGCCCTCCAGGTCTTGCATGGGTCAGGAAATGCTATAAACCCATTAATAAGGTTTTAAAATCACCACACAGTGAGACAGTTTTACTGCAACTCTTTTGGAGCTCATAACCCAACCTGGAATATTTGTGATGTGGCCAGGCTACTTGTCACCTCTCCAAGCAGAGAGGTCGATACCTTGGCGAGGTGCGGAAGTGCAGTGGCGTGATGTTGTAAAAAGCCTGGCCAGGAAAGCAGGACGTTGCAGAGATGTTTCCTGAGTGCCATCTCAGAGGGGATCGTTGCTCTAGCACAAGGAGTAGGAGGAGGCCTGTTTGTGCGCGATAACAAAAAGTGGCCCTGAGTCACACATTAAGAAGTCACTGTAATCCCTGTGACTGATTCTGGACCATTGCAAATCATGGCCATGGTTTAGAGCTAAGGGATTATCATAAAGCAGGTGTGACCTTTCTCCTTCGGCAGCTGATTCCGTACCTGAAACGTCTAATACCTCCTTCACCGTCGTCCTTGATTCAGTCTCAGTATCGTTAATGTAACAATCCCTGAGCAAGTTAAATTAACTTCATGAGGAGGTTTCACATGTTAGAGGATGTGGCTTGCTTCCAAGTCACTAAGCTTTTCTTTGGGTAATCCACCTCAATGGGGAGCAATGTATGCTTTGTAATTATTTAAAAAATAGAAGGGATCTAATATAGGCCCCCTCAAAGACTTTGGCCAGCATGACAGCAGGGATTTAAAATATAATGACAAAGGCAATTTCTCTCCCTGTTAAAGGAACACTTTATACCTCTCCTGGGGCAAGCACCATCTGCACCATTGTTATATTGTTGTATTTTTGCTGTGGCCAGGAGGACCTCTGGCAAAGACAACCATGAAGCCGTGTTACAAAACTCATTAACACTCAGCTCCAGCTTTCACTGTTGAACTGACTGGAGGCTATGATAGTAGTGCAGAACCCAAAACTAATAAACAATAGGACATTTACAGCTTTCATATTGTAGATGCAGTGAGCTAGCACAATGGGTCTGTGGTCAATGCAGTGAGAATGATTAAGTTAACGTCTGATGTTCTGTAAACTTTATGCCTCTTTTTTTTTTACCTTTCAGAACCAAGTCCACAGGCGGCTATATGGTAAGTTTTAAAAGCTCTTTTTCTAGACTCATTCTGCTTTATGAGGCTATTTTTAAACAATGAACACGTTGGATTTTTTCACTTTTCTGAACTAAGAAAAAGAACTTTGAGACAAACTGTGGCGTCTTAAGTGAAAGTGACTTTCTCGTGGAGGGAGAAGCTTCAAATAATCTGTGGCAGAAGCAGAGACATGCAGGCCTGGCTGTGTTGAGCTCCATTTATACTTTACATAAGCTACTATAATATGAGGCCTCAGCGTGAATCTTAGTTAATACATACATCTTATTTCTGAGCCTGAATGGACTTTTATTGTTCCTGATAATAAAAGAAAACTGAAGACATGAATTTGAAATTGCATGCATTAAATAGCCATTACAGTTTGTAGCAACTTAATTAAGATTCAAATTGTCATTAGCTCATTTAAGAAGATATATCACGCATTGTATTTGTCAGCACTTTTCATGCAGCTGAAATACAATTTATAGCTTTTCCACTGAGCACACTGAAGAGAGAGTTGAGTACATTGGTTGGGGCTAATAAAATGCAGTGATAAATGATGATGATGTTCATTTTTTATCTATCAAAGCACTTTATGATGAAAACAATGCAGCAGCCTCTGATACAGTGCAGCAGCTTTATGTGAAAGTAAAATTGTCTGTTCACCGCAGCATAGCCTCTGACAGCGTAGCTCTGCCGTACCCCAGCTAAAGGTTACTTTTTCCATTGGACCGTTCATTTGGGTATTTGCAGGTTCGACCAATCAGAGGTTGGGAAACGCTCGGTTGCTGAGGTGACAGCGGGGGAGGTCAACCTGGGATACTCTAGCGAGGGCCCCACAGGTAAGAGAGCAACATGTAGTTCACCATGACAACTACAACTGTAAAACAGAATGACACTGCATATCAGAGAGTAAAGAGAAATATTTCAGTAATTTAGTTATAGTAAGTAGGTTACTACTATGCTAACTGCATACGTAGGTCACAGTTTTAATACCACTTGATCAACAATTACTTGATGAGCTACAGAGGTTTTAGTTAACATGTCAGGCTAATATGACAGTAGTAAGTTTATAGTTTCCTCACAAACCTCTATAGCGGTCATTTGTGGCACATCTCTGCTCTGCTTCTGACTGGTCACTGGTAAAGGTCAATGAACTTCATAGATTACTGAAAAATACTGCTTCAGCCACTTTAAAGGACCTTTCCAGTGTGTTTGCATCTGTCAGCTTTAGCTTCTTAACTACAAATTATGAAAACTTTACATTTTACAATATTCTTTAATGCATTCTACCTATTTTTCAGGTTTCTGGTTGTTTGTTTACTATAGTTTCAGGAATTTATTGGTTTCATGTCATTTCCATACAATATGAAAATCAATATTTTGCGTAATATAAAGTCATGTAACTGAACATAAAATCTGTATTTTCATTTTTTGTCAAAGTTAATGGAGCTATTTGGAAGTTTTGCAATCGCTACATAGCCAACATTAGCATAACAAACTTCATTCCTTTACTCGCCAATAGCTGTTTCCAGCGGTGGAAAGGACCACCGGTCTTTTCTTCTACTGAAGTTAGCATGCTAACCAGCTAGCCATGGTCTGTCTTGTGACTTTCCCATAGAGACTCACTGCAGCCTCCAATCTGCCCAACTTTGACAAAAAATAATACAGACGTGATGTTCACTGTGACTGATTACACAACTCAATCATATTTCAATAGTCTGCTAATATATTTTGATATTGTACAGAAAGCAGTGGAGGCCAATGGATGTGTGGAATGGCAGAAATTTTCTGCACACTGCAGAATGGTTTACAGGATAGTTAGCTGTAATATTGTGGTAAATGGACTAAACATCCAAAAATGATTGGTTTATCACCTTATTATTTATTAGTAACATACAGTGAACTTCACAGAAGTATTAGCCTATCTGGGTGAGGTACTTGCAAATTGGCTTTAATCAAATGGTCAATCACAGCTAATTGAGCAGCTGCAAAACACAATGCTGGTTTCAAAATCAAGCAAATCATATTTAGTTACATTTTTTAATTCTGTTTTTCAGACAGAAACAAAAGATAAATTTAAAATCAGGATGCCGTGCCTACTTTGTACACATCTCAGACCTCTGAGCCACTAAATCGCTTGAATCCTACTATTTTGCTGAGGTCTGAGCTGGTGGGCTGTAGCTGGTCAGAGGGGCTGTGAGGTTAGATCAGGCTAAATTGCTGTTTTTCACCCCACAGATGCAGATTACAATGCGGTAATCACGGCAACTCATAGCCAGATGGACTTTGCCAGCTTTCGCAAGGTACGTTAGAGACAGAGAAGAAGGTGAGAGGGCTGAGCGAGAGAGAGAGAGAGAAAGAGAGAGAGAGAGAAACCAATAGAGGCAGAAATCGACTGAAGCTGAATAATGCATTCAGTCATTCTGCAGCTGGAGTTCCTGCTTCTCTCACACTGATGAGAACAGGAGGGAACTGCACCGCTACGCTGTCTCATGTCAGGTGGCCTCCCATCAGACAACTGAAACTCAACCACTGTTGAGTAAATCCAAAATTGTAGAGGTTCTCAAAATCAGCACCATTTTTAGCTTACAGGGCACTTCTAAGCAGCTCCTCCATTACTGTGTATGATCCAAATATTGTGATGAACTACAAGTGTACATGTAGGACTAAACTGAGACCTGATTGAGACACAAACTGATAAAAATACATGCTGTGTATCCTGCACGTTTTCATTGGCCTAACGTGATCCCAACATGTTCATGTTGAGGTAATTGTGCCTCGGGGAGTTTTTAATGTGACTGACTAATTGATTGTCACACTGATTTTGGATAAAATACTCTATTGATACTTTGTGTAAAATCCTGGTGTCTAATAATGAAAGGCGGAGGGACAACTGCACTCTTCTGGACTGGGTTTTCCCCAATTACCTCTGATGTGGAGCAGCTCTGACTTGAGCGCACAAGTTCAGTTCAGACTCCCTGTCTTTAAAGTAATGAACCAGGTGCTTTAAATTTGGTAATAGGATTACCTTATCTGGAGGTACTGAAGGTGAAAGACAGCCACTTTTAGAGCCTTTAAGGCAATAGCTGTCTTCAAGCTGTCTTCAGATATGTCTGAGGGTCATCATACACTGGACAAAGACACAGTATCACTGCTGCACTCATGTACGATGGTGTTGTTTCCAGGAAAGCTTTCAGGATAGGAATCTTAGTTTGTAGCCTTTTCCTGTGACTGTTGTCCATCGACAGTGCTGCAGAAAACTACCTGGTGTATTGCCACTAAGAGCTAAATTTGATGGTGTTCTCCAGGCCCCTGATGTTGTGCACTGCAGCAGCCTGTCTGTACACAGTGAGAGCCAAGAGGAGGAAAACTACAAGAACATCAAGAGAATTACCACAGTTTGAATATGTTTATTATGATGTTATTTGATGTAATAAACATGATGAAATGTTATTGAAAACAGTGTATTATTCTGATGCGCTCACCAGTGTTTGTATTATATAACTGACATTTTTATAAAGGTAGGTGCTAATATTATGTGATCTTGAGCTGTACAGCACGGTTTCTGCAAAGATATTATCACCTTTGGTGTTTTTTAATGAATCCTCAAAATAAAAGTTTTTGAATAAATTACATTGTATTTTTTATGTACAGTAAATGTTTTATTGTGTGTTTCTTGATGATCTTAAAGCTTTTATCTACCTTAGACTTGAGCATTTTTTGGGAAAATTCTGGTTTATCATAACTTGGGTTTTATTTTTGTTGCTTTGCCCATCATTTCTGTCAGTTATCATAACAATGTACTCGACAAGTTGATTGCTGAGCAATAGAAACACAATGAAATTGATAAAAATTTGATTGGCAGAGGATAAGTGATATGTGATTAGTTTTCAGTTATCCATCCATCCATCCATCCATCCATCCATCCATCCATCCATCCATCCATCCATCCATCCATCAAATATGATATATCAAGATTGACTGGTAAATCAAGAGCTTTACCCTCCAGCTAAGCTCCTTCTTCACCACAACAGTCCAGTACAACGGTCCAATACAATGGTCCAGTAAAATACTCGCCAGTAAAATACTGCTGCACCGATCCGCCTGTCAATATCCTGCTCCATCCTTCCCTCACTCATGAACAAGATCCCAAGATACTTAAACTCCTTCACTTGGGGCAGAAACTCCATCCCAACCCGAAGAGAGCAATCCACCATTTTCCTGCAGAGAACCATGGCCTCAGACTTGGAACTGCTAAACCTCATCCCAACCGCTTCACACTTGACTGCAAACAGCCCCGGTGCATGCTGGAGGTCCTGGTCTGATGAGGCCACAGAGCACCACATCATCTGCAAATTACAGGGAGGGAATTGTATACTACAGAAAGTAGACTAGAGGTCAAAGAAAACTGTGATAAATATTACGGTGGTGAGTAGTATATGTCACCACGTTCTGAGAACGTAGGGAATAATTTGGTGAGTGCAGTGTCATTATTGCTGATAGAAAGAAATACTCTGATAGAAATAATTGTTCAATAGTTGTAATAAGCCAGAATTATCTCTTAGCTCATCCTCCCTAGTTCCCTGGCGATCTTTATCACCTGGATTCCTGACAGAGAAATATGGAGGCATTCAAGGGAATCTGACTGAGCTGTCGTTTGTTGCTTGATATCCAGATTACTGTTACTGTTAGTGTCTGCCTTGGCACTACTGACTGGTGAGGTTTGATGTGACTCTCTTCAGTTTTTTCTGATAGTCCCTCACAGAGTGAACTAGGCGAATATCATAATCATTTGATCCAAGGGAGAGTTTCTCCTCCAACAATACCTCATCATACATTACTGTAGTGCCACAGCCCATTCCATCATTTTGGTCCAATCCTGTTTTCAGGGAAGCAATAATCCATTATATGCCTCTTTTTCCATTCCATATGTGGTGGCGTCTCAAACTCAATTAATTTCCCAGTCATGGAAAGGAAATGGTTATAAAATGCAGCATGAATGGTAAAGACTGGAGTGCAAATTAACACTGTGTGACTATGTGCTGCAATGAGAACGTTGTGGTGCTGAGTTTCTGTGTTGTAATGCACAGAATAACAGATTTATCTCTGCGTGAAGTGGGCGGGTGACATAACATTTGCATTTCATAATAGTAAAGGATGGAGTTGAGTGGAGTGGTGGAGATGGAGGTATATGAATCTCCCAGACACTCTATAGTTTCACCAGCATTGCCTTTATTAACGGAGTTGGAATATATTAAAAATTTGACATGCCTATTGCTGGTGTCCATGAAAGAATAGGCCCTGAAGAAAAAAGGAAAAAAAACCCCACAGGAACTTAATGTACTGCTGCAGTTCATTTTCCTGCCGACACCCATGTATTATTTTTCACATTTCAGAAACCATCTCCTCTAAGTTAATTAAATTACTTACCACATGGGTCATTATCATTGTTTGATAATGTCACAGTGTCTAAGTAAAAAATCTGTACCAATGGAGAAACTGAGAAACTGTCTTTTTCTGGATAACGCTTTGACTCTTTTCATAGTAATGCCTCATTTGTCATCTCTCACTACTACAAAGGCCTTGAAAGGAAATGGCAAAGCACATAATCAGCAGCTTGTATTTTGTTGAATGGGAAATATGCTTTCATTTCACTGAGGGCCAATGCACATTCAGATTGGACCTTTCAGTTTTAGACTTGATTTATCTCTACTGGCAACCATTATTAGCTGAATATGAATGCGATCCCAGAGAGCGGCATAGTGGCTTAATGTCTGCAAATACAACCTCTGCTGAAAACAAATGCAGTTATTTGCAGTGGGCTCAATTCTGAGGTTGTATTTCATCATATGATAACAAATGTAGTATGGATGAGGAATCTACAGGGTGGTCAGAGGTCAGGATCAAGAGTGAGGACTGGAGGTGCAGTTATCTCTTATGTATTTTTAGGTGAACTGGATTTATTTATACTGTCTCCAGCCAGATGATGGACTCAAGCAGTGTGATAGAAAACAGGAGTCTCGTCTTTTGTGTCAATTGGGCTGAGGGTAAAAAGAGAAAGAGAAACAGATTTATACCGTGGGATGTAAATAAAAGGCATATACAATAAACGCACAGAGGCTGACATTTCACAGAATTCTCCCCTTGAATTGTCAATTATATAGTGACAGCATGCATGCCTGCATTATTGAAAATAGCACGCTGACATAGTTTCCTGCTATTCTCTATCACCAGATGGCTGAACCAGATCTTCACTTTGGAAATCACATCTCGCCAGTGCATGTGAGGAAAGTGTTTGTCCTCTCTCTCTCTCTCCCGCTACGCTTTCATCGTCGCTGCCTTCTGTTTACTCGCGCCAAACACCTGGCATTGAAGCAGGCAGGCTATTAAATAAATTAGGTTTCTGACAAAGACATGCGCAAAATGAGAGGCCTATTACATGACCTGCGTTGGTGTTTTGTTTTCCAGCTTAACCTTACCCTTCCCCGGGGCTTACTTAGGGTGTCGGTTACGCTCCACAAAGTGGTGTGCTTGTATTGTTTGGAGGCATCTAAAGCTCACAGAGCCTGCCAGGCCAGGGCCGGTCAGTGTCTGCCTTTCCAACAGTGAGGCTGTAACAAGGCCCCTCACTTTCACCTCAGCCATCTTCTGGAGTCCCCGTCACTCATTCGCCGTCTGCCCTGCTCCTCCTGTCCGTCACAAACCGATCTCCTCCTCATGTCACTGTGTGACACTACAGTTACACTGCACATGCTCAGTCTCCAGTGCCACTCTGGCTCCCAGTCTCTTATCTCAGTGTACAAACTTCTTGAATCTACAAGGGACCACCTGTCAGTACAGCAGGTATCTCCCTCCTTCATGCATGCATCACAGAAAATTTCAGAGTGGAACAGAACCATCAGGGATGGCGAGAGGGGAGTCTGCTGCTAGGGTGCACCACCCTAGCTACCTCAAGAGTTTTCTGTTGGCAATTAGCAAGAAGCCACTGCACTCTTTTTTTGTGTATGGATAAATACATGGAAACTTTAGCTAATGGCTCTCTGGAGTACAACATGATGTCTCCTGTGGCTTGTTATATTCTTCCACTTCCTGTTCGTCAGGGTCCATTAGCAGTCCAGTCACTGCTCTGCTGTAGGAGAAGACGCAGAGCAGAGCAAGGACATTAAAGCCACACATTTAGAAATATCTTACTGCCAGAGTAGCATTGCCTCCTGTTTGTGTTTCATTATTTGTCAATTTAAAGGTTAAACTGTAGATATTCTATATTTTTGTTATTGTCAACAAAACCAGACCGAAACCAAGTGTTTCACCATCTCTCAACACTTTCCACTGGCTCATACTGAGGACGTAAATCTTTAAAAAAATGGTTCACAAATATGTAGTTTCATTTTTAAAAAAGATTAAGTAATTTCCTAAAACAACTGGACAATGTAGTTTTTAGCAAACATTATTCCACCTGGAGCACAAAATGCATTTGTTGGGGACTATTTTAAAAGAAACAAGGTGCTCTTTGCTAGTTTATAAACTATAGATTAAGACTCCTCAGCTAAAGTGAGCCAACACATAGGTGGCGACACCTGCACCTCTGTTATCACTGAACTTTGAATACAGGAGGCCACAAGGACTCCACTGTTACTCCTCCGACATAAATATGATAATGGAACATAAACCCTGAGAGCACTTCATCATCGGCTTCATAAATATTTATTAATGCACAACAGACCCCAGTGACATGTAAAAGCTTCGCTGCTTCAGAATGCCACTGCGCTGATTGACTTGAATTAAATGGGCCCTCTTGGCACTGGTCAGTGCAAATTAAGCAGTTCCTGCTTTGTTTGGGCTCTGGAGGGCCAACACTGGTAGAGCACCACTGATGAATAACTTAACACCTCCTCTCATTATTGAGAGTCAATGCTTTCAAGAGCGCCGTAGCACGGGGCTCCTGCTGAATTAAAGGCCTTCAAAAGTAACTTTGTGCCACTGTATTATGTGTCTATGGCCATTACCGGCAATTGAGGCTAAAATCCTTGACACAACCTTGTTAGCATAGGATACTCTTGATTAGCCGTTTAATGGGATTCTGTGAAGTGTTTTCGCAGACTAATCACCACAGCGCACAGTTAAGAGTTGTTCAATGGTCAGTATTTAAAAAATAGAAAAACTGATTATAATGGAGTTACTTGTCTTTTATGTGGGGTCCCTGTGGCTGATTAACTGGCCACCCACTGCTCTACCCATGGCGGGTAGAGCAGTGGGTGTCAGCGGTGGCCGCAGTCTGCAGCCTGGCTGAGCAGTGCATCTCCTCTGCCTCTGAGATATTTCCAAACCCATCCAGTCTCTCTGTGCGTGTGACTCACTGTGCTATGTCAGATCACATCCAGTCGTTCATATTTGCTAATCTACTGACCTGAACCGTGATTTTCAAACGAGCCAACAATAAACAGTTCAAAAAAAAAAAGAAGCAAAAAGCCATATGCTCAATCAGTATGATTTTCTTTGTAATATTGTGTATTTAAGTAATTACTGGCATCACACCTTTACATTAGATTTTTTTTAATTTCTAATCTGAGTTAGGTGTCTGTGTGTAGACCAAAAAAATTGAT